AAAACCACGTTAGAATAACCCCTGGTTCGGGCTGCATGAAAAGTCGAGGCACGCCATTCAAACCGACAAGCACATATTAATGCCTGGTTTAATGATAGAATGAAGACAGTTTTGTGATATCAAAAAATGTTTTAAAAGGAAAGCCTTTCTTACTACCCTTTCAACGACTGGATATATGCGCCTGTTTCTATCTACTATTTCAACGCTGAGATCAGTCGAATGTTGTTAATCGAAATTGTATAAGCCAATGCTTAATTTTTATTTCATGATGTTGCTTTGAACTGGTATTAATAGCATATTATTCAGAATGTTTCATAAGGTTGGGGATAAACGGATAGTTTCTGAAATCGAGCCAACCTCCGTAATTTTATGAAAATTTTAAATTTCTGTTTACGCTTTGTTTTCAAGAATCACGAAGTCAATAGTTGGCAAACAGGGGAGAAGGTCCTTTTTTTCGACATTAGTGTATACCATTTTATTTAATTGAAAAATCTGTTACACGGCAACCTGACACTTGAAGACCCCTAAGAAATTTTTCCAGCATTAGGGGCTTCAGGTCCCAAGCCCACCTTCTCCAGAGTACAAAGAAAGAAGGATTTTAAATTGGTACATATGAATCTTTTTCAATGAGTTACTCGACGACATCGTTGTTTTGCGTAACGTCTCTTACGCTCATGTCTTTCCATCTAATGCCCAGAAGTGTTTGTGGCTGCTTGCCTTTTTTCTCACTAATGCTTTTTGTCCTCTGCCCAAAAGTTACAATTTTTCTGGTACCATTTCTCTATATAAAACCAATCTGCTTTTCTTTTGGAATTATTTTGCGTATGTCTAGCATATCTTTTATATAATCATCAACATATAAATGAAAAGCGATATCCAATGTCGTCCATTACTTTTCTCACAAACAGCGCTGGAAATGGATGACAGTGTTCTGTAACACTTTGAATTTTCATAAAATTTGATCAGAGAATCCAAAAAACAGCACTCCACTCAAAGAAGGCATCTATGACACCAGACGGTGAATGCATTGTTATTAGACAGTATTAAACACCAAATACTTCCATAACTAAACGAAGTGTTTTCAGTGCAGCTAGTTACTCATTTCAAAAGTTGATATGATTCTCTAGCATACCTTTGAAATAGTCGTCAATATAATCATCGGCATAGCTGATGTTAAACATTTAGGGAGGGTCAGTCTGGATCTTGCCTGACTACTCTCGTTCATTGAGAAAGAACTCCCGAAAATGGCCTGAAATGCTTTAAACTTGCCCTGATTAGCAAAGCTGCTGCAATACTCTCAGCTCCTGTATCCATGCCTATGAATTTAAATATTGTATTTCACCCAAGAGCTACGGTACTCTTACAGAAAAGCAATCTTAAAACTCTGCGGCATTTTGTATTTCCACGTATAAAAATCAATGAATTAAGAAAACTGACACTAGCCGCAATTACACAGCTCCATTTGTAAATTGTGTCCAGCACAACTCCGGGTGCAGAACTTTTTTTGAATTCATGATACGCCCAGAAAACTGAAGAAATGTTGTAGGGGGTGTAATTGATAAGAAATAAACCCAAAACCAGACGAATTGTTTTCACTGCAGCTAAACGTTCATTTTGAGAATTCGGCATTTTTTGTCGATCGCCAGGTTGAAATCGAAAGATTGCATTTCTTTGGTGTCTCTCAAGAATTTTTAATGTTTTTGCATTCAATATAAGAAAAACTGTCTGAAGTATGGAGTTAAAAATCACGATGGTTAACTGCCGGTAGAAGGACTCCCATACTAAAGTTATTGTGGCAGCAACAAATCCACTAATAAAACAAGATACAACCAATAGGGTCATCCGATTAGTGTTCATCATCGCCTGATATCGAATCGGTTTTGTAACGTGAAGGTACCGATCTATTGAAATTGTGATTATCATAAAGAATGAAATGTATCCCAAAAAAGTCACCGTAAACTCAACAGATTTAAGCTCAAGGCAGTTTCTTTGTCTACTTGATATCCAGAATGCTCCTGTCACAAGCTGTGCAAAGATTCCAAAGCACAAATATGACAATGTCATTATGAGAATATATTTATTTGAAAATGTCCGATTCTGCTTCGATTTGTACAATGCGAAAATCAAAAGGGAATTTGACAGGATATTGAAAAAGGCAAATACAATCAGAACGGTTCCAGCAATTATTGTGCTCGGGTTCTCTGGATTGTTTGGGACCAGCGAGAGACAACGACTCATCACTCCATTTTCTGGTACCATCTTTGTCTATGATATTCTTCCTCTTGTCAATAAGAATATGCCTATCTTTTGTTATGCTTTTCTTTGCCTTTAAGCTGCAACCCTCTGATATAACGATGCGATAAACGAAAATACTGTTATAGGCAACTCAAAGTATATTTTCTTGTTAAACAAGGCTTCTGCACTCTTGCACAGTTCTGCTACTTCGTTCAAAATATCTTTACTTCTAATCTCTTTATTATCATTTTAATAAATTTCAAGTTTGTGCAAACATGGCGATAAATATCCCACCTTACATAGCTGAAACTGTCCGTAGGACAATAAGTTTGTTTGGAAGGATTATCCGTAGCTTTCTCGCTTTTTATAGTGTGGCAATAGATAGAGCATTTGACTAAACCGGATGTGGCCGCTGATTGGCTAATTGCGATTCCCTTTGTTACCAGGTAGGCACCCAGGTGGGTTCTCTCGGTTCAGACGTAGTATAAAACATAGTACATCTCTCGGCGTTGTTGCTATCGATTTTTCATCGCTTTACGAAGAAGAGAACATTGGAAGGGAATATCAACATTTCTTTCTAATCTACATTAATGACCTTGTTAGTATCCTAGAATGTGACGTTAAACTTTTCGCAGGTGATACTTTGTTATTTACAACAGTTCAGAACGAGGCAGGAGCTTTTTCCGAATTGAATAATGATTTCGATGTGGTAAATCTGTTCGCATGATAATGGAAAATGCAATTTAATAATAAGAGAACTAACGAGGTGATTTTTTCTACTAAGGAAGATAAGACCAATTAAGAGAAGTAAGTTACAGTCTTAGGAGGCTGGGTGAACACGACCCGATAGTAAGTAGAACAACTCGTTTATATTTTGGAAATGTTCGCAACGAATGGAAGAAGCTGAAGCAGGATGTCCGAATGTCAGAATCAATTGAAAAGTTTATAAACAAGCTTCCAAAGATAATAAGACCACAGAAAAGGTAAGTTCTCGAGATCCGTAATGAAGATGGTCTAAGGCCCCGTTCACACGGGAACGCAATCGTTCCGTTCCGTTCTTTTCCGTTCCGAAAAGCGGAACGCTCAGGGGTTGTGTTCACACGGGAACGCTTCAAACGACATCGTTCCAAAAAGTGGAACGATAAAATAAGTGATACGAAAAGTGGAACGGTACGCAATCGTTCCGTTCCGTTCCCGTGTGAACGCGCAGAACTAGTCCAGAAAATGGAACGATAAGAGTTTTGCCCTTGGCGCATGCGTCTGTGTTGTTGTTGAGGGAATGAAAAGGTGACAATAATAAACTCAGCGAAGAAAATGGAGGATTTCAAAAACACCATTGGCTGAATCTCACCGTTAGTCCGTTTAAAAGATTCAACACCATTCTGCAAACATTAAAATTCCTTCCTTTTAGGGTTGGCTTCAATTTTCCCACGAGCTTGCTTATTTTGGGGCGCCTTTGTATTCTCCATTTATTCAAATTGTTTAAAAAATTCAGAGATAGCTCAGAGATAAATCGAAATGATGAAATCTATCTCCATTGTGGACATGCGCATTAAAAATCATTCGCTTATTTTGGCGCGCAAATTGCAGAACGGAACGATTGCGTTCCCGTCTGAACATAAACAAAAATCGATACGCAATCGTTCCGTTACCGTGTGAACAGTATACCTTTTCGTTCCAGAAACTGGAACAAAAATGGAACGGAAAAATCTAAACAAAACTCCGTACTTTGTTCTGTGCTCTCGATGCAGATAAATTTCGCCATAACTTTTGAGTCTATTAGCCCAATTTGTGTCTATAATACAGAAAAAAGGATTTTTGCGAAGCTGTTATATCATATTAACGAACATTATTGAATTTCTAAGCGTCATATAATAAACAAAAATAATTGCAAGTACAGCAATATCAGTCAGAATTTCTGGTGCAATAATAAGGATTTCTTTCATGAAGTTCACTCTAATACGTAAATGTCCTTTATGGTGTACTCTGGCTTTCCACATGAGGTGTATGTGTAAATGCCAGCATCGTCTGCACCTTTTTCTCTTCGCAGTATCACCGTTGCCTGGCGCTCTCCCTTTCCGTTCTTCAAATGCCAGAAATTATCAGCGTCATTATCACAACGTCCAGTTGCTCCCCCAAAGTAGTTATCTAAAAGATGTAGGCATTAGGAGAAAGTGAGAAAATTTTGATCTATTAAAACTCATTACTGTATTGGATTTTTCTTTTACAGCAGCAAATTTTATTAATCTATTAACAGCCAGGATAGCACCAAAGCCTGGGGGCACGGTCGTTCTAGAAAACACTGTATAAGAATTGGCAATTTTCAATATGCATGAACAGAAAAAAGTAACTGTCGAAATTAGGAAAAGTTGAAATTTCATTTTTCTTTGAATTTCATCCCTGCAATCCAAAACACCAGCCAAAGTAGAAACATGCTACAGGAAGCGACTGTCACAGAATGTCATACGAGCAAGCTATAGCTGCTATACCATGGGTACATTTTCCCTCCCTGTTCTTACTTTCTTTGACTCTCTGATGCTCTTGTACCCAAGATATATAGCTGTTTTTGAGCTTAATACCAACCATGGAGTAGAACTTTGATGTAAACATGTCTGTTTACTGAACAAAAAAGCAAAAAAGCAAAAAAGCAAAAAAGCAAAAAAGCAAAAAAGCAAAAAAGCAAAAAAGCAAAAAAGCAAAAAGCCTGTCCATGCAGAGATTAGGGACTACAGTTGACATCCACTATCTCGACTGCCCGCTATCTCGAACATTCGCTATTTCGAACTAATTTCTGCTTCCCTTGGTTTTGCTATAGGATTAAGTACAGAAAAGCCGTTTGCTATCTCGACTGCTCGCTATTTCGAATATTCGTTATGTAGAACCATGTTCTGTTTCCCCTAGACGAAAAGTGTTCACTATCTCGAACTTTTTTGTTTTTGGTTATGTGCGAAAATTAAAAATACGAATAAAGAATCTGTTTAAACGGCATAAAAAATTGCATCAGTTAACAGATTAAAAAGACAGTGTTATAATACAATTTAAATGTTCAAATCATTTAAAGGGGTAATCCGAAGTTTAAAGGCAAAGTACCGAACAGTTTTGGTGCTGATTCAGAGCAATTGATCAACAAAAGTCTCTACAAAAATTTGCATTTGGATGCAATGGACATATTAGCCGCATCGTGGTCTATGGTATCTGAACCGATAATCGTTAACTGCTTTGCCAAAGCTGGCCTTTCTTCCGAAAAACAACATCAAGCAGCATCAGAGGAAGATGATCCTTTTAAAGACTTGGTGGAAGAATTGACGAAACTGCGAAATAGAAATCAAAGAAAATTATCCAGCCAACACAAGTGCAGAGGAATTTATTGACTGCGACGACCAAGTCTTAGCAAGAGCAGCATTTCCAACTGAAGATGAAATCATAGCTGAGCTAATTGGTGAAGAAGTTGTTGAAGTTGAGGACAGCCAAGAAGACAGCCAAGAGGACAGCCAATAAAGCAATGACAACCCTTCGACAAAGCCAACAACGGACTAAATAAAAGATGCGATGGAGGTAATATCAAGATATTGCCTATTCTCAGAGAACGGAGAAGTGCTCCGTGAGAATTTCGTTAAAATGAATGGTGTTAAAGAGAAGGAACTGGTTAGAAGGAGAAAATAAATGACATTAGATGCTTATTTTTCTTAATGATTTAGCTTGACTTGTAATTTCGTATTAGTGACTGCATATCTTTTATTGCTGCCTGTTGAACCTTCGAAATTTGAAAAAAATTGGAATTTTTGGGTTCATCCGATAACTCGAACAATCGCTATCTCGAACAATTTTTCGTTTCCCTTCAGAGTTCGAGATAGCGGATGTCAACTGTATTTAACAATGTTTTTGCGTGATAAGGATAATCAATATAAATTCCTATAATCTTATCCATACTCGGATTTCGCTGTTTTCTTATCGATAAGATGTTTGATGGTCACCTACTTGTTGATGAGCCCATGTTCTTCTCCCCAAAAATTATGTCTCCTCTTGTTGGATTAAATGGTTCTAACCCAGCTTTGTGATTTGATATGCTGTCCGGGACTCTAACAAAAAGATAGGTAAAAGCAATGTGTATTGAGAAATCGCTACAATATCGGACAAAATCGTCGAGACAAAATGCAATTTTGCAATTTTTTATTTTACGCTGTACCTGTTAATTTGAATCCCTCCCCCCCCCCCCCAAATTCAAGTTGCATTTGTAGTTCAATATTTTGTGCTTCAAAACATATCAACATTAAATACGGGGGGGGGGGGGAGTTATGTGATCTTTAGGACAATGTGATCTTTAAATTTTACATGTATCTTTTCATATGAATTGATTGAAAAATCTTCGTTTTTATCGAATGTTACATGAAATATTCCTATTCCATTAATTTTCAAAGATACATAATTTCAAAACAGCTGTAAAAGAGTAAACAGTTTGAGACAAATATATACTTAGTACAAAATGTCAAACCGCTATTGTGTAGACAGAAGGAGTTAGCTTCCCCCTTCGACTCCATTTGTAATTTTTTAAATAGGCATGTGCTCTTGTTTCTGATTGGCTCAATTCGATTCACAACTGGTTAGTTCTGAAAACAACTCAACCTTCCTTCGGAGGAAAATTTGTCCAATTTGCCATCTTCAAGTCTTTCCTAGTACATTTCAATTGAAAGTTTCTTAGAAATGGAATTTAAGTTAAATCATCTACATTTTGTCTTTACGCTTTCTTAGGTAAACCAAAAGTTCTAATACAACAGTTAACTCCTCTCAATTTATATAGTTTCAAGTTACGCATTGGCCTTCCGAAAAACTAATGCATCGTTGGATAACCTTCTTCGGCTAACAGCTGTCAAACCGTAATGTCTTCTGGATTCTGATAATCACTTAAATCAGAATTTTCAATCACTAACTATTCTTACGTTTAATACTCTGAAGAGTGTGGGGAAAAATTAAAGCAAGTTTTAAACTCTCGTTTTTAAAAGCAACTTTACAAATATTTTTCAAAAGTTATAAAGATACACAGATTCTTACGTATGCAACTAATCACCGCTACCTGCTACCTTTAAACCCCAGCTATTGTTTTTTGATAAGTGACTTGCTTTTCCTATAAATTGAGTGAAATACCCTTTTAACTTACTTGTGGCCAAAAATCTGCCAGCATGAAGTATCACCTTTAAACACTTGAGTGTACATTATCTGTTGCCAATGGCCTTTTATGTGAATCACAGAGTATGAAGGATTGCCCTTGCCACATCCATAGTTGGTTACCTTTCCATTGATATTCAAACTTCCATTTGGATCGCTGTACATGCCTAGAGTAACTCCATCTTTGTGAATGTGAGACACCATCGAAGTATCCACTTTTCTCCATGCTTAAAAAACAAAAGTCCTGGTTTTTCACGACATAATGGTATAATAAAAATTAAAGACTAGAATCCTGAACAGGTTAAATTTAAAATCGATAAATTTTGGAGAAATCCGAAGTCTGAACAGCAGAGTCCAAAAAAGTTGTTAACCTTCCTCCAGAAAAAAACATCCCAGAAGGCAAACCTTCCTCACAAAACAATAGAAAGTGGGCGTGGCTTGGGTGTGTCATAGGAGCTTCTATTGTTTTTCGTGGACCTTCCTCCGGTCAGTGGCCGTGCGACCGTAATGTTTTCCTGACGCTGCTGAACAGAAATCCGAAATATTGGTTCAAGGACCTTTATGATAAATACTTCATTGCTCGTGATACTCTATATTCTTAATCCTTGACTTTTCACTGTTTCTCTGTTTTTAAAATACACTGTAATTACAGAAAGTTTGCTTAGCGGCAACTTTGTTGAGAAATTCGTAGTGTTTTGTATTTTTATGCAGCACGATATTAAGCCGGTATTGAAATTATAGTCGCAAAGCATGCCGGTTGCGCAAGAGCCGTTAAGGTTTAAAGATAGCACGGAAAAGCTGAAACGTATCATGCATCGGTACACTTAGTTACTATTCGTCCGACACACACTCAAAGTATAAACTTCGGATAAAGACTAAAGAAGGCAGAAGTTTACCCTGGGTACCAGAACCTCAAAATTTAAAGCGCGGAAATTGAAAACCAAGCGGAGAAGCGGAGGAGCATGCTTCTCAGAAAGATGCTCCTCCGCCCCTCCGCTCCTACCTTCTATTTACTCGCTCGAAATTATGAGGTAGCCAGGGTAGCAGAAGTTTATATACAGATCCATATCGAAAGTAACCTGAGAAGAAAAAATGCTGCGCCGTCCAACGCTATGCTATGTTTCCACTTTTTTGCATTATATACTGTTCTTAATTTTGTTGAAAATCTGAGGCTGGATTGTTCTTAATTTGTTCTTAAATTGATAGGGTGTAAGCAGTGCGATTGCGATTGCAGTGCACTTCGCTCAAGGGAGGTGTTCAGGCCTCATTTGCCAACAAAGTGAATGAGACAACCTTCATTTGCCCACAGGTTTGAATATTCAACGAAAAAGCACCCACACATGGCTTGAAATCCTCGTTTTCGAGATAAAACGTTGTTCAAACTTGCATTTTGCAGCAGATCAGCCTCAGCTTGTTTTTAATATGTTCTTAACATTTAACCAATTTTGAGGCTCGTGTTCTTATAAAATTGTTCTTATAAAAATAAAGCGTGAAGTTGACGTTAAAGCAATTGACAGATCCTAACGAGGCCTTATCCATCTGCCAGTCAACCATTGGCCAATCAGTGAGCGTGATACAACTCACACGCCTATTTATTGGCTTATATTGATTGACAGGTGGATTAAGCTACTATAGTATTTTTCAGTTGCTTCTAATGCATTTTCTAGTTGCAGGGCTAACCTTGTGCTTTGCACTGGACTTGCTTTGCAGCTCTGATGTTGTCAATGAGCTCAATTTTACTCGTTTCCAGGTATGTCTTAACCATTTGCATTCCATCCTCGCATGTCTTCTGTTGTTTAATCTTGACTTCACTTTTCGCTTCACTAAAAATTAAAGCTAAAAGTTAATGTTCTTGTTAGCAAGAGCCATAATCATCAGACTACCGAGACTCCTTGACGTGAATGAAATAATAATACCAAAGATGTAGTCGAAAATCATTGGTGTATATATGACAGCGTTCAATATATTTACCAAATATGGAGGAGGACCACTTGAGAACGATAATTAGATGTTCTTTTCGCCCCCTGTTTATTTCACGAGTTTCATCTTTTTATTGTGACAGGGACAATTCTCTGGCTAAAATTTAACTAAAAAATATGTTCCTGCATCCACTTCTCTTCGAAATCCAACTATACATTGCTTTGTGTGAATCAAGAAAAGGCCACTGTAGCAGGCTGCTCGACGGGCTCCAAGGAGTTCTTGCGGCGAAAAGTCGATAAAAATGTAGCAAATATGAAACACCGCAATAAGCCGAGAAAAAACAACAATAAAAACACGTAAATCAGTTAAGGCTAATGTTTCGCCACAGCATACGGGGCTTCGTCAGAGCAAAAGTTTATACATTTATTGTTTTATCTTGCGCTCGGCCAATGCTTCTAAATCACAGTCCTATCAATCCATGCGATGCGAATGCTGGTAAAACGTCATATGGAGATAAAGTGACCAGAGGCTTATGCTTTCTATGACCCCTCGTTGCTCGCAACCTTCACTGAAGCCTTTGCTTGCTAATAGATCATGACATATCTACATCGTAGTTATAAATGAACCAGTGGCAAAATTAGGGAATGTGGATGTTATTAACCTATCAACCTCGTGCCATACACGTCGATGAGATTTTTGACTGTATTAACTAGTCACAGGTTTACCAGGCACGGATTCATTATGTCTACCCAACCTGTATTTCTGTTCAAACGATACCGGATTCATTTCGTACCGGATCGCGTTTCATATCGGATAGGCCTTCTGTTCACACGATGACGCTTGATTCCGATACGCTCTGTGTCGTTTTTGCGAAGTCAAACCATTCCGCTGTGAATGTTGAATGGAATCATATCGGATCGCTTTTGAGCTCGTGTGAACGCATAAATCCGATACGGTTTCTTTTCCTCTGTTTCGAAAAGGCAGCTTCGTTTTCGGAGTTTTTAAAAACAGTTTGGCACACATTTCAAGACACAAGATTGAAGTGGATTGCAGTTGAACAACAAATATGCTCCTTGCGATGATGATGAGCTTCACAAGACTAATGCAAAGAAAAATTAGATTGTTTGAAAATTGATTTTGAAATACTTCTTCTTAAAAACAAAACAACGTATCAGTTCTGTCACGTCAAAGAATGTTTTCAATCAGAAAAAGAGCAAAACAACGAACAACATTCCACGTTGCTATGCAACTGCTTCAAGACAATGGATTTTTCGGAGCAGTGTTGATGCGTGAACAGGAACAGGCCCGATACGAATAAATCCGGTATCGTGTAAACAGAGCTTAATATTCGTATCGGATTGGGTCAGTGAATCCGATATGAAATGAATCCGGTATCGTGTGAACAGAGCCTCAGGCGACCCCAGGCCAGCTCTCTTTTTGCGCCAGGTGGTGAAATGATCCAGTTGACAAGATCTGCCGAGACACTGCCAATCGGGCTACGTATAGACTCATGCTGGGATCGTCTCGACATAACCTGGTCCAAAGGCTACCATACACTTTTTTATAAGAACCAGTAAATTTAAGTTCAGGCTGACTGTTCTTAATTTTTGCGAAAATTTGAGGCTGGGTTGTTCTTAATTTGTTCTTAAATTAAAAGGGTATAAATAGTGCGATTGCTAGCTTTTTCGCTCTAGGGAGGTGTTCAGGCCTCATTTGCCAACATAATGAGTGAGACAACCTTTATTTGCCAACAAATTTGAAAATTCACCGAAAAAGCACCCACACCTGGCTAAAAATCCTCGATTTTAAAAAAAAACGTTCAAAATTGCATTTTACAGTAGCTCAGCCTCAGCTTGTTCTTAATTTGTTCTTAACTTTTTAACAATTTTAAGGCTCGCGTTCTTATAAAATTGTTCTTACAAAATGAAAAGAGTGTAGTGCTTTTGTCTTACTTTGAAATTTTCCAGTGTGGAATCCATGTAGATGTTACGCCGGGAATATCCGGCAAAGATTTCCCTTTGTATTTTTGTTGTTTATTGGCGCATATCCGGCCTGAGTTTTATACGGATTCCACCTTTAATTTCACAGTGGATACTTTAAGGAATTCCAGTCAATTCTGCTATAGAAGACAAGAATTCAGCCATAAAGTCCCAGCTCAGTTTTACATTCAATATATTATTTGTGAAATGAAACAATCTATTGAGAAAATGTTGGCTATATTGAATGAGTTGGTAACTTCATGAAATGAAAGATGTATGTAAGGCGCACATTTCAGTTGCCACTCCACTAATCTACTTTAAGAAAAGAATAGGTACTGTACATGAAGAAATTTCAAAACAATGAAACTTTAAAGCTGTTGGCAGATACCAATACCACTAACTACGAGCACGCTAATCGATTGTCAATAGTAGTGTGATACATAGTATGGCATAAGGTACCTTTTTGCCAGTCGATTGCATTTAAAAATTAGAAACAACAATTGCTGAATATGCCGTAGCATTAAGAGTCAGTGTGATCCGATGAAAAATGTGTCTATTTGTATATGAAGAAAAATGCCTTGGGGAGGAAATACATGATGGGCAAGTCTATGGCGTACGAAGCACGCACGGGAAAGATGAGCCTTTCTGTACAGAGAGCTGTGTTGATGACGGGGGACCATTATGGCCCACAACCAACATTTTTGCAAAATCGTTTTTTTATCTCTAGCTTGCACTTGACCCGTCCACTTTTCAAATTGATTAAACTTGCGTTGGAGCCCCGGTTAATTGGTGTACGCACGATAAGAAATTACATGTGTCATTGAAAATACTCTGACAAATTCATCAGTCATATTTAGGACAAATTTGTCTGGACACAATTTTAATGCATTCTCGTCCGTTTGCTTTGGCGTACCAACATCCTTTCTGTCTCGGGTTGTGGGGCTTGTCAGTTGTCAAGTGCTGGTAGAGAAACTGATTGCAAAAAGATGCCAAGAAGTAAAGAGCCGATTACATTTGATTAAATGTATCAAGACAAGAACCGACTTGAAACAACTTGAACTTATACTTAAACAAGAATCGACATCCTTAGGCATTATGACTTTTGCAAAAGTTACACAATACAGGCACAAGTCAGTTGGGAAATAAGTAATACTTCACCTTGTAGAAGGAGGCTGCAAATTGCAATTCCCAGTTCCAAGAAGAACTGCCGTAGCAAGCAGTAGTTTGAGCAAGTTATCCATATTGTCTTTCTTTCTTCCTATCGTGATCTTCCTCTGTCGTCCTCTTCAAATATCACATGCTTGGTAAACATGGCCCTTTATAACAATGCATATGTCTGTCATTTCTCAAAGCCACAGTGACGTCACTGCTCGTATTTGTCAACACCTTGATGACAAAGCGTGCTTTGAGACAGGCATGATACGTGTATCAGATGAAAATGTTTACCAGACCAGCGGAAGTGTTCGACAGAGAAAATCGAATAATGGGTGTGTTTAGGGATGAAAGGGTGTTACTTCCTATTCGTATTTAAACAAATACGCGATTAAACATGGGGACAACATCGAAGAAAGTCTAACCACGAGATTAAAAGGGCTAAACTAATAGCAGCTATCCAAAGGTTTACTTATGTTGCACTGCTTAAGGTTTGCCAGTCAACATTCGCCAAGAGTGTTTTTTAGTTTTTAGTTGCCAAGATATGTTTTGACAATATCAGCAACATTGCCTGTCAAAGATTCAGTAGTCATGTTTACGCAAACTTTGTAAAATGCATTTACAGACCAAAGATCTTTATGCTTTGGTCCTATCAAAAATAGCTTTCAAAGTAGGGAGCTTGTCTTGATGAAAATATTCCTTCCACAATTGGGAAGAAACATTCCATCTAGCAAGCATACCTTCTAAATAATTTGCAGATTGGCAGTCTTAAGTCCGTGTCAAACGATCCAACATTTCACCCAACATATCGCCCAACATGATGTTGCAGACCTACCAAGTCTCACGCATTTTGGTCCTTTCTCACGCGCACACGCATCAAAACAGAATTCCCAGGTTAAAGGAGAACTGACACGCAAAAATAAGTTTGGCTAAATCGGTAGTTTGTGACAAGCAAATTCCGGGATCGAAAAAAATTTTTAAATCATAGTTACCGTTTTTGAAATACAGGCGTTTTAAGTTGAGAAACGACAATTGTTCCGACAATTTGAGACTCGATGCGAAAATCGTCACGAGTGGGCGATCATCTTTGACGTCACAAGTGACATGTTCTCAGCACGTATCGTGTTTCTCTATAGAACCTTTAAATCCTGGTTTTCACTAGAGTCATAAGGATCGTATCGATCATAAGAAACATAATTTTTTAAGTCCGTGTTGCTTATGTTTCTTATAATCCAAATGAAAACGCCATCATAGAAATGTCTTAAGGATCGTAAGGATAAAAAATCCTTTGTTATCTTGGTGTCATAAGCGCCATAAGTATCGTAAAAGTAGCGAGATTTCTTATGGTTTGAAAAGGGCGCTCTTTCCCCGCCACTTGTCTGCACGGATCCAGCATGGCTACTACGAATCTGCGTATGTTCCTGGCAATGTATATTCTAATCAAAAGATGAAGGCGTCGAAGAAATGCAAGTTAATATAATACGAGGAAAGAAAGGGTTTTGGATTTCGCAAAATTTTCAAAAGGAGATCTGAGCAAGGTGTTTTGCCAACTTGTAGTCTTTCGAAGACTTGTCTTTCAAGCAGCTTAATTTCACGATAGATATAATCTTTCCGCGCGAGATAGACCCATTTTGAGGAGCAATGTGTGCGGCCTTCGACTGGAATTCAGGAAAATTTGTCACCTAATTCTCAAAACAAAGGAACATCCGGTTGTAAGGATCGTAAAGAAGAAAAAGTTTTTGATCTTTACGATCCTTATGTCACGAATTTTAAGAGATAAAATCAAGTGCTAATTATCTAACGATTATGATTCTTGGTGTTTTCACTTGATCATAAGCGTCATAAAATCTTAAAATTATGTTCTTACGATCCTTACGACCCTTATGGCTCTAGTGAAAACCAGGCTTAAGAAAATGCTGCGGACAAATGTTTATTTTGTGCATGTGAAAGGAGCTAATTTTGCATTTTTGACATATAATTGACTTTTTCAATGGTTTGGGGCTCTGAATCGGAGTTTTATTACACTGATTTCGAAACAAATGGAGAATTTCAGCCGTCTGAGTTTTGCTACCAACCAGCGCTGCCGCTTGGGCAGACAGTCGTCCCATGGCTCAACAGTGACGATGTTATGAACAAAGAACAGACTGGAAGTACAAACTGATATGGAATTTCTATTAAAAACAATGCTATTGCTACCATCTAAATGAGATCAGGTATCGTAAAACTAGAATTTCATTTCAGATTGAGGCGTCTTTGTCCAGACTGCTTTGTCTGTATGGCCTAATTCGCTGAAATGCCTATGATGCTCTAAACGGAACTGCAAGTTATTCATTATTAATGTAACATTCTATGATTGTTTTTCAATGTTTCAAACGCGTTAACTGTATTGTGATATTAAATAGTAAAGGCGGGTTAAAAGTCGACTTGTGCGGATTTTATGCCATTTTCACCGGGCGTGAAGGGTTTCGGGAACTGATAAGTTACCTGGCAGTCGAAAAATCTGGATTTACGAAAAAGGCTCTTAGCTCTTAGTCAAAGAACTTGATTTCTTAGTCGAAGAAAATGCTGTTTAGCTGTCATAGGAATATCAACTGGCGCATTATTTTCTTTTGCAAGCAATTTTGACTTGGGTGGGGGATGGTCTTTTTGCAAGACTAGGTTATTCCCTAGTATCTCAACCTCTGTTAAAATACAATAATCAAGTTCAGTGAAATTATTATTTAGTCACACTCGCAGCTCCCATCAACCAAGATTTTTCTTGAATTCATATTTCTGCACCCAAAGCAGGCTGCAGGATCGCTTTTACCGCTGTCTCCACTAAATTTCGCTTGTCTTTTGGCTATTGCTTCAACCCCCCCCCCTCCCCCCCAACCCCACGTGGCAATTTTATTTGTAATTATTAAAATAACAACTTTGAAGAAACGGTATCAGTTTTCAAACAAAGTCGACTCCTTTTTTCACAAGCTTAGAGGTTCTTTCCATGTTTCAAAGCATGCTGGTTCGAAGATATCATGGCATAAAAATAAATTTTATGTGGATATTAGCGTCTTAGCAGACAGGTAGCTAGGATTTTCTAGTTTCTATATACTTATAAATAAAATGCCTGACAATTTTTTGTCTTTTCACCGCGGACTATTTTCAATAAAACACGAAACTTCATTTCTACTTTCACCGTTGCGGTGAAAACCTTTACAATGGCATTGTTAACATGTCACTTGTGACGTCAACCAAGAATTTTAACAACTCCTGGCGATAGTCTTGTTTCCGCTTCGGGAAATTCCCGAGTCCTGGCTGTGACGTATTTGACGGATAAAAGTGCAAATATCAGAAAAAACGGCGAATCTAAGAAGAAAACTTTTTCCAGATTTGAAGTCAGCGACAAATTTTGCATCGAATAAGCCAAAGCTATTTTTGCGTGTCAGTTCTCCTTTAAGTGATGTTACATTAATTGGCAAGCCTACACAAATAGCAGGTTAGCCTTCTTGCGACTATGACACATTGTCAATTGATTCGAAATGTAAAAGAGAGGAGCATAAAATCCCTTAAGTTAGAGTTTCAATTCAGCAGATTACAATCGGAGCGGTCGGAGCGGAGTAACTTTTTCTCGAGAATGATATTTGGGGTTGCAGTTACACTGCGATGCTCAGCTTGCTTGTACGCCTGCATTTCTTCCTCTGCATTTCTGTTCCACAGTGCTGTGCACTTTTTCAATTATTTGCGCAGTGCAGTGCAACAGATTAAATTATTTCATGATTATGTACTGTTATAGATTCTTTCTCAATAAAAACCGAATAGAATGGCAAAAACAAAGCCCCCACAATCCCCCACCTGGTTCTGTGCGGTCGCTGCTCAAAAAAGGCGTTTCCGAAGAATTGGAGGGCGTGGTAAAAGAAAATTTTCTGGGGCTACGCCCCTGGACCCTACTTCTAGTTGTGTGGCAGTCATGATTCGGTCCGGACCAAAAATTTTCCCTTCCTTTTAAAAAGTCTCACTCATTTTCAAAACTGAAACTCGACAGGTCTGATGTTGGACGAAATGTTGGATCGCTTGACCACCAACGTTGGATCACCTTCCAACATCCAAAAAAATGTTGGGCGAAATGTTGGACGAAATGTTGTATCGTTTGACCAGGGCATTAGCTCCACATTGTTGTTCACATACAAAACTATTCGATTAAGATAAGCACTTGCAAATGAAATATTCCATTTCAAGCAGATATCATTAAATTTGCTCAAGGTAGTACTATTTCCAACAGAGAGTTTTTTTTCCACTACAAAAGTATGGATTTTGTTGCTAATGTGTCAACTTTGCCCTAAAGTTTTTCAGAGGAGCCCCTCAGCGTGAAAATTTCCTGTCGATATTCATTAATATTCAATAACTATTTAACCTCAATATTCAACAATTTTGTCCCATGAATAGACATCTAAGAAAAACTGCTACTTGGAACTTGGCAATATGATTATCTTTGCTTTGTTTTCTCTAAACAGGTGTAAAATGATCACTATTTAACAAGCGAAATCATTCATATATTACACTAATTTTTATATAAGAAACAGGTTATAAGAAACGGTAGGCTCAATTTTTCGAAAGTTAAGAAACAAACCTTCCAAATTGAAAAAAGCTGAGAAACTTTTATAATTTGCAGTTTTAATTCTACGAGTTGACACTCAAAACAGTCTTGACATTAAACATCACTCTATATAAACCAATTTGACTTACGACGTCGTTTTGGAAATTTCTCCAAACTTAATTATGCGACTTTTTAAGCTCAGATATGGTTTTATCGCCATAATTTTAGGCCCAAAACAATTTTTCATATTGTTTGAGCTTATAATTTAGATTTACGGAGAAATGAAGTTTGAAAATTTATAAGGGATTTGACCGCAAAAATCGTTTCGGGGGAAAACTTTACCCCCCAGTTGCCGATCGCGGTAAAATCCTTTATAAAATTTTCATCTTTATGTCGTTATAAAATCAATATCGTGAGCAATACCATAATGAAAACTTCCAAGTAGATTAAAATCATTGCTCTCAATCCGAATCTGCGGTCACAAATTTTGTACAAAAGAATTTGAAGAATTTTTTCAAAATGAGGCCGTGAATCGATTCGGTGTATTGCAACACTACTTGACATGCAGTTTGAATTCATTCTCAGTAAATTGCACACTCAAGAAGTTTCCATTTTAAAATTTGTTTTGACTTCAACTTGACATTGATGAATTTCAATGAGCTTGACAGATCTAAACAGAGATCGTCATTCTAGGAAAACGAAATTCCTTGATCACTTTGTTAGTTTATCTCTGGATGTGAGTGAACTACTTTCTCTACCTTGAAAGCACATTTAAAAACTTCATAACCTTAGAAATTAAAGAAACATAAAAGAAAATTTTTGATAGCAAAATGGCCAGAAAATTCAAGAAACTGCCTAACAGCACCGGACCTTAGTTTCTTATTGAAAAAATATGACTGTTTTATTCAATTGCTTTATTCAATTGATCTGAAGCGAAATACATGTATATAATTTTCGCTGTATGAGCACCTATGAAGAAAATAATCAAACTGTTTTTCATTCGATCTCTAAAGAGATGCTGAATTGTCTAAGAATGAGGCGTCGTGAGAAAAGATCTTGATAGATATTTGTTCGATATCTGAGACGAAATATCTCTAGGTATCTGAATATTTGTCGTGTTGCTATTGATATGGCCGCTTTATTTAAAAAAAAGCTAAAAAACGTCATTTAAGGGAAGCACCATTTGAAGACATATCCCGAATAATTCTTAAAATTCTGTGATAGTCTGTACTTTTTTGTTTTCAAAGTTAATTTTATTCCAAAGTTAATTTTCTTGATATTATAATCCTACTTTGCTCACGCAAATCATTCTTTCCTTCTCATACTCAATCCAATACTCAGAGAACAACATGGAAAATCAGTGGAGCATAGCGAGGCTGTTGGCTGAGAGTTTCGTTCGCAATGTGACCCAATTGTAAAATAAACGTTAATTAAATGAATTATAAAAATATCAACGTTTATGAGAAGTATAATTTATTCTATCTTATATTTTGTAGGGCGATGTCCAGGTTTCTAGACAGCCGCCATTTGCAGTGGAATTGACCCCCCGCCCCCCCCCCTTCGTCAGAGGCCCTGGTGTTAAAAGAATAATTATTGGCTCCTATAAGTGCAAAAGATGTACGTTATGCTCAGGTACAAGAAGCTTGTGTTTCAGACCAGTGGCGTAGCGAGGGTTGAATGAAAGATTGGAGGGGCAAAGAGGAGTCTGACAACACAGGGTCCGGGGCTTTACCCCTGGGAAAATTTTTGCTGACCACACCCTAGAGAATTAAGGAAAATGCAAGGCAATGTGGTTGGCTAACCAAACACAATAACCGTCATATGTAGCTTTTTGTTGCAGACCCCTTTCAACAACTGTTAATTGCAGTGGGAGCATTCTCTCAGAAACCAACTAACTCTAAAGCCCAATCTCCAGTGAGAAAAAAATCGGCGAAATGCGAAAAAGTTGGCGCGAAATACGTTATGGGCATGCGCAGTGAACTATTGCTGGGATTTCTCGCGAAGAATTTTTCTGCGAAAAAAAGTTAAAATGAGTTTAACTTTTTTCGCTTTTCGCTTGCGAAATCCTTCAGCAGCCAAGCAAGCCGCTTGCAAAATCCAACGCTTCCAAACTTAGCATTCCAATGTCGTGAGGTCAACAAAAGCATTCAAAGGTATTTGTTCGCGTGAAGTATTTCGCAGCGAAATTTGGCAATACTTTTTCTCACTGGAGATTGGGCTTAATGGCTCTACTGTATTTTCTTTATGATTATGTACCTCCCCCTTCAAATATGAATATCGTTGCCACAACACTGAGCCATTAAAAAGCACAAAAGCGTATACTGCGTAAAAGATGCACCACTTGTATGGCTTGTTTTTCCAGATACCTGTTTCCGCAGCATAATGTTCTAAAATAAATCACCGGACATGTAATTTCAAGAACTCCGACGCTTACAAAACTGGATAATAGAAGGGGCAATACTTTGTAAATAAATGGTAAACCAATACTTAAATCAAAGAAATTAACTCTTTGAATTGCTTAAAACACATTTCTATACCTACATAATTTGGTAAGCTGACCTACGACCAGTTACAATATATTCTGTCAAATTGTGTAGACTAGCACGTAGTGTGTTAACATATTAACCTATAAAAGGCCGTGTCTACCTGCCAGCCATTGCAGTTTCAGCATTAATAGACCAAGGTAAGATATAAAGAAAGAAAGGCATCATGGATAAGCTTGTCAAACTGATGCTAGCTACAGCAATCGTTATTGGAACTTGTCATTGCAAGCGTCATCCACCTTCAACAAGGTAAGACAATGCTATTCAATCAACCTACTTACAGCTGCATTGCAGTGTTAAACATGTACCAAAGTCCATCTTCTATATTTTTTGAGGACGTCCTAGGGTCAGAGTGCACGCTTTGTGACCTTAACGACATTTTTTCTAGATATGCAACAATTTTTGCTTTTTCCACGCTTTGCCTAACACAAAATAACAGAATGTACTTACTTTTATAGTGGAGGCCATAAGGGGCCATCTTCACTGGGTGACAGATGTGTGGATGGGATGAGAGCAGTTAAAAGGTACGTCGAGCTGAGTAGAAGTGCACTTATACACAAAATCATGGTTGCAAAGCATCTTCAATGCAAAGCCCAAGGTAAGCTTCTGCAATTTAAAACTTCAGACAAACACGTTTACATGTTGAAGTAGCTTACATTTTTTCAGCAAAGTTCAGTTTTAGAAGAGAGGCCTGTTTTCTTATACTTAGTTTCTCCGTTTCCCATTACGAAACTGCCCTTATCTACCAAATCTACCTCATGTTAGTATTACTATTTGAGGAGAAGGTATGGCACAATTTGCTTAGGGGCCTGGAATCTAAAACCCCAATCTAAAAATAGCGTGAGGGGGCAATTGTCAGGTTGGGTCCACATCCTATCTCTCTCAGCGTATGAAACTGCCCATCTCCACCAAGTTTCATGCTGGTATCACATTCTGCACAATTCATGTAATAACATCCCACACTATACAATTCATCGTTTAATTCTACTTGTAATCTTTTCAAGGAATACCGTTAGCAACATCGGTTATATTTGATTTATATTATATTTAGCGTTGATAATTTAAATTATTTGGTTTCAATTAGCTTAAGTATGCATAGCTAGAAATTGTACCAACTTCAAATAAAGAAAGAAAAAAATACCATGTGAATCAAAAACAGCCAATAAAACCGGCACTAAATCACAGGACAGGAGGTCAGAATCTCAGCTCCTTTCAGTATCGTTGGCGTTACAACATGGCCGTAGCTATCACTTTTTTTTGGGGGGGGGGGGTGAAGGCTCAACATCTTTTGCTTTCAATGAACGACCCCTTATTTTCCGACTGTTGACATACCAACCAATTTACGGTACGACGTCACACCACTTGATCCGTCCGACTTTAGGCCACTGCAAAACAGCAGCTTTGCAGAGCACATTTTGAAAAATAACAAGACCTTCATTCTCCTTTAGCAAATTTGGTCGGCGATGCTTGTTCCTCGAAGCCTGCAGGTTGCTCAAAGCCTACATGTAACAAAAACACCGGATTAAGATCTTATTTTCTTAGTTGAACATCCAATAGAACTTTCTTTAAAAATCGGATCTTTCTACCGCCTAACATGAAAATAGCATTTGATAGATTTCTTCTTGGTGACAAAAAGTCGCTAGCATGCAATAGGCTTTAGAGGAAGAAAATAAATGGAATGGAAATATACCGGAAGGCTTTTTCTTTAGGATGGAGAAAAGTGGACATTTCGATGGTGTCTCACACTTACAAAGATGGCGTTACTCTGGGCATGTACACTGATCCAAATGGAAGTTTGTATGTCAATGCAAAGGTAACCAACTATGGGTGTGGTAAGGGCAAGCCTTCATACTCTGTGATTCACATAAAAGGCCATTGGCAACAGATAATGTACACTCAAGTGTTTAAAGGTGCTGCTTCATGCTGGCAGATTTTTGGCCACAAGTAAGTTAAAAGGCGCTTTTATATTAACATCTAATAGAAATTTTCAAACTACCTGTGCAACTTTCTTCGATTTTGTATCCTTATGAATTATGACCTATTTCATTAAAGCCGGTAAAGCATGTTAAAACTCTGACAAGCCAGAAATTGTATCGATTGTAGTTTGTTAAGGAACTTAAACAGGATTTTTTTTAAGGGTGCCAGACAAAGTTTCGAGTCATAAAGCTGGATTAGAACCATTCAATCCAACTATGGGTGACATCATTTTCGGTCAGAAGAAAATGGGCTCGTCAAAAAGTAAGTAACGATTCAGCAGTTGAGGTACGGTGAATACCACCTTTATAATATCAGCGATGTTTATATACAATCAGCCTTAAGATGCAATTAAAAATATTTTATTTTAATATATTCAAGATAAAATAAGAGAACTAAAATAGTCTAACTTAAACCCCTCGATTTACCTTTCTTTTCGCATCCCAATTGTCGGTGGAACGATCTCTGTTGTCCGCAAGAGCAAGCCTTGACGAGGCGAATGAGCCGTTGCTCTTACATTTCTATCATGTTTTAGTATTGTTTCCAGGCACTTTTCCTTTGCCTGTTTTGTACGGTTTTGTATGCCCTTTGCGAAGGCAAAGTGACGTTTTGTTATATTGTCGAAATATTTCATCTTGATATATTTTATCTTTTATCATTGATATATAAAAGGTTTTTTCAATTTTTTCTATTCCATGTATCTTCTAGATAACTACTTTGGGGGAGCAACTGGACGTTGTAATAATGACGCTGATAATTTCTGGCATTTGAAGAACGGAAAGGGAGAGCGCCAGGCAACGGTGATACTGCGAAGAGAAGAAGGTGACGACGATGCTGGCATTTACACATACACCTCATGTGGGAAGCCAGATTACATCATAAAGGACATTTACGTTTTAAAATGAACTTCATGAAAGAAATCCTTATTATTGCACCAGAAATTCTGACTGATATTGCTGTACTTTGCTTATATAACATTTTCAAAATACAAGAATATCTTTTTAAGTAAATTATAATGCTTTAAACATGATAGCTTTGCAATAGAAAGCTAATTGCTCCATTACTAATAGAAATATAAAGTCTTCTTCGCGGAACTTAGTTTTTTTCTGGGTGCCTAAATATTCACAATTTTGTTCTCAAAACCATGATTTATATTGAGTCTCTGGTTGTGTTTAGACGATGCCGGATAACTTTTGTTTTGGATTTAAAGTTATACGGAAAGGCTTTCAATTTACACGAGTACTGGACTATCCATGCTAAACTTGGTTTAGTTAGCCAAAACTTTTAACCCTTCTTGTAAGTCGTTTCAAAGTTATTTTTAATCGTATAAATCAGTTACCTCGATAAGCTTTGCTACTGATGCATGTTACAGATAAGAACATTATGCCACTAAACAAGTTTTGATATCGCATCGTAGGTTTTTCGAGGCTGTGGTAGCCTGTGATTTCCCAACAAGCCATGGAAATCAACTTGTAGGACTGTACTGTCTAAGAGTAGTTCTGGTTGCCACAGCTTATGAGAAATCTCTTTCGAATTTTGTCTCTTTTTACAAAATGATTAAAGTTCAAGATTGGCGACTTCTGATTGGCTAAAAACCCGTTAACAATGGACGAGAACGGAATTCCTCCCTTATTTGAGCAGCTACATTATATCTTATCCTAAATTCATGGGCGGCGCCAAAGGGGGCTGGGGGCCTAAGCCCCCTCCCACTCATTTGGAAAAGCGTTTTTAAGAAAATGAAAAGAAGATAAGAAATAGAATAGAAGAAAAAATAGTGCGATTAACCCTTTTATTGCTTAATTTTCAAGGAATAAGCCGAGATCTATGAGGCCTTATAAAGCATTGAATTTCATTTTAAGACTGGAATTAATCAATCGTAATAAAGGCATGCCTTAAAAATTTGCCAAATTTCTTAACCGATTTCAAGAAAATGAGTACAAGAAATATTCTGAAATATATTTTAAGCTAATCTGAAGGGCGTGGTCGCAAAGATTTTCTGCTCTCTTCGCTCGCAAGGAACCCTCTTCTTTCAGAGTTATACCAAGGGCCTTCGACAACATCTTGCCGTCCTTTCCAATTTGCCGCTAGCAAAATGCTTGCCCTTTAAAATTATATGCATCAAATATTTTGAAGCATTTTAGTGGGTTTTACAAAATTTTTTTTTTAGTCAAATGAAGCTATCAACTCGAGCCCCCCTCCCCACTTTGAATTTCTTGGTGCCGCCCCTGAAATTGCAGTAGTGACATTGTCGCAGTTTCCTCTTATAGCTGAAACACCATATTTTCAACCGAGACCAGTTTTATTTATTCAGATACGAAAATTAGAGATAACTACAGAAATGTAAATTTTAAAGCAGCATAACAACAGATGTAAATTTGCTTTATCAAAATTGGCTTTTCGTTGTGCGTTAAAAATATTTTACAAACTTACACAAATAAATGGTTAAAACCCAAGTATTAAGTTAATACATAAGTGAAAACAAATATGATATAAAAAACCAAATAAAATTTGATGAATTGAATTGATGTCCATTTAATGCAAAGTTTTATTATTAATTAAAACTTCTTCTACCATGGTTGTAAACAGTAGTTTTGTATTTGTGGTAATTTTGATAGTTTGGTAGTTTGTTGAAGTCATTTGGGCCTTTGTATAGAACATTCGTTGTCCGCTATTTGACAGTGCTATCTGCATAGTCAATAAAAGTCGGTTTCTTGTATTATACGAATGAATTTCATCATTTCTTTCAAAGAAAATAAAGAATAGAATGTCAATGGAACTTTTTTCGGGTATATAAATATATGAAGTTCAAACAAAAGCGAAGCTTTGGTCCTCCTCCAGGGCCTCCTCTGTATTTGCATTTGGTGCTGATCCAAAGTCCTCGTTCTGGTTCTTGTCTCTCTTTCAAATTTACTAAAGAAGGTCAGATTGTCAGATAGGTCAGATTGTCTTGTGTGAAATGAAACTTCGACCTGTTCTGTTAGCTTTTAAGCAGCTTAATCGTCAAATTCACGGACGTACTCAATTCCTTATTCAACCTTGCAAGGCCGAGGTAACCAGAGGTATGTTTAGTTAAATCTTGTAAGTTTAGACGTTAAAAAAGTTGTTTTTTAAACCACCCCTTGAAAGTCTCATAAACTTTTTTGTGGAATTTTTATTAGGTATTGCCTTTTTCCGAAAACCTATGGAAATCAGTATAAATGTAAGGGCTGAAGTAAGAAATATATTTAACAAAAATTTAGCCAGCCGTGTAAATACAGGGGTGTTGGTCTGTTGTTTGGGAGGGGGGGGGAGTGGTGATGTCACATCAGAAATTCTAAGCCCCAATTTTCAAATAGTCAGCCAAAATTCTCTCGATTGAGGAAGGAATTGACATAACTGCATAATGTTAAGGCTCTGTAAGAAATTGCTAGTACAATGTTCGTACAAAATAATAAATGGCTTATTGTCATTCGGAAATTTTGCTCCCTTCACCCTCCCAAAAATACCCATCAATTTACATCCCTAATCAAGTTTCAAATTATGCCACAACCAAACAGTCCTGTTCAAACTAAAAACTAAAATGCCCTTTTTACAATACATAATTTTAGTATATGATAAATAGCATATCATTAGCAGAGCCAATGCTAATGAATGGAGGGCATGGGAGGGCGCGTTGCCCCTCTTTAAGGCTGTTGTTAGTTGGAAAATCTAAACGATTTTCGGAAAATTTTAGAATTTTCCACAAGTCACATCCCAATGACTGGCTGTTTGCTTTGAATCGATTAGTTTTATGTAGCATTGGCTGAAAATAGCCAAGAAAGTTAATCCTTCCAGAAAAATTTAGTGGTCCTTTGTCAGGAAACACTCTAGGATTCCTTTTGCAATAAGCTCTGAGATTCTTCCAGTTGATCACGGAAGCTTTACAGTGGGAGGCAAACAAGCAAATGGCAAAACGATAATTAAGATATCTATTCAGAATTTTGCTATATGCTGAAGATGTCTCTGCCACTGAAACTCCCATGACACCAGAAAGTGCTGCGGAGATTTTAAATATAGGCCCATGTCAACATTGATTACAAATGACAAGCAAAGAGTTGATTTCTTGAATTCTAGATGGAATCTGCACAGAATTGGATTGACATTTTGATGGAAATTTATTAAAATTTTAATATCTGCCTCAAAATAATCCCTTTTAAGGTGCAAGGTCTCATATAGAAGCGAATTCCTAATATTACTTGAGGGATTTCAATGTTGCAGACACTATCAACCAATTTCAAGATTTCCAACATTTCTATGAAACATTCATTTTCACAAACACAGAAGAAGATGATTTGAGGGAAATCCTGAAATCTATTATGATCAATCGGCTTCGCTCTTCTTTTCCAAACCTCTCTATGATGCTTCAAATTCATGTTTGTCTACCAGTGTCTACCATGCTTGTTTAGAGGGCTCGTTTTGCAAGGAGTTTGATCACCCATTGAAAATGATCGTTTTTCAAATCTGGTGACCCTGAGTCCCTGCAGAAACACTGAAGTTGATCATGACAAGGTACTAGACAAGTTTGCAGCCATGAAAAAGAGAAAGAAAATTGTTGGTTGGAAAGACCTGACTTTTTGGCATTATTGTGTCATGTAACCTGGTTTTCCTTGCTATCATGTCGTTTTGATAACATTGTTTGTAACCTTTTGAATTTACTGAAAAAAGGTTTCAATTCAGCAAGAAGAGACCTCCTCCATGAGGAAATCTATCTGCATCTAAAATATAGCAATTTCGGTTGCACAGTGGGCCACAAGACCTATACCTAGCAAGTGGGAACTGACAAATAGATACACATTGCATAGTATTCTACGATTGAAGTAGATATGTTGTCGGAAACATTATGATGTCCACAGCCCTATACACCACTGCTTTTGTCAGCCCTGATCATTAGGAACGTGAATAATAAAATAAATGGTACATTTTATTATTTTCGTTGTAACAGTTAATTTACAAGGCATAAAAACATTGCAAAAACTCCTCATTTATATCTTTTCCCAATAACCCCCATCAAATAATGTGCTGAATTAACAAGCACCTAGGGCTGTTTGGAAGATTTATAGTATGATAATTAATACTCTCTGGGATTTGCTATACAAGAAGAACCTTGTTTCATCCAAACTAAGTTTGGAGCATTCGTTCCACTCAAAAGAAATGGAAGGGCCCTTTTTAGTGTTGCATGGAGTGCTAGGCTTCTGAATTATTAAGGCTTTGAGTGCCAATGTCTTTTTTTACCTAGAACTCAGAGCAGGTTGAGACAGAGCACAGATTCAGCCTAGCATGCCTGGCATACTTTATTGTTCTAGATAAACTCCAATGGGGTGGGTCAAAGTGATATTTTGGACACAATAAGGATCTTTTGCAAAATAAGTAAATATTTTAGCATTCCCAGCTTAAATTCTGCAAAATAAGACCTTTATTAACCTTTTTAATGTTTTCCCTCCCTGTCATCTCAACATAGAGATATTTAATTTTGTTTAATCATTCACAATTTTTAACAGGCTGTCACACCAAGTCAACCAGAGTATTTGCAAGCAACATGAGAGTGAAAGTATTATCAGCACTTGATGACAATTACATGTATTTGCTGATTGATGAAGAATCAAATACCGCTGCAATTGTTGACCCAGTTAACCCAGAAAAGGTTTTTAGAAGTTTTTTTTGTTTTGTTAAAGATATGCAGTAAGTTTTGTTCAGAAATGAATGGTTTTTATCTTTTATCCAAAATAACTTATTAATTAGAGAAAATTTACAAAGAAATTTTAGAGAACAAAGAAATATGGAGAACATCAGAATATTTTTTTGAGATTGTTGGTACTCACTAGCTTGTGTCATAGTTTGTTTTTTAAGCTGTACTTGACTCGGATTTGAGTCTCATTGAATAAGCTGTAAGTGTTACCTACAATTTCAACTTTGGGGCCCTGAAGGTTTCCTTCATAGATTTAAGCCTTATTCGCATCTTACATAAATTTACTTTTTGAAATCACTTTAAGGGGGGTACTGGTAAGCTATTTTTTTAATTGTTAGTGCTTTTGAACTATTTTCTAATCTGTAATTATCATTGGTGAACACAAGCTGCTAACTGGCTCACTTCATTCTGATTTTTTTGTGTTGGGTGTGAAGCTGGCAAAAATTTTCACTTTGCTTGTACACAAAATTTTCACAGAATATCTAAAAATTTATTTTCAGACAATATATAGTCCTTAGTCATATTGCTTGTTTCCTATAATTGTAGCAAAGTAATCCCTTTGTTGTTGTACTACTAGAAGTTTCTAACTAGTCTTGTAAAGTATGGTTGAACTGTTACCCCTGAAAAAGTCAAATGTCTTGCTTTGTCCAATTTTAATTTTGTTTCACACGTGTTAAACTAATAATATCCGATTACAAATCACCCACCCATCCATAAAATGGTAAAAGTCTGGCCATTTTCTTTTGTTAGGTTGTTTCCGCAGTAAAAGATGAAAAAGTTAACCTTACAACGGTTCTCACTACACATCATCACTGGTATTTATAGAGCATTCTATTTTGGTTTAGTGTCTGATTACTAATTTTATTTTTCCCATAAGTTATTTATCATTTCTATTCCATGCAATTTCCTACTCAGCAGAATTTCTTTGTTTTCCTTCTCATATTATTATAAAGGATACCAATATGAACCCCTTTGATAATAACAGAAGGGCGAGAACAAGGGCCCGTTTTGTAAAAGGGCGAGAACAATGGCCCCACTTGACCCTTGTATGAAATGGTAAGATGGGCGATAGCCCCCCTACACCCTTCTCTGGTGTCCCTTAACATAACATATAATGAGTAAAAAGGAGCATCAGTAATCGACCACAAGGAACGCAGATCATATTACAAATTGAGGGAAATAAAATTTGGGAGGGGGGGGGGGGCCAAAAATGCTAAAACCAAAAGCAGGTTGATTTTGTATGCTTTTTAATTACATTTTGGAAATTATTAGGGGGGATAAAGCCCAAAAAGCCCACTGCTTCTGTGGTTCCTGGTTTGCGGGGAATAATAAAATATATCTCGAGACTGATTAAAAGAATGAAAATATGAAAAAGAAGATAATTCTTCCACCCTCCCCTACATGTGGGGCCTCATTATTTCCTTCTTTCTGTTTTTTGTTATGTTCTTTGAAAATTCAGATATTCCTGCTGTTTGGCTTTTTTCCTCCTGACATACACATCCTAATAGCTCTGCAACTTTCATTTAACATTTATTTAAAATGGAAAGTCTTAACTACTGATCAAGTGATGATATCTAGAAGGTATAGTCTTTAACTCAAATCTTTCTTTGTTACTTATTGTTTAAGATTTTTTAACAGGGATCATGCCGGTGGAAACGAAGAGTTATGTTCAAAGGTAACAGGGCTTAAAGTTTATGGAGGAGATCAAAGAATTGGTGCTCTTACAAATCAAGTGAAACATGGCGATAATATACAGGTATCATTTATCAGAAAATTTAAACTGCAAAAGTTTCAATTGGCACAGAAAATCAGAGACATGGCACATGGTATCAGAAGTGTAGTAGGCAAGACCTCTTATACGAAGCACTTAACACAGATTGCAATAAAAGCATGAAAATCTGCACCCACACAGTTTGATATGCTGAGTAAGATGGGATCGTGACCCAGTCTGAGAAATGCCTTCAATAGCTATATTTAGAATGATTAATTGTTCCCACCCCTAAAATGATAAACTCTACAACTTTGTTGAAAATAAGACCAATGAAATTTGCAACAAATACTAATCATAACACGGTAAAATCGTCAAAATGCTCCCAGATTCACTTTTACAGAATGTAATCGTTTCCAGATCTCTAAATGCTAATCTTTAAAACTTGGCTAAAAATGAAGTCAATGACCAGCAACTTGATTTAGATGCTAATTATAATAAACTTAAAAGATTTGAATCGACACCCATTTTCAAAGTGCCCCCAAGTACTATTTTTGAAATGTTATTGTTCTCTGACCCCTCAAATGATTGTCTCTGTAGCTTTGTTGAAAATGAAATTAATGACATGAAATTTTCCATTAATACTAATCATTTTCACAATAAAATGTGTTCTATTCAGCACGTTAAAACGACAGAACTGCATAAAGACAGACAGCCCATCCACCCCCACAGTTGTGAATTTGTAGCCAGTCTTCATAATTTGTCATTTTAGGTTGGAAACCTGAAGATAAATTGTCTGTTCACGCCATGTCACACTTCTGGCCATATCTGTTATTTTGTAGAAGGAGATGGGAAGGTGGCACCCAGTGTATTCACAGGTGAAAATATTGAGGCCTAAAACCATGGTTTTCAGAAGTCAGTATAATTAAACACTGCTGACAAGAACTTTTGGTTGTGTTTTTCTAAGGGTAATAAAACATTAATCTAATATGTAATAATCCAGGAACTATGAATCCATACACCATAAGATGTTTTTATTATTTTTTTATAAACCGATGCTGAGAAGAATGTAATCCGCAGAGTTCCTGATTCATGTTCAGGTTATATGACTATTTATTAAACAGCATTTTGGTAAATAGATCAGGATTTAATCAAGCTTTTTTGTTTGTTGTCGAGATATCGACGTTTTATGAAACAGACATTGATTGAAATGAATGGAAGAAGTTTGTCGTTATTCACATATACTCATGTGATTTGATGACAGCCGCCCAGAGAAGGGTTTATTGGACTATGTCAATTCGGGGACGTCGATTCAGAATTTCAATATAATTTACCCATCGGAAGAAGCACTTACGTGATATGAGGTTATTTGCCCCTTAAAATGAGTTCAACACTTACTATATAAAAAACATGCACAGAGACGTACAATCGATTTTAACGACATAAACCACAGATTAAGATGACTTAACGAACATATCTGAAGGATATTCACCATGCCTTACTCTGTCTGTCCCTATCGATTGTTATGTTGCCCAAAAAGGGGTTTCAAGATGGCGAAAGGCGTTTAGCTTTTGCAAATGTTCTTGCCTTAGGTGACACCCTCTTTGTCTCTGGTTGTGGTAGATTCTTTGAAGGTACAGCTGAGCAGATGCACCATGCACTGAATGAGGTCTTAGCGACCCTTCCACCGGCAACGGTAAGATCTACTTTGCAATTTCAAAACGCTTTCTCAGTCTTTTCAATTTTCAACACACACTTGATTTTTGAAAATCTTAGAAACTATGCGGTAATGAAAAGCTCTTGAATTGTAAAAGTTAATTACAAAAATTCAGGACATTAATCTTTCATGCTTTTTCTGTGAAAACCGACAGTCCACAGATGAAAAGTCTTATTGACAAATATAAGCAATATTTCTTTTTGAGTGCCACAGTCAAACTTGAAAATAATTTGAAAAGCGGCCTTACCTTTCTGAGCAGCCCGAGTATAGGGATTCATATATTTAGGTGTGTACACGACCATTGCATGCCTCGATTGTTTCTGTTAGAGTACTTCCTTGCTTGGAGATTGAGGCCTTAACTTTAGGTGGAGGTTTAAAATTAATGGTATTTACCGGGTTACCTGAACTTAAGAAGTGTCATCTTTTGTCATTCCAAGTTACCTTTTTCTCAGATATTGTGTTGTATGATTCAATCAAAAAAGCAAGTGCATCATTCCGTTTTATCATATTGTCTATCAAAACAGACTTTATTTGTTCCTTTGTTTCATATTTCTCATGTGTATGTTCATTTTGCCTCACAGACAGTGTACTGTGGCCACGAGTATACAGTGAGCAATCTGAAGTATGCCCTTCATGTTGAACCCGGAAACCAAGATATTATCGATAAGCTGGCATGGGCAAAGGTATCAATTGTTTATTTAAAAACATTGTTTATGGATAAACTAATATTTTATATCATCAACAGTGTCTTGGCTAAGGGTGTCTTGAATAGTGGGAAATGAAGAAATTTTGCGAGAAAATTAAATGATTCGCTCAGGTTTGCTTCAACCCTGTATCGAATTATCTTCAAAAGCTTCCGTTAACGTGTTTTATCAGTATTCTGCGAGTTGATAGTGCTCCTTTTAGCAAAAGACAAAATATTAAGTGTGTTATAAATTCCCTTGTTTACTTAAAAATAACATCATTGCAATCTGACCTACCATTTTCCAGCACACTATCTATGAAGCACATTTAACTGTTATTGTACAGAGCACTTTACACTGTACACTGTACAGAGCCCGGTCGTCTTTTCATCTAGACGTTTTTGGAATACAAACGAGACAAACTAAAAAGCCGCCATTGTATAGACAGAATGAGTTCGTTTTCTTTCTTAGACTCCAGTGATTATTTTTCTATAGGCACGTAGTCCTGATTATAAAACTCTACCGGTCATGTGCTCGCACTTTTGTGACAGTCTTTTTCCGATCCACAACTGGGTGTATATGCTCCATCTTGTTCATTTTGACACTTATTCTGACACTTTATACTCTGAGGAGAGTCAGATGAAACGGCTTTTTTTATGCTGTAAAATATTTTCCTTTATCAAAGCCTTTTCCCAATTTCTTGCCGCTAAAAATTGTTCACGCTTAGCAGTGCTGGCTATACTTAACTCTCTGTATCATTTGTGCCTTTTCAGAAAAGGGTTTCTTTATCCAGCGTTTTGCCCGTAATCAATGCAGTGTAGGACCCGAAGTTTCAGTCCATATGTTTTCTCCCTGTTCCACCTCCGAATCTCGCAGGATTGCCTCAATGTCTTACAGTATGTGTCACCAGTCTATTATCAACTGCTTTTTCTTGCATTGATTATTAGAGAGCTGCTATTAATCCTATTTAAAGGTTTTTTATAGAAGTCTCTCTAAGGTACAAGTGCAAAGTTGTTTATTCTCTAATCAGTTTTATTGAAGAACCGACGTGAAAGTAACCTTTCAACCATTCCTTCAACCATTGAAGCGGAACTGAAGTGTAACCCTTTCATGAGAGTCAAGTAAGTCGGGAATCTCCTTAAATTTTTCGATTCACGACTTTCTAGCAAAATTTTATTAAACCACAGCTTTAACTTTTTCTGGTTTTTGTTTTTTTCATTTCCAAGTTCTGTACAGCCTAAAAAGCTGAAAAATAATAAACTGTACTGAAAGAATGGACTGACTGAAATTTGTCGGACAAGTGGAATTTTTGCTCTAAAGATTAGGTCTTCGATAAACTGTTAAAATTATAGCTTCCTTTTTCTGCATTATATTATTGTTGCACAAAATGATACTACATCGTACCGTAATATTGTTTTGTTTATATTTTACAGTGAGGCAGTGGTGCAACGTCATACTAAAACAACAGATCCTGTTGCCACCATGGGGGCGCTGCGCAAAGAGAAAGATGCATTTCGCCCTAAGATGTAGTCTGTGCTGAAGCTGTCCAATGCGTTTGATTCAACATTCGGGCAGAAGAAGAATGCCTGTATGAATACACACGAAGTCCGTTTGCATGCTGATTAAAGTTGGGGAAATGAACAAGCGAAAGTCTTCTTATTTGTGAGCAGCCCCCGTCAAAGAGCCAAGAGCATTCGTGATACAGTTCCATGCGCATACTCCTTGACTCAAAGACAGGGGGGTCGCTTCACTCATTCGAAACTTTGTATTGTCTCCTAACAAAGAAGTAGTTGCTGTTTCTCATCTATAGCAAGAATAAGAATCGATTATTTTTGTTCAAACTTAATGTATTTGCATTGATAAGGTGTAAGTAAGCAGCGATTGGATGATACAAGTCATACATAGGCTGTAACTCGGTGTTATCTTTCCACGCCTTACCTACCCCTTCGACTGCATATTGTTCCATCTTGGTTTTTCAAAGGACAGCTCATTTCACAGAGTTCTTATTTTTCAATATTTCGCAGCCTATATCTGTTACACCTTAACCCTAGCCCTTATATCTTATTGCATTTATGAATGAAGAGCTTAAGTATTGTTAACATTCAGTTATTTCTCCAGACATACGGTAAAGTAAGAACAAATAGTAACATTTACATTTTATCAAACTACTTACCTCTCTGAGATTTCTTTTATCATTAAAAATTCTTACTCGAAAAAAATTCAAATTCCCATCGTGCATCGTGAAAAAGATCGTCTCCCAAGTTCAAAAGTAGAACAATCCACGAAAATAACTTTTCATTGTTATTAAACCCTAGCTTAAGATGATGTAAGTAAAACACACGCTTTCTAATTGTAAAATATATACATTACAAAATTTACACATCACAATCATTATTTTCGAAATTTTTCGCTGCCACGATCAAACGAAATTATTCGCTGCCAAAAACTTGAAAAATTGACATTCGAGACGAAAAAGAATGACATTAAACCAAGGAAAATTGCTCTTACTTATTTCACTTCTCAGCTCCTCAAAATCTCATTTCTCAGCTCAGCCATTCTCTCCCCACCTTCAATGGAGCTCCATTTACTATCGTGTTCTGTTATCACACACTATCGAACAGAATTCGATGTGGTTAAAACCGAAGTTCAGCTACAATTAATATTATTTTCACCAGGGTTGCAGAGGTGGGGGTGTGGTGGTGGTACAACCCCACTTTTAGAAGAAGCTGTCAGTAATTTTGGGTTTGGCGGTAAAAGTTTGGATGTGATCTTGACTTCGGTCATCATGTGCTAAAAATCGTCTAGGACATCATTTCATAAAACTATTTGGATAGCGCGTTGAATATGACTCTACTAAAAGGCATTTTGCTCTTCAAAGACTTCTCGTTTCTGTATCTCTAACCACAGATAGAGGAAGGAAAAGAAAACTGTAGCTTTTGTAGGTGTTCATTTGAAAAGAAAATCTTCGTAGTATATCTTTGATGATGTGTTTTGGTTTTTGTTGTTGCTGCTCAACCTTTTCCCCTTCTACTTTCACCAGGCTCTAATCCAGTCCAGATTGTCCAAAGGATAGCTTTAAACTTTGGAGAATCTCTCCTATCTTTGTGTCAAGCTTAAACCAAATAAAACTATGCTGCATAATTATAAAAAGATTACAATTGTGGTTTTGCCTAGGACCCTCCTTTGTTAAAAACGATCTTCTGAATATTTCAAACCTCCATTCTCCTCTGGTTCATAAGTTTGCCGAAGCCTCAAAAAATTGACTAATGTCGTAGTGCAGGGCGTCGTGGGTAGAGACTCTTGGGGGGCACAGCTTGCAAATTTTGCGACAACGGGTTTGATTTAAAATTATGACAAGCGCATGCGCAGGTTTTTGAATGCAGAAGACATGGGAAACAATATATATCTTTTGCAGCATCAATTTTACCATTCGACAATTGGATAATCCTAATAATCAATAATCAGTATCTGTGATTACTAGTGAGACTCGCAGTATGGCTGATAATAAATGTCTTAAGAATCTAAAGAAACGAACTGGACGATTTTCAGTGCATTAGAAGTCTTCTTAGCAATGGTGTTTCAGCAAATTTGCCGATTACTTCATCGCAACTGAGTGTCAAATAAGTCAAGCTCAACATTTTAATCAACTTCTCTTGGTCCATTGTTGATCGCAGCCTCTTTTTGCACATTTGAGCACACTTGAGCTTTAAAAAGGTGCAGTTGCATTTAGTAAAATCAATTGGCAAGCTTGCTATTTCCTGTACAACTGTACAGATTTTGATAGGCAGAATGAAAAATAAAAACTTACGAGTTTAACAGTCTTAAGAAAACTTTTTTTGTTTATATCTTCCTTCTTATACTAACTAGTTCCTTTGAACTTTCTTGCTTTTCTATGAGCTAAAAGTATTATTTTTCTGAACAGATACGAAATTTCCGACAAATTTCCGAATGGTCGATGATAGCGGCCAGGCGCACCCCTGCCCCCTCCCATGCCACGACGCCCCTGGTCGCCTGATATTCTTTTATCATTTTATCAAATCTGCGTCAACGAAATAAAAAACCGGCAAACTATGTTGTCATATACCCGTTCCTTTTTAGAACAGTGGCTGTAAAATTTTTGTTTTTATGCATACTTTGTCGTGACTTGCAGAAAATTCTAGGTGATGATGACAGACTGACAGACATGACAAAGGATTCCATACGAGGCGATAACCCAAACGAGATCGCTGCATCATGCTTGGATCTGCGCTTGTCTGAGGCCTTTCTCTATAAATTTTGATCGAAAACGGTGAGTGAGCAATACAAGTTTTAAGAATCCATACGAATCACGGCATTTGTAAATTTCTATCTATTTCATTGGGTTAGAATAAGCAGTACTAAAGTAAAATTGTCTGCATTTTGCTTTATTTGTTACCTGTATACTAGATTTTGATAAATTCAGTTTAATTTCTTAGCCTATTGGATCTTCCAAGGCCTAATTTTTCAAACTTGTCCTATCGATTTTAGATCAAAATGGGTCGCAGACCAGCAAGATGGTAAGTTACTTTTCTATTTGAACTTCTCATATTTTCTCGTTAAATTTCTTCTGTGTTGCTGTACAGAAAATTCGCCATTTAAAACTAGTTTTTCTACCATATCATTTCTCTGGTATTATTTAGGAACTTGACAAGGAGGCCTAAGATTTGCTTATAGATATTTTTATTATCAGACTAATTTCAAAGCACAGTAACTGTCAAGTTCTTTTGCAACTAAAGCCTACTAAACTGAGAAATTAGTCCAATAAACCACCTCGATCGAATCTTTATCGAGGATGAAAGTCCCAGGAAGAAAAACTAAAGAAGGGAATAAGATTTCCTTGGTTGGTATTCTACAGTTGTTTTATCGGACACAGTTTTTCTAATAAAATATGTTTTTCCAGTTTTTCGGATCTTTTTCACAGTAGCATTCTGAATAATTTAATTCTTTTTATAGCTATCGTTATTGTAAAAACAAGCCATACCCCAAGTCAAGGTTCTGTCGTGGTGTTCCAGGTAATTGATTATTTTGTATTAGTGTATTTTTTAGGGTTCTAAAACACTATAAATCTTTTAGAGTTTCCAAGTGTTGGTCCTAGAAAGATTGTTTTGCAATGAAATAAATATATATAAAGTGTGTTAATTTTTAGCCAGAGCCTAAAGCCAAGAGCCTAAAGTGTGCTAAAAATTGCTTTCATTTATATTCTTTTTGAAAATAAATAGTTTTTTTATGTGTCAAGCATTACAAGCCTGCCCTATTGCAAGCAAAATTAAACAAAAGCAATTCATTTTGATGACATTGTGTGATGACACACCAGTCTGCAGAGTGTGGCTGGCGCACGTGGGAGGTCAGGATAGTGCTGCACGCCAAAATTTTCTGATTGAACATCAAATTTCCTATAGCGCTATTAAAAAAACTTAGATTTGCACGCAAAATGATCAGTAAAGAAAGGTTTGCACGCAGAAAACATGGCGTGAATGAGTATTGCACGCGCAAGATCTTGTCGAGAACTGCCATACTCTGCAGACAGGATGACATATTGTTAGGTTACTTAGGATGATTGAGGTTAGTCAAATAAAAGTAGTTTGGTTTGCTGTTTTCCTGCTTTTCTGTGATATTGTTATTTTAATATTATTGAATTTGCTTTTTGTCTTTCATTAAACCCTTCTATAAATAGCTCCAAATTTATGAGATTTCATTTCAAACACACACTATATATATATATAGATGCTCAATAAATAACAACTTGCTAAAACAAAACGTTTAGCTATAAGCTTACTTCAGAATAACTAACACATACATCTAGAGCATAAATACATACATACATACATATTTTCTCACCTTCGGCTGGGCTTAGAAAATATTATTGTGTTGTTAAATTAGCTATTATTGTTCTTGCTTGTAAAATGTGTTACCTTTTGTTCTTTTGTTTCGTATTACTTATTTTACGCTCCAGATGTGTTAGTTATTCTGAAGAAGCTTTATTGAGCATCTATTTAATATTTTAAAAAAATTTATATATAGATAGGAGCTATTGAATATATATACATATATATATTGTATATATGTCTACCAAAAGCTTGCTAAGGTTTCTAATTGAGGTCAGAATAATGAGCATGCAGATTATATATTTAGATGACATAGCTCAATACAGCACAAAAAAATAAGTAACCTTCTAGATTGTGTGTTTTGAATTAAAAAATGCATTTTTGTAGCTAAAATATTCTTTTTTCATGACAGACTCAAAAATTAGAATCTTTGATCTTGGAAGAAAGAGGGCACCAGTTGATGACTTTCCACTTTGTGTGCATATGGTCTCTGATGAGTGGGAACAGTTGTCAAGTGAAGCTTTAGAAGCTGGTCGCATCTGCGCAAACAAATACCTCATTAAGATGGCAGGAAAAGATTCTTTCCATATTCGGATGCGACTTCATCCCTTTCATGTTGTCCGAATTAACAAAATGTTGTCATGTGCAGGAGCTGATAGGTTTGTTTTGAAGTATATACATTGTACATATCGTTTTGTGATTTTACAGAGTTGAAAAGGGGCAGAAGGATATAAGTCTTGGTTACAGGGATTGGGGAGTCAAGCCAACTGAATTTCTCCCTTTGCTCAATCCAGTTTAGTGAAATAAACACATAAAGAAGCTTTTTAAGCTTTCTAAAAGGGTCAGTTCCAAGCAAAAATGCAAGGTTCATGCCCAACCAAGTGAATGCCACAAAAGAAAAGACCAATAATCTTTGTCAAAGTTAGAAAAATTCCAAAAACAAGTTAGAAATGCACAGCAGTTAGGAAATGGTAGGCAAAGGCCCTGCTCACATGATACCAGATTCTTTTTGCATCGGATTGCTTTCCATATCGGATAGGCCTTCTGTTCACACGATGACGCTTGAAGCCGATACGCTCAGTATTGTTTTTCCGGAGTGAAACCATTCGGCTGTGAATATGGAATGGAATCATATCGGCTCGCTTTTGAGCTCGTGTGAACGTATGAATCCGATATGGTTTCGCTCCGAAACCTCTGTTTCGAAAAGACAGTTTCGTTTTTGGGGTTTGTAAAAACAGTTTGGCACACTTTTCAAGACGCAGAATTACAGTGGATTGCAGTTAAACAACAAATATGCTCCTTGCGATGATGATGAGCTTCACAAGATAAATGCAAAGGAAAATTAGATTGTTTGAAAATTGATTTCGAAATACTTCTTCTTCAAAACAAAACAGCTTATCAGTTCTGTCAGGTCAAAGAATGCATTTAATCAGAAAAAGATGAAAACAACAAACAACATTCCACGTTGTTTTGCAGCTGCTTCAAGACAATGGATTTTTAGGGGTAGTGTTGTGGCGTAGCTTCTCCGTGTGGACAAGAGTTAATCCAATACAAAATGAATCTGGTACTGTGTGAACAGAGCTTCATATTCGTATAGGATCTAGAATCCGGTATCGTGTGGACAGGGTCTAAAAAAGGGTCAGAGCTAACAAACTTCCAATGAAAAATTACACCATGAAAAGGCTCTGTTGGCAAGGATAGTTCATACTTACTTAGTATATAGACAAGAGAATGTATTTACCTTTTTGCAAAACTGAATGGATATTTTGCTGTTTTGAAGAAAAATTTGGTGAAACTTTGAAGCTTTTCTCTGGTGAAAAAAATTTTCTGAAAAGTTTGTTTAGCAGAAATTGAATGTGTGAGTAGAATTACTTAAGTAAGCCCAAGCTGCCTATTATAACTAAAAAGCAGAGAATATTTTCACAAAAGAAACTCTTGTTTATATGATGCAACTATGATATAAGTTTGACTAAATGCTGTAAAGAGCCATAAAATATTAATTTTGCCTTTCCCTTTATGCGCATGCCCATTCGTTGCACTTTCTCATTGGTTCAGACAAATGGATAGAATTATGGCAATAAACAATAGGAGTTTAGACTCATCTCCCCAACAGCTTAGAAGTTGTTTGTCTGATTTCATCATTCACTACCTACAGTCTGATTTCTCAGCTGAAAGATCGTCCCAGTAATATGTTTATGATCAAAGCAAATGTGCACGTATTCAATTCAAGTTTTATGAAATAAATTTTAATCAACCCTTTGATATATATTTCCAGAATTTGTTTTGAAGCACTGATTTGAAGTTCCCCAGAACTTCTTGCTAAAATATTTCCTCAAAATTTATTTTTATTTGAAAACTATATATTGAAATGGGGCATATATATTTACTGCTGGGGCTTAAGTTACCTATTCCATGGAGTTTTCTTTTGGAAATTTGTCTGCTCTGGCCATTTTTGTTTTTATAATATTTATACACATAGAAAGTTCAGGTATATATATATATTTATATAAACATGTACTGTTTTTCAAACTGATGTGTTTCTTTTTTAATTAGATTAGAGATTGTGGCCAGCATAGACTCTAGATAAGTGGGGCCGCTGTTGCATAATAGAATTTTTCAAAAAGGCTAATCTATATATATATCATGTTTCATAATTGATCTTTTAGCTGCCATTTATCAAATTGTTTCCATGCTCACATTTGTATATGTTTTTGAATATAGCCTCACTGTATCTATATTTCAATGTTAGGCTCCAGACTGGTATGAGAGGTGCTTTTGGAAAGCCACAAGGCACAGTTGCACGAGTTCACATTGGGCAACCCATCATGTCTGTGCGATGCAAGGACAACCATAAGCCAATTGCAATTGAGGCTTTAAGAAGAGCCAAATTCAAGTTTCCAGGAAGACAAAAAGTAAGAAAATTGACAAAAGTTAACCTGTGACTTTCTGCATTGAACCAAGCAGTTATGGTTTACAATGTGTGTTATCATATGATACCATTTGATACCAGTTAAAGCTGAGTAGACCCTGCATTTCCCTGGTTTACTCAGCTCTAACTAACTAACAGTATTGTTTGGGTTTTTGATGAAATTTGGAGCAATCAGATTTTGAGCTTTGCATTGCCACATCCATCTTATAGAAAAATTGCACATTCTTACTGAAAAGGCACATAAAAACATGTAGCTTTTGATTTCTAAATTATATTGGGCTGATACTACAGATATTTTCTAGCAAGGATTGTTTTATTATATGAATCGAATATCAGACAGGTTAAGGATGGGTTACCAGGCTGGATGAGTTTGTGTTCTGTTAACACATGACATCAGTTAACTTGTGTCAGATTTTTGTCTCATGGCCTATCTTTTCAACTTTTGCGAACTTGAAACCCTTGCATTCACCTATCCATTCATTTTCTAAGAATCTGTTATGTAGCATGGAATTATTCAAGTAAACCCATTAACTATACTGTAATGGGGTCAGTTCTATTTAAGGTTTGAAAGGGGACCAAATACAAATATGTTTCCACTTATTCAACTGAATGTCATATATACAGAAAGTTGAAGAACCTTGTTTAATTCTTTTAGATTTTCATCTCAAAGAAATGGGGCTTTACAAAATGGGAACGTGATGAGTACCTCAGTAGAAGAAATGATGGCACTTTGATGCCAGATGGTGTGCATGCAAAGTATCTTCCACCCCGTGGCCCACTCAGTGCATGGAAGCGCAGGGTTCAAATCAGTGCCTAGTTGTAAATCAATGTGAAAAAACATTTGAATGAATTCAATCAAAAGTATCTGAAAAGTAGTATTTTCTAGCTTCCTTTTCTGCTGTTGCTAGATAAGTATCCTTTGTATGGATCATTCCATATATAGCATCACATCTAAGTGCAATACTGTCCAGATTTTCTTGAAATTTGACTCTTTTTTTTATTTCAGTTAAATTTTTCAGTCAATTTTTTATTTCTGTGCTAGGGGTGTACCGGATCAGGATTTTCAGAATCCGGCCGGATTTACCGGATTTCTTCGTGGAATATCCGGCCGGATTCTACCGGATAATCTGACAATTTATAGAATTTCAAGTAATAAGAGTTTTGAGCCACTTTGCGAAAAAATGTATAGCGAGAAGATCAAAGAGACCTATTCAGGGTTGCCAGATTGAAAATCAAAAACTCTCTTAAGAATCCATCGAGCAGGCACTGGTTATATTTCTACGCTTGTGCCTGTTAGATAATTTCTTAACTTTGATAAGAATCTTACTTTTTTCCAAAACCCTTTGCTAATATCAAAATAATATTTAGGTTAGGTGATAAAATTTGAAATTTGGTTAACACTTTGTAGTTAACTACTAACTATTCTATGAATGTAGTAATTACTTATTAATTTTGGACGTCTGCTGAAAAGGCCAACAAGGTCAAATTTTTCCAGGCAATCTAAATCTAAAAACCAAAAATGAAAAATTTGGCCTAAAAAGCCGATCTGGCAACCCTGGATCAGATTTGTGAATTATATCATCCAGTCTTCCTGTTTCGTGATGACGAGCACTTTCATTTCAAATCTGTTTTCAAGGCCCTTGTTTTATCATCGATATTGTTTAGTTCTGGAAAATCCATTTTTGATCACTGTATGAAGTCTGACTGACTTGGTTTTCCAAATTTTCTTAGTTTTCATTAAAGTTTTGGAAAATCCGGCAACTGGCCGGATTTCGGAAACAAATCCGGCGGGAACCGGATTTTAAAAAAATCAGCGATCCGGCCTACCGGATATCCGGTACATCCCTATTCTGTGCCAGATTCTGTCTTAGTTTGGCTTCCCTTTCTAAAACAGGGGCTTTGGCCTTTTTACCTTTTTTGGTAGATTCTTTGCCATCCTTCATGTAACAAACAATGATTTATTGTTTGTTTAATGTATCAATAAGAGCAACATTTGATATTATTTTTCTCTGAGAACCCCCCTCCCTGTATCTAGCCCCAAAGCAGCCTACAGGGCAACCCATACTTTCAAGATGTTTATGTCATGTCATATACCCCTGCCAAAACCTTTTTAAAAAATATGTAAGACAAAACATGTTGCAGACTTGTTCTCTAGCAAAATGAATTATCAGTAAAGATTAGTCCATGTCATCTAAATTTAGTCTCATGAAAATCGATATGTGTTTTTACAATCAACCATTTTCAAGTGAGACAGCTAATGAAAAAGAGGCCATTATTTTCAAAAAACTGCATGGCCAAAGGCGGCTGAAAGTACACACTTTGATCCAAGCATAAATTTAATCTTTGCCAAACTTTAAGCTATGGTAAATGAAAGATTTGAAGTTTGCTACCAGATAAGTGTTATCTTGGCTGTAGTTCAGAAGCTACCGTAATTTGATGGGAACTAAATTATGGTAATTTGTTAGGGAAAGTGCCTTTGATTACGTGGCCATATTTAGCAAATTTTAAGCATATTTGACTGATTTCGAAAATCTAGATGTGTTTTTTATCCCCTGGTTGTGCAATCAGAAAGTCCTAAAGAGAGACTTGTGTGAGGTCATAGCTTGGAAACCCTAAACGTTCCTTGGCAACACCTTATAAAGCATTTCCTGTTTATAAAGCAATAAAACCCGTTTATTTTTCTTCATTTTTAGCCCCTTCCCCCTTGGAAAGATATAAATCAAAATTTATTTCGAAAGAGGCCATTGGAGGCATGTCTGCTTTTTTTAGCCAATCAAAATATGAGATTCGTTCTAGAATTTTCTGGGAAGTGGGAATTCCCCTCTCGAAAGCCTTTGGCGATTGATGATCCTCCATTCTTCAGAAAGCAGATGGTGAGAGAACAGTTTTGCAGATCGATCTAGAATTTAAAGTAGGACGTCAGTGAAGTAACAAACTAAGGATTGATGGACCGGTGTGTTAAGGATGAAAATGGAAGACTTGGATTTCGGGCTTTTGGCGACGTAGTATTGATGTGTGCCGAAGATACTTGCGGGCCTAAAGGGAAGGCCGAATTTTGGTGCGAGGAATGCTGCCGCACTTCAACTACCTTCGCAACAAAGATCCGTACTCTTGCGTGGAGAAATTTTTGTAAGTCGTGTTCTGTTTTGTTCTAATAGATGTTTCAAATTTATGTTCGCTAATAAGGGCTGTTATCCGAGATGAAGGTGGTGGAAGACATATTGCAATAATTTTTTTTCCAGACCAACTTGAACAATGTAGTGTCTTATTAGATTTGTTAGAATATGTATTTACAACTCTTTAACCTATGATAATTAATAAACGACTTCTGTAATTTATAACAATTTCAACCTTTCTCTTCGATGTTACTGATCTCTTTTGAGAATTACGTCATGATGACGTCACCCATAGTCATGCAAACATAATGTAGGCTTCGGGCCAAATAATTTTAATTTATATGAATGAATTCTAGGTAACTAATCTGTTTCTCCCGTTTTCTTAGTTTTCCTTCTCAATTTATTTTTGCTTTAGGACATTTTCGTTGTTAAGTTTTCCCCTCTATGATATATAAAGTTCCTAAAATCTGTATAACTATTGAACAATTTTCAATTGAATAACAATTGAAACGAATTGGCATTCAACTGGCAGTTTGACCAGCATGCTGTCTGAAATTGTTAACAATGAATCTTTCTGTTTTTAAGATTCTAATTTGTCCTAAATTTAAAATTCATTGTAGCTACAATAAAAGGAGTAAATATGATTTAGTAATAAAGACCCTGCCATGTTTAGTATAATAAACATAGTTTGGTTGCTGAAAAATTGCAGATAGTGGGCTTGCTATTTTCATTTTCATTGGCCTACTCATTACTTGCCAGTCTCTTTTTCAGATTCTGTTATGAAATTCTTGTTAAGATAATTTTTATATATTGCTTAGAACCTCCTTTCATATATCTCAAAAGATGTGAATTGTAGGAGACCATTGAAGGAGGCTATTTGCTAGTGAAGGAGACCAGAATTTTGTAATAGTCTTATAATACTTTTTTCACTAGCAACATCAACAGCAAGGAGTGTCATGAATCCTTCTAGCGACCCTGGCATTTCTCCTGGATACATCACAGTTGCATGTGTCGTAGGATTTCTGGTTTTGGCTACCATTATTGCAATAACAGGTAAATTCATTTGGAATTTAGCATTCACCTAAAACTATGTTAAAAGTTGTTCCTATATGGGGGTACCAGGTATTTTGGCGTGATTGCATGATCAGCCTATTTTCGATGCATGAATTCATGAAACAAATTTTTGTTATGCGTGAATAGACATTGGCACGTGACCTTTGAATCAGTATTACAAATGCATGATTGCGTGAAAATGAATTTTGAAACAAATTTTGAAATGAAATGCTTTCGTTTCTATAAGCAGAAAGTCTTGGTAAATGTCAGTTTCCACTACCAGACCAGGTAAATGTCTCTATTATTCAGAGGTTCCAATGCCGATGGCTCTGCCAACAAGAAGTTACTACTATTAGATAGTTATTAAAAAATTCAGAGAGCTTCTAGCGGGCGTGATCTTGAAATTTAATTTCCAGTACCATGAAATCGTGAATGCAGTTATTTCATGCACGATTGCGTGATTCAGCCTGTATACCTGGTACCCCTCTAAAGAGTATGACACCACAATGTCAAGGCTATGAGTGATGTTTCAATTGTGCCAGACTACCAAAAAATTATCATCTTTCTTTTGGGGGTATGGAAAGGATAATTTGCTTAAGAAAAGTATATGTATATATGCTTATGATAATTGGGAAAAGAATTTTTTTTTTAATATACCTTTCTTACCAAAGTGTAATGCAATATGGACATTCTTGTTTACTTGGTATAAATCACCTTTCCTAAAAAAGGAATCTTTCAATTTTTATTCATTTTTATAGCACCCTTGAATAACTTATGGTCTCCAAGGGTCCATGCCACGGTTTGTAGACTGGGGGGGGGGTGGCAACAAATGGAACAATTTTCCTTGTTCCCCGTAACAAAATTTTGCCAATATGCTGACATTATAGTTCCTCAACATTAAAAGAAGGTCCACCAAAGGGCTTAGTTCCTTGCAATTTAAAGAGAAATTTAACAGGCCATTACAAAAGGGCGTCCAAAAGATTTCTTTGCTGTAAATCCTTGAATTGTTTAAAGTATTGAGTTGCTACCACCCAAAAGAGTTCCTTCATTTTTACATTCACATGCCAGTAGGATTCTTTCTGCGTAGGAACCTAAAGACTTGGGGGTAGAGAAAAACATGTCCCTTTAAACAGAAGAAAAGTCTCCTTGGTCTTGTGGATCTAAAATGCCAATCATAACTTGTGATTCTGCCATTGGGAAGCATTACTTGACAACTAAGATTTTGCCAGAATTTTTAATGACAGCATGTTTCTTAATTGGCAGACTCACTAAAAATCCTTTTTGTTTTGTAAAGTTTTTTGAGATAATATCTCCATCTAGTTGAATAGTTTATTACAGGCCACAGAATAAGAAGCCACAGATTGGTATTTCATCCTACCTATTGTTATCAAGATCTATTTACACGAAAATAAAAGTAATTACTAACATGCTGATAAGATAAATCTATGTGAAAATTTGGGCTATTTTCAAACCTTAACTTTCAATAATGTGGGGAAATGTCTGCCCCCTGCCCCCCTCCTTTTGCATTGACCCTCTCTTTCAAGTTGCTCATACATTTTTCAACAAGCTGAAGATTAAACATGCTTGTTTGAGACATACTCTATATAAATATTGACTAATTTGTTATACTAAAACATGGCTTAGTCTATTTTTATGACACTTGATTTGTTTTGTTTAAATAAAACGTTTGATTTTATTTGTTTTGGTTGTCATGTGGAATATATAGAAATAACATGTTTTGTATCCCAGTTTATTGGAAAAAGCAGAAGAAGCAAAAAAAGCGAGAAAGGAGTAAACAGAACACTTTGCCTACTCAAGTTGATAAGAAAATGGATGGAGAATATGTTATCCAACTAAATGGTCAGGTTGTGACATACCAACCAAAACGCGATGTTACAACAGAGCCCATTCAGGCCACACCAGATGATAATTTGGGACCAGAATCTGGTCTCCTCACAGGGCAATAAATCAGGGGAATCTGAATTCTGACAGAACACAATTTCTAGTGAATGTAGATAGTTAGTAAAAAGTGTGTATATATGCAAAAATGACATTTGATGAGTTTATGTAAATATTGGTCAAATCAAATTTTAATTGCCAACTTTACATTTTCTTTATCTGATGACTGCCTCTACAACATTGTTCTCATTTGATTCTCTCAAAAAAAAGTTGATCAAGGCTGACATCTTGATTGGCATGTGTCCTATTAATGCATCTTTTTGTAATTAATAAATGGTCATTAATTTGTGTTGATATTTTAAAACCCCAATAGCAATGCTTCTTTCCCTGAGGTCATTTATCTTGTCCCCAATAGAATAACTCTAAAGCTGTTTTTTTTCGACACGATGGCACCATATAACATATTCAAAACTGACGTGCTATGCAGACATGTCAACTCTCCCAGTTTTGCCAGGAGACTCTAGGCTTTCCTTGCTTTCTCCCAGTCTCCCGGTTTTTTATAATTTTCTCCCTGTTTTTCTTTGTCTTTTAGCAGAGGTTTTCTTATAACAAAAATGATTGAAATGGCTTTCTTCGTGACAATGTTTTTTGTTAGTGTTTACAAATCAACGAAAACGTTGAAAACCATCGATAATTGTTGTCATTAACTGTTTGTCCAACATGACTTTTTTGCAGGTATGTTGTTTATAAATTCAAGAAATTCCAGGGATCCCCCTGTTTTTGGCCAAATCTCCCTGTTTTTCTCAGCAAAAGATCTGAAATCTCCAGGTTTTGAAAATTTTAGGTTGACAGGTCTCGATGTCAGGTTGAAGTTGACGAGGAGTAAATGAGCGATATTGCAATAAAAGAGGTAAACACAGTCGACTCAGATGGTAGTTAGTCACTCTGCTTTAAGTCACAGTATTGTTTACAGTCACATAAAATTTAGACCCAAATACGCAAAATCTTTCAATTAAGCTCCGTTTAAAGTCAGTCCGTTTCCCAATGATGCCAATGAATCTGAAAATTGACAATGGCTTTTCCCCACCAAAGAACCGATCCATCAGTCCTATCTCAGCTCCATAATGTCTGGAAGGGAAGCATAACTTGCTTAAAAATGCTAAGCCTGTCATAAAAACCTAAAAAACATCAGCTGCACCATGTCTCTCTCCAGTCTCCTCGATCCTGAGCCAGTCTCATTGTCTCAACCATGCTCACACCACGCAGATCCTTCAGCACGTCGCTGTAGCGGGTTTTTGATTGTCCTTTTCCTCTTGGACCTAGCAGGTTTATGGTCCACCTCCTCCTCTTGGGCCAAACACGACGATACCATTCAACAGGAACTTGTCGTAACTACTGTTACAAAGGACATTATCAATGAATTTCGTTAAATTTATCCAGGAGAGTCTGCGTTCACACCAATTTTTGAAGGAATTCACCATTTGTCTTCCTTCCAGTGGATGCTGATTAGCTGTCTGTAGCACAATAATTCAAATCTTTTATGTTCTTTCTGTCCGAGCTTGTATCTTTTCAGATTTTTATCTTTTTAGTTTTCTTTGCATTAGTAACAGGCTTGTTTCTTTCAGTAATTACTCGTCTGTCAACCAGCTCCTGTAGTTTCGTCATGCTGCCCGCTACCTGTACCTTATCATCAGCATATATCTGGTTGGTTATCTGGTATCCACCTATCAAGTACTGCCTTGAAATCCATGTAGCGCCTTTTTCATGATTGTCTCAGAGTAGATATAAAAAATATGGTGATTAAATGCCAGGGGCGTAGCTAGAGGGGGTGCCGAGGGGTGTAACGCCCCCCCCCCAATACTTCATTAATTCGTCGGTAAATCTCCCTTTTGTCTACAAAATCCTTTGTTTGTCGGTAAAATCATCTACCAGTGGGTGAAATAGCACCTAAATTCTTCTCCAACTATGTCTTCGTTCGTAAATTTTTCTTTTGATAACCCTCCATAAAAACTGGAAGGTCAAGCGACGCCACTGTAAAATGCATCCTTGCCTAACGCCTTGATCAATTTTTAATCATTCAGCAGGGCTTCATATAAACATCCCCCCCCCCAACCCCCAACACACACTTTTTCACAAAAATAGTGCCTTTTTCAAAATCTTTTGTTATGATCGCGAAATTTTCCCTTGGCCTACCAACTTTCCAATCTGCGTCGGAGCCCATGTTCAGTCAACCCATAAGTAGCTCTTACTGTTGCTTTTTGGTCAATATACATTGCTTTCAAGAGAATGATGACGTGTGGTCAGGACAGCCCATGTCGTACATGTTCTTTCAAAGGATTTCATGATCCACTTTGTCAGACGCTTTCCTGTAGTCAATGAAACAGAGAAACAGATCTTTCCAGAGAGAGGCAAAGTTTGTGGTAGAAAGCCTCCATGTTTGGGCCTTCATTTTTTATTATTTCAGCAGAGATTTCATATATTACTTTGCTTTTCCCATTTTTCATTTCTTTGATGGTTTCTCTTGATCCTTCTAGCGGCGGTGTCGGTTCGTCTCCGGCGGAACAGTAGTCTTCCAGCCTTTTAACGAGTTTTGTCTTGTCTTTGTCTTTAACGAATCGTTCCATCTTTAGATAATGGTATCCGCTGTGGGCTTGAATGTTTTGGTGAGGCATCCTACAACTTGATCATACTTTGACTTTAGTATTAGTATTTTGCTTCAATTTTCTGACATTAATGTTTTAGTAACTTTTCTTTGTCCATTCTAATTATTCTTTGGGTTTTGGTAATTCACTTTAACAACTGGACCTAGATCGTATTTCTCTCCTCGCTGTAGCTTCAGTTACCGTTTAAGCACAGATCCATTTGTTACTTTTCTTCTTTTTCTTACAGGTCATACAGGTCCTGTAAGTTAAGGTAAATAGGAAGACAAAGTGAAATTACTGGGCGTAACAATAGACAATCAACTAAAATTTGATGACCATATAAAATTGTGTGTAAAGAAGCAGGAAAAAAGATAAATGCACTTTGCAAGAATAGCGCCTTATTTAAAGTAAGATAAAAGAAAACTTTGATGAAAACATTTGTTTTGACATTCTTCAATTACTCTTCGCTGGTATGGATGTATTGTAGTAGGAAAAACGATAAACTTATTGATAACATTCATAAAAGATCATTCCAAATAGCCTATAACGATTTTTCATCTAATTTTGAACAATAACTGCTCAAAGACAACACGGATACAATCTGTTGCAAACCTTGTGTTTCATGTGTTAGACTTTAGACAGAAAATTTTCCAGCTTTTGATTTTATTATTTATAAGATACAAGCTGATTACATATTACGTTGCTACTGTACTCAAAATCTACGCCCTCTCCTTCTTCCTCCTCCTACCAAGAACTCTTCACGACACGTGTTTATTTTTTCTAGGGACCTGGGGCGAGGCCTCTAACACGATCCAAACAAGGAATTTAAAGCAACTTGCAACAGAAATTTACAAAACTATTCATCACGAAACCCCAAGTTTTTCATGGAAGATATTTTTAGCATTAACTGAATCACCTTATTTTTTTGCGTAGTTAAATTTGGTTATTGTTAAAATATTTGGTTGGTTTTAATTAGCTTTAGTATAGCTGGTAGAGTACGTTTACCAACTCAAAAGAAAGTAAAGAAAAAAGGTCGGCCCGTCATTTTGATGCTTAATTCGATATCTGCAGTTAGGAGTTGGTGTTCGCTGTTGCAGTCTACACCTGTGTGAAATAGACGTTTAAATCGAGAAGAACGAAAATTTGAAGAAATGACGATTTTTGCGAACGGATGGACTTTTCCTTCCATGTCCATCTTATAACATTCAAATCCGAGTCCAAACTTTTATCCAAACGGCTAACATGCAAAACGACGGTTCTTCGCGAACTTCATTACCACATGCACTCTGATGAAAATATTTTACGAGGTACAGCGCAGTCTTTCTCAAGCACTGTTTGTCCTAAATGTGCCTCAACACTTAAACTAGTAAACTGAAGCCTGGTTCACACGTGTAAAGCAAGGGCTGATGCAAGCGAAGTAGGCATGCGCAGTTAAAACTTTTTGGATTGTGACAATGTGAAGTAAGCTGTTCACACACGTGCAAGCAAATTAATCAAATCTGATGTAAAAGTATAGGCTTCCTTGATCGGCTTTAAGCGAATCATACATAAACAACGATTTGGTCTGTGATATAAACAAAATTTGAAGAAGAAGTTTAACTTTCATTAGGATACTTGATGCTAAAGCGTAGAATACGTAGACGAAAGCAACTCACAGTTTCAGAAGTAGTTATTTTTTCCTATCCATGGAAAACCTGTCGGACTTATTGTAAAGAACAAGTTGTTTTCTTACAGCTTTTGCAAATATTTCTTCCGCCATGTTATATTTGTTGAATGCAAATTATAGTTTTACCACGTGACTCTGTACTCGGGGGCGTTGTGGCTCCTAGAAAAGGGCCGGAGCGAAATGACCATAAAAGGGCCCGTCATTTTGTATGACATCTCCGAACACAAACCACAAGTCGCCAAAAAAGATTACATATGTACCTGGAGGCCATGCACTTAAGAATAATTAAAAATATGCCAGTTTTTATCATTTTTAAAGGTTCATTTGCTATATCTGTTGGGGGTGTATCCCCTTTCTCTAACCATAGTCTCTTTGAGACTGCAATTAAAGTATAACAAATCCAATGCAATAGTGCAAATTTGATACAAACACAGACGCGACAGAGCACTTACGTGCACTGCGAGCGAAGCGAACAGAAAATTTTTGCGGCCACGCCTTTTAAATAAGCTTGAAATACATTTCAGAAAGGTTTTACACGTATTTACCACGTTTTACAATTTTTATGCATACTTTGTTGCGTTTCGTTAAAATGCAGTTCTTAAATTGGAATTCCTTGCTTTAAGAGTTCCCCTCGAGATCGAGGCCCCGGGGCAGTTTGCCCCTCTTTGCCCCCCTTTTCGGCGGCCCTGTTCATATTCTACGCACCTCTTTCACAGGGGCCTGAATTGAATGGGGCCCACCGGGAATATTCCCGGTGTCCCGCCTAGCCACAACGCCCCTGTCTGTACTCATTTCATAGAGCACGCGCTGAGTACGACGTTCACACCACAAAATTTATTGAACAAGCATGACGCAAAGGAGAAGCAGACGCAGCAGTGAAGCAAGATCATCAAATCTTTTTTATATTCTTCATTCAATGCATGCTTCATGTTTGCTCCATGTGTGTTCACACACCACTTGCTTCTGCTGCCACGCCTGCTTCTGCTTCAACTCCAGGGCCTAAAATAAGAATTTTTTACAGATCTACATTTTCTTATAAATTTTCAATGGGCGTGGCAAATATAGAAACTGCCACCATAGTGCAAATAGCATGTCCAGAATGGGCAAAATTTTGAATGAATGAAGCATGTGAAGCTGGCTCTTTGCAATATACGGATTGGGTTTATAAGAAAATTAGCAACAAATAGCGATGTCTTAACTTGTGAGCATAAAGTTATCTAAAGGAAACCCTTTTACATTGTTTGTTCGGATCTCCGTCAAATTTATTTTTTCTTTCCTTTAACTTTTTCTATTTTTTCAGTCTTGCTTCCCAGACTTTAGTGTTTTTGTTTTTTAGAGCCATATCTTTGCAGCTGTTCACGGAACTCGAAACATGCGTGTTAACCAGGCTTTAGGTCGCAATAGCTTTCGCAAACCTCTTGGGCAAAACGGTTAGCTTCCTTCAAATGTTTAGCCTTGCATGTATTAACTTTCTGAATCTCGCTCCGAATATCTCTGAATATCTTTGAATCTCTCTGAATATCTCTGAATATCTCTGAATATCTCTGAATCTCTCTGAATCTCTCTGAATCTAACTTGCTAAGCATATATGTTTATAGGTTTATATGTACAAGGAAAATAACAAAAAAGCATTACGTAGCATAAAATGTTACCTAAAATAGGCTATTAGGTAATTCTAGAAGCAGAGGCATACACAACTTGATGAGGGTAATCCTACAACAATAGAATGGAATGCTGTGTAATGCGGAGTGGGGCTTTGTCACCAAGACAGAACATTCAATACACAAGGGGGTTCACCAAAATGCTACGCAATAGACGATATAGCTACGTACAATCACTGCCAAAAGTCTTGGAACACTAACGTAGGTTTTCAAAGGCAAACTCAGCCATCCCCCTCTCCCCCTAGGAACAATGTTGATTTACTTTAGAAAAAAGAGAGGGGTTATGGAGTACGCTTTTTCTTGTGGATTGTTTGATATTTTTCTATACTTTCAACATTGTTTTGGGGGGAAAGGGGGGCGGAAGTGGTAGTATTCAAGAAAACAAATGAAAAATAGAAAAGCACAGCCCAAAGTGTTAGGTGTTCCAAGTAATTTTGGCAGTGATTGTAGCTACGTATGCAAAACAATGCGAAGCGTAATTGCTAAATAAACCCATGCTTAGGCTGGCATTATTTTAGCTATATTACACCTTGTCGTGTTCTTACATTTTTCATACAGCTTTTCCATTTTTCACTAAACAAAATAAATATGGTCAATCTGATTTCCTGTTTTTCCTATCAGGTGCTGTCAAAGTATCCATTTTTACAGTCATTTTCAAACATTACAACCCCATCCAATCTCAATCCTTATTTTCCGATTTCCCAGAAAAACTTTTCTGTGAAATGGAAATCAGTCGCTTAAGGCTATTTAACACGTTGCAACTTGTTGCAACTTGCAATCAATGCATTTCCGATCCGATTTCCCATGTTCGCGGAAGAGGCAAATCGAGGCAGAAAGCGGAACTGACTTGGAAGAGAGGGCGATACTTCGTTTCACAAAAGCAGGCGGGCAGCTCGTAGCAGAGTTTTAAGAAAATCGAAACAAGCACAGATGCTACACACTCGAGTTGAGCTAGCGAAGATTCATTATAGAAATACATTTTCGATAACAAAGATTGAAACTAGGGTACATTTGATACAGAAGTGATGTAGCACTTGACACCAGTTGGCCTAAAGATCCTTAGTCTCGTCATCGAGGAAGAAGTACTCTATTGAATTAGATAAAGATTTCATAGAAGGGAGGGTCAGGTATGTTGACATTTTCTCTCATTAGATGTTTAAATATACAAATAATCTGTCTGCTGTGAATTATTTGTTTTTTAATCAAGGTATATTTTTAATTAAATAAAAACTTTTATGTTTTAAGATTCTTGCAAGAAAATTCTTGTTAGTTGTTTATTATCTAGATGCAGAACCTGAAAAGAAACTGAGCATGGTCTTTTGTGTATCTTGTAAAATAGTGCTCAACATGATTCTTTCTACAAAATGCATTTGATAATGCAGTATCAATTGCAATTTGGTCAAATATACTGTACCTAGTATGGATTTCATGGCAGCTGAAGTCCCAAAAATTTTTTGCAAAACAATGAGTGCACTCTTGCACAGGCGAAAGATGGGTTTGGTTTTGATGTGTATTTGGATGTGCTGCAAATTAGGAAGTTTTTTCAAATACGGCAAAATTGCCCTCTAAATTTGGTCGCAACTGTGATTGGAAAAAATGTGCCATTCTAAATTGAGTGATCCACTTGAGATCAGGGCTGCCAAAAAGTTTCAGTGGGCTTGTGGCAAAAGTGAAGAAAGCTCCTTGCTAGCGAAGCGAGCAGACAATTTTTGTCACCTGTTCTTTAGATTAGCTTCAAATACACTCCAGAATATTCTTTGCAGTCATTTTCTTGCAATTGTTTCAATATTACTTTGTTTCAATTGTTTCATTGTCACGTTTTACTTTTATTTTCATTCTATAAATGGATTACTATCATTTAACTGTAAATGGTTTTATTCCATTCTTAAAATTGAATTCCTTTCTTAATGAGATTCCCTAGACATCAAGGTTTCCTTAACTTTTTCACAGAATGTAGTCCAGGCGCAAAATTTGAACATCTTTAAGACCAGGCTTGATAAGCGTTGGGAAGACCAGAAATTAAAACTGGAATTTTTTGCTTGAAGAGCTGAGGTGGCCCAACTGCAGAAGGGAATGAGATGACATGTTAGGTTTTTTCACAATTGATTCCTACCGCTGCTTTTGAGCCACTTCTAACCGAATTAATGAAAAAATAGTATTTTTAATTAGGTTAATGAACAAGTGCAGCAGCGGTTACAACATTTAATTTTTGTATATGTATGTATCAAGGCCCTTAGGCAATTTGCCCCTTGTACCCCTCTTGGTGGCCCTGCTTTAGATCATCCTCATGATGCTCTCAGGATGCTTATGTTTTTGGCCTTCTTGGCCATTTTTTAGGGTATGTCTTTACTTGCCAAGTCTTTAGGAATTTGAATAACAGCCACTGATGGTAGTGGTAGGTAAGCGTATTCCAACTCTCAATTATGAAATTCCCTGAGATGTAAAATGGATCTAAAAAAGGAAAAATGCTGAAAAAAATATGCACACACTCAAGAATCACTGAGAAATTTGATGCACACTCGAATGTGCTCACTTATCACAAATGCACTCTTGCACTCCCGGGTAATAGCTTGTGCACTCCTGAGATCTTGTCAAAAACTGCCATGAAATCCAGACCGGTACTGTACAATGATCCCCAATATACTGGATCAATGTTCATCCAAGTGCATTAGTTACTGAATCTACTAGGCATACTGAATGAAAGAAAATATGATTCATATTTTGAAAAAGTTACACATTCAAAATAATATCTAATTTGCACCTGAATTACATAAGTATTATTCCTGATATAAAAAATTATGTTGGCAATAGTGCTCTCAAAGAGCTGTCTTTGGAAGTGCTGCTCAAATCTCTATTGTACCCTGTTGTTTTCACTGCATACTTTGTTAGCTCATCGTGGTTTTTGGAGCATATTCTTATGCCCTTTCCAAATTTGCAATTAGAGTCCTAGACTATAGTCCCACCTATCCAAACCCTTCTCTCTTTGCTGTTATGTTTTTCTTGAGTTTTTGATACTTTTTTGGTATTTTTGATTAGAAATGCCCAGATTTTTATTGAAATCCTGTCATTTTTAAGGCCCTTCAAGGTGAATTTTATGTAATATTTTTCTTTTAGCATCACATAACGCCATGGCTGGGGTTCTACACAATAGATTGGTAGATGCCTGTGTTGTTGTGGGAATGGATGAACAAACAGGGCTGCTGCCATTACCAAATATGATCAGAGTCGATCAAGTGAACGAAATTGATGTGCTAGGCCCATTCCAGTTGAATGTTCTTGGTGTTCTTACTGGGACAACTGCTTTTTATCCTTGTCAACAGGAGCAGCTTTCGGGTATGTTGCATTCAGTTACTGATTTCTACAAAAAGTCCATGTTTTGTATAGTAAACTATATTCTGTATTGTGAGGTTCTGTTAACTCATGTTTTGGAGTTTGGAGCAGGGCAGTATTGAGCAGGCCTAATAGGATTGCAGGGAACTGAACAGTGTAGATGTACAGGAAAATTTGGTTGCAGGGCACAAAAAACAAGACGGGGGTATTACATGCTTGCTTTGGGGCCCACGCTCTAAACTACTGAGACTATCTAAACATATCTGCTTTTGCAGAAAATTTTATCAGTCTGCAAACGTTAACAGACTTTTAAACAAAAAAAATTATGTTGATGTTTTCTTAAATTAGCAGTTAAATTAGCATTATGTTTAAATTCCCAAAGCCCCTTTATAAGGAGCCTCGTATTCATTATAGCACATAGAGAAAAAACTCGAGCCTTTTGGAAATTTTATTTTTACTCCAAAGATCATTTACCTTCGACAACTCAGATGTTAATTATCCTTCAAATTTTTTTCCTTGTCTATTAAAGATTTTGAACAGTTCACTTTATAACAAACTGTTAATTCAAAAAATACATCGTCTGATTTTTTTGTATTTCAAAGGAGGGTAGATGCTCTCCAATAATTTCAATTTTCAAAAAGCTCTCCGCTTTAAGGAAAGTCGATCCAATTATGTAATTCGTTACCCGGACCAGTCTTTGTTCCATGTTCGTACGCACACAAACTTTTTAAAAGCTTAATCTAAGATTGCACGTTTTTAAGATATACATTCATAACCAAACGCTTTTTTATTCCAGTGTTCTAATTCCAATTAGACTTAGCTCATTTTGCAAAGAGACCCCCTTTTCCAAAATCTAGCATTTATCATTTTATTTTATAAGCCATGGCGTATAGAGTTTGTTATTAATAGATATACTTCGGTGCATTGCTATTTAAAAACTTGGCTGTTCTTAGGCTTTAGATAATACATGATACATGATGAAGGTCCTTACTTTATGATATTTCTTTACCGATGGTATATAGTGTTACTTAAGGTCTACAGGGAATAAAGATGATATATAATTGATATGGGAATTTTTGAATTTCTAGGTGGTGATTACTATTCTGAGTCCAATGTGATATGCCCCTGTGCTGCAACTAACACGCCAGCAAGCCACGGAAGGAAATTCCGACGATCGATGTCTTATGCACCAAATACAATGCCTTTCTCTGCAGAAGTCGTTCAGAGTTTGCCCCCGTTTTGTTTCCCTGATGGTGGCTATGCGTATAAGTCCGTCCAAGATCCGCACATGCACTATCTTGTCCTTACCAATATGGACGGGGGTCGTACATATTGTTGCGGGCTTGTCATGACGAGGAAATTTGCAGCTAAGGAGGTCAGTCAGCTTTCAAATTCTTATGATCTCTTTCTAAAGTCAAACGATGAAACTAAGGATAGTCTGTACATCCCTTTTTGTGTTTGCCTGGTATCAAAGTGGGCCTACTTCAATACGATGAAGGATCTTCTTTCGTCGCTTCTGGTTAAGTTGCGTGATAAAGCCAACGTTTGGCCAACCATAATGAAATTCGCATCCCATGTGGCTTGTATCATGGCCCCTCCCCCTGGAAACCTGTCTATAGAAGTTGAACTTTTTAATAACACAATATTCGTCCCGTCGGCTGATGAAAGCGAAAGATCTGTAATGGACCTTGACCTTCAGCTTCCTTTGCTGCTACTGCCCTTTTCAGAAATCATCAAGGTCATATCTTGTATTCTGACGGAGCAGCGAATGATATTCATCTTCTCAAATCAAGCATTGATACCGATTGTGATAGAGAGCTTCTTTACCTTCATCGAACCATTCAAATGGCGGCGGACCTATGTCCCTGTACTTCCCCATAAGCTCGCTGATTTGATTGAGGCACCTGGTCCGTTCATAATGGGATGTCACAGCCGTTTGCGCAACCACATTAGGCAAGTTATACGCATGGAAGAAATACCAAGCATTGTTGTAGTTGATCTAGATAGAGGCACTGTTGATGAAAGCCCCAAAGAGAGCATAGTAGTTCTGCCAGACTATATCGCACAGGCATTTTCTGTTCGTCTGCGTTTTATGAAGTACCTGTATGACCTCGAATGTATGAAGATTCCAACCTTCTATAATGTAGTCGAGGCTAAACTTCATAGAGATACGTTCAACAGAGAGTTCAGGCAAGGCGTTAAAGATGCATGCCTCGATATGATGGTAAGTCTGTTTGCTGAGGTGTTGTTGTTTACCAGAGTAGGTGAAAAGATCTTCGATAAAGAAGGATTTTTGAAAGCGAAACTTGACCAAGATCAGCCATTTTTCAAGCAAGTGTGCGCTTCTGATGCATTTGAGCGATTTGTTGATGATAGGCTTGAAAATCCGAGTCAGCGCGATACTTTTGCAGTTCTCGCCGAAAAAATAATCAACACTAGTAATTCTTTCACAAGAAAACGAAGCACAACAAATTTGATGCGCAGTGCTGGTAAGAGCCCCCAATCACGCAGTGGAGATCAACTGGCCCCGAAGACGTTTTTCAAGCAGCCGAAATTCCTAAAAGAGGGTTTGCACAGTGGAAAGTACTTTGAAAAGTGTATCAGAAGACTAACAAATGAAATTGACAGTCAGAAAAACATTTCCTTAAAAGCGTCCTATTTGTATCTTCGTGGCATGATGCATTTGACAAGTAACCAACTAATCGAAGGCCTAAAGGACTTCCATTCTCTGTACTCGGCCAATCAGGAGCTCTTTCCAAGCGAGTATGTCCAGAGTGTTATTGCAGATCTCGACTCAGCGACTGAAGAATCACTTAAACAACAGGATTTCTACAAACGGGCGGCGATGTTCAGAATTTTCAAGAAGAAGATCGAAGAACAGTCTTCTGGTCGACCATTGCGGAAATTACCCAATTCACCGTTAAGATTCGAAGAGTTTGCGAAATTAACCAAGGCATTGCAGATTGTTTTGAGTAATGAGACGGCAGAACGATTATTTGCCGCCCTGACACATAACAGAGGGAACGAGGTAATGCCAGACCAATTCGCTCTACTCTACAACACGTTTACCAACATCAAAAGTGACTTGGAGCTCCTGGAGTTGCCTGGATTGAAGCTGGTTGGAGAAGAAGAATTGATCATACAATCACCGCTGATCAACACGACCAGGGGCATGGGCCGAATCGTCATCACAACAACAAACCTCTTCTTTGTGGTTGATGGTGTTCGCGAAACTGTCTTCATTATGAAGCTTCACGGTGTGAAAGAGGTTACACGATACCAGCACTACGTTGTTTTCCCACCTGGTGTTGCCGCCATAAGAATTATAAATAAAGGTAAGTTTTATATCAAAACTCAATTTTAGAAACAAATTTATCGTAACTTTTTTCATTTATGCCATATGTTTTGCCATAGTTTTATCCTGTAACCAACTTGAGCGAAGACAAAACTTTCTGAGCTAATCATTGCGTGACGTCATCATTGCAAGTACTGGATTTCTACATATAACTTACCCTTAGACCCCCTAATTGATGCAATTCATCTTGTCTGCTAATTTTAAAGCTAATTTTTTTGTGGCCGTGGTTATGCGGTTTCCTTTTAATGCTATTATTGCTAAAGTCTCCCTCACTCTGAAACGTTCACAGTTTTGAACAGTCGCTAGTGCTAATGGTTGGGAAACTCGAGCAGGTTTATTTGTCTGTTGCCGTTATATCTCCTACGTATTTTTAGAACGAAGTGCTGCCACATTCTTTGCCTGCCTTAAAGATGACAGAGACTTCTGGGTGACTGCGATAAATGAAATGGCTGGAGCCAGTGAGATTGCGTTCTCCTTAAAGGACCCAAAAGTTGTTCTCCAAGCGGCAAATCACGTGACGTTGATGAACGTGCTGGTTCAGATGGGGATTTCAGAAAAGATTGCCAGTGCTGTTTGCTACTTTGCACGGAAGCGAGATTCAGATCATGATAAGCTTTCTGATGAAACTCGCGAATCACTGGAAAGGAGGCTAGATCCCTGCATCCGAGAAACTAACAGAACAACTGTTACCAGCGTGACCTACGTTCCTGGAACAACGCAAGCCGAGGCTGAAACAATATGGTGTGGTCTTGGATCGGGAACCATCATTGTGTACGAAATAGAAGAGTGGACTATTGTTTCAGAACTCAGGTTAGAAGTTTTTGTCGATTTTCAGAGTTTATTTGTAGATAAATGAAAATTACAACATTTCTGGCCTAGATACTGTTCTCTATGTTCCTCTACTTGCTGCGTTTTGAACACCAAGTTAGATTTAGGGTATCCTTTCTACTTGACACTTGGGAACATGCTTTGACTAACGAGTGACAAAGTTTTCATTGATAGCCTACACGGTTTTATTATTTCTCAATAAATTATACTGATAGAAATCAAATTCTACTGATAGAAATAATTTTTGATGTATTATTGAAATCCAATTCTCGCCTTCACAATTACTGACTAGATGTTTATTTGCTGTGATATTGTGCCAGTATTTTGCATCAGCTCAAAAGCCTGCTCACTGATCTCTTTCTTTTCGCCGTTGCAATTTTCCAATTGAGGGAATGGCTAAGTAGAGTCACATACCTTTCTGCTTTGGCGTTTATACCAAACTTACTTGCAACACAAATTAAAGGCATGTTATTATTTTTATTATTATTATTATTATTATTATTATTATTATTATTATGGAAATAGCGAATGGAAAAAAGCTTGTACAGTTTTAGTCTATAAAAAAGGCAGCATTGATGATCCGGCAAACTTTCGACCTATTACCCTCGAGTCTGTACCGCTAAAAATATTTACCTCTTGCCTGCGTGATGCTCTGTTTTCCTTTCTCAAACAAAATAATTTCATTGAACACGAGATCCAGAAAGGGTTCACTCCTAACATCTCTGGAGTGCTGGAACATACTTCACTGATGGCCCATATTATCAATAAAGCACGCATAAAGCAACGCTCTGTGGTTGTCACTCTTTTGGATTTAAAGAACGCATTTGGAGAGGTCCATCATAACTTAATCATTAAAGCTATGGACTATCATCACATCCCTGCTCACTTTCAAGATCTCGTGTCTAATCTTTATACTGATTTCCACACTTCAATTATAACCGATAATTTCAGGTCTCCGGCCATTCCAGTCAAAAGAGGAGTACTGCAAGGGGACTGCCTCAGCCCTCTCATTTTCAATTTATGTTTCAACACCTTTATTCAGCTGGTAAAACAAGACAAATATAAACAACTTGGATTTTCTCCTCATGACGGCAATGATCGCTTGTTTAACCCGGTTCACTGGTTTCAATTCGCTGATGATGCTGCAGTTGTCACAAGTGATGAACGCGAAAATCAATTATTGCTAAACTGTTTTACAAGATGGTGCCAATGGGCAAATATGATCATCCGCGTAGACAAGTGCATCACCTTTGGAATTAAAAAGTTTGCAACTAAATCTGCACAGTTTCAGCCTAAACTCTTCATTAACAACGATCCTGTCCCTTTTGTGAAACATGGCGAATCTTTCAAATACCTGGGTCGTTTCTTCAATTATGATATGAAGAACCAGGAACACAAGGATCACTTGACCTCTTCTCTCCGTGAGATGCTCAAAGTTATCGATTCCTTGAAAATTCACCCGCGGAACAAAATTCTACTGTTTAATCAATACATCCTTTCAAAGCTCTCTTGGGATCTCACAGTTGCTAATCTCTCCAAAACGTGGGTTTGCGAAAACTTAGATCAGCTTGTCACAAAATTCGTTCGACAGTGGCTCGAGCTTCCAATATCTTCGACATTGAGTGGCATAGTTCTTTCTCGTAAACACTTTGGTCTTGAGCTTCTGCTTTCTTCCGTAAAGTTTCAACAGTGCCAGACTGTTCTTCGAAACTCACTCAAATCTTCGCCCAACGAAAACATCAAATCCCTATGGATGAACACCAATTATGGACCTAATATACAGTTCGACGCATACAAGAACACTAAGGCGGTACTGAAATGTGTAAGGGATGAACACACTGAAAAGCTCAAAACACAGTTAACATCTCAAGGCTTCATCATTTCATTCCTGCTTGAGCATTCATATACAAAGTTAACCTCACTCTGGTCTGCAGCTCAAAGTAAACTTCCAAAAAACATCTTCAACTTTACGATAAGGTATCTCAACAACACACTAGCCACAAGGAACAACCTCTGCTTATGGAAAATTAGCTCTTCTCCAGATTGCTCATTCTGCCTTCAGCCTGAATCACTTCTTCATGTCGTAGCTGGATGTAACAAATACCTTGAGCAAGGGCGTTTTACTTGGAGGCACGACTCTGCCCTGCACTTCATTGCATCATCATTTCAATGTATCCGAGATGTATTCATTTATGCTGACATTCCCGCTTATTTATCACCATGTATCATAACTGGCGATTCGTTCCGTCCCGACATGCTAATCAAAACTGCTTCTAACTGTCTGTATGTCATCGAATTAACTGTTGGGTTCGAGACTAACCTGGACAATAACGCTTCGCGTAAAGCTGAGAAGTACCGTTCCCTTCTAAAGGAACTACGCCCTAAGTTCAAAAAAGTAAACTTTGTTAATCTATCTATCAGCTGTCTCGGTATCTTTGGTAACTCCTGTGATTCTTTCATCGATATGTGTGATGAACTAAAACTTGACTACCAACACCGTAATTTTATAATTAAAAAACTGTCAGCAATAATTATACGCACATCCTATTATATATTCTGTATGCGCAATAAGACTTGGACAAACCCTGAACTGCTCTCCTTCTAAAGATTCTTTGCACTCATATGATTTATTTAAATGTTATAACTTTTGTAAAATTAGTAAACTTGTCACCAGGCTAGCCGATAGTAACTACCTGTAAAGTGAGGTTACTGTTGTAAGTAGAAGAATATAAAATAAAAAAAATGTTTTCATTATTATTATTATTATTATTATTATTATTATCATCATCATTATTATTATTATTCAAACAATCTTTTGGTGGTACAAAACTAGTAAATGGCTTTGAAAAAAGCAAACATTTAGTAAACTAAAGTTTTTCGTCTGACACTCTTCAGAGTTTAAAACGTCAGAAATAGATCGAAACTACGCTAAGAAATATAATACCCAGTTGTGGATCGAAATAGGCCAATCAAACACGAACACATGACTGTATAGGTTACAATCAGTGCCGCTTGCTATTAGAATGTTACCAATGGAAGTTCCTAGGTGAAAACGAACTCACTTTTGTTACACAGTAAGCGGTTTTTTTTTCGTTGCTTACTGTAGATGTAGATCCCAAACTGGCTAGGTGGAACGACGATCGAACTTTACCAATAATCCGAAACATAGCACGTTATAGTTTTGTGGCACACATTGGTGTTTAATCTAGAAATGCTGCCCGATATCAGAAACGCAGATTTTAGTTGTAATTTATAGATTCTGCAAAGAACAGGTGACTGTCTCTCTTTGGGTTATGGTTTTTTTTTCATAATATCAGACGAAAAATGTTGTTTTTTCTTCCTCCATCTTTGGTGTGCGTTCCTAAACTAGCCAGAATCACACTGGCACGTAAATTCATATATAACAGAACTTTTTTGTGTGGCAGGAACGCAGTCCTTTTGAATGGACGGAAGGGCCTTTTTCGTACTATAACAACACGTGGGTTGACCGCAAAGAAACAATTAGTAATGGCCTATTTTATTTGGCTTTCAAAACGAAGGGAGCTGTTACCGATCCAGGGTAGTTTTAAATAGACCGGGCACTTTTGAGGACCAAATTTTACGTCAGCCGAGAAATTTCCTATCTTTTCCTTAACGTAAACTGAAATAACATCTTCTGAATAGCCGCCGTGAAAAAATCTTAGTTAGTTTTTCAAGTTCCGAGTCGAGTTTAGACTTGGAACAAATCATCAGTGCCCTATGTGTAAGTCTAAACTCGACTCGGAACTTGAACTCGGAATGATTTTATTTAGTATTTCCTTCGTCGTTTCGTTTTACCATCTAAGCTTTTTACCTTCTGCAGGTATGCAAAGCATCGAATCAGCTGCCTGGTTCCTGTTGGAACAGGAATAGTCTGGGCTGGCTCTTTTGATTCAGTTATCTACGTCATCAACACTGACACTAGAAAAGCAGAACAGCAGCTACAGCAACACACTGATTTCGTATCAGATATTGTGTATTACGAAAGCAAAGATGAGCAACTTGATGCGGTTTGGAGCGCGAGTTTCTGCGGGCAGATTATTATGTGGAATCCTGAAAGTATGGAGGTTCTAAAAGAGATTTCCTTGGGTCCTAGCACGAAAACGTTGTCAAAAATTATGATAGTTGGGGAAAGAATTTGGTGCGGTGCCTTAGACCGTCTGTTGCTTGTTGATGGTAAGTCGGGTGACTTAATCAAAACACTTCGTATGGATGATGACATCGGCATACCTATACCCATGGAGTGCTATTCCAAAGTGTCCGAAAAAAGAATTTGGGCATTCGGAAGGAAAGCAGGAGAGCTTTTCATTTGGGATACCAAGTCACTTGCATGTCAACATTTTAATTTAGGCGATGATCTCAAAGCGAGCACGATCATGCCGATTGGAAACAAAGTTTGGATTGGTGATAAAGATGGGAAAGTCTTTGTTTTAGATGTGCACGATTTCGCAGAAGATCGTGTCCTTCACGCGCACACAGACAAAGTCACGTGTATCTGCGTGACTGAAGAAGGTCATGTGGTTACGGGATCTTCATCGAAGGAGGGGAAGCTCTGCGTGTGGAATACTTTCATCAAAGATGGTTACGAAGAGGCGCACTCGCTTGGATTCGACATTCTTGATGGTCGCCTTCAAGTAAAATCGAAGCTTCGGCCGAAACGTGGGACTAAGCGTAATTAAGACCGCACTTTTTGCTGATATTGTAATACAAGTGTTTATTTAAGGCCTGAATTTTTTTTGAAAAACCAAGGCTCAAGGCGATTATCCAAAGCATCAAAACCAGCCTTTGATAACTTTAAGATAAGGGTAAAAAACCGCGATTAGAGCCATTTGTTGATAAGCTGCAAATTTTATAGGCAGATATCTGGTCAAAAAACAGCAAAGGTTCTAGTTTGAGCATTTCTATTAGTCTGATATGACACCTCTCCTCTCTTCTTTGTGGGTAGTTTTCTTCTTTCTAAAATCTGACAAAAATAGACAATCTGAAAGAAGCCGCAAATGTCCTTCATTGATCATTTTATCGAGCCCTGTGAAGCTGTCCACTAACCCAAACTTGAAAATGCTGTGTTGTGTTTTCATTTAGAAACCTTTCTGTTTTCCTTTTTTCATTGTCCCTTATCTTTGCGTTTTCAACCCTCGCAAAATTTTGGCTAAAAACGTCGGTAAAGAAAATGGCCTATTAGTAAACCTCTGTGTATTGAGCTTGGTTATTTAAGGGCTAACGGATGTTTCACTGTGCCGACAGTGTACTGTCAGTACGGGACGGTGTTATGTTTTGTTCAGTTCGTTTGTAGCTCAGTTTTATAGAAGGCACAGAGGTATGTTTCAATCAGATATGTACAGAATGGACTAAATTTTTCTAATTTGATTTGATTTTAATTGCTTTTAGGTAATTATGATAAAAGGACGTCAGCTTGGGCTGAATGTACCTTTTCTACAAGTACAGAAAATTTTTCCAAGATGGGCCTGTTGAACGTTTGCAGCCTCCCAGCCCATTGGCATCGACCATATTTTTAAATGCGGCGCACGAATTTTGCGATTTTCTCAGGCTAACGGATTTTGCGATTCTCTTTTGATTTCTGCAATTAATATATCTGAGGCCTTGGATGCACAATTAAGTAGAGGGTGATTGATATGTTAACGTTTAGCAAAAACCGGTCTTCGGATATTTTTGTGAGTACAGTTTCAAGAACCACGCCCGTGGCTCTGCGCTTCTGAACGGCAGATTAGGGCATTTGGACCCATTTTTAGATACATCATCGGCCTTCTGCTTCCACTATAATCAGCTCCCAAGACGGTTTCGAAAAGTCACATTATTTGGTCAAAAACTTCCAGATCCTAATCTTGAAACTGCATAATGGATTTGACAAATTTGAACTAAATCTTTCACGATTATATATGGGGTTTTTTACCACAATGGTCAATTGATCAATTCCTTGGATTTAGCTTTCCGGGAAAAGTCTTGAAATTTTTTTTACATTTGTTGCTAGATCAAAATACGTTTTAGGGACCTCGCTATATGTGTAACTGTTTACTAGCTAAATTTTTTTAAAGTGCTGGATTGCAGGTCTGAAAACTATGTGTATATCCCCAAAAGCACCTGGAAAGGGTCTGTATCCAGCCGCATATCGTGTCACCTGGGCACGCATTCTTGCTCCAATTGGTTTTTTATGCATTTCTTAATCAATGTTACTCTACTGAAGAAATTTCGGCAGGGCAAGCATGAAAATCTGAATAAATGTGTGTCAACCCTGATGTGTTTAAGTTGAAGGTCTCAAATCCTTTATGTCTAACATGCTTCTACATGTTCTTTATACGTATCTATGCTTATCATTCTCGATTGGCGAAATTTAGCAGTTTTACATCAAAGCTTTACGGAAGCAAGGCTAAAATCAATAATGTGTTATCATCCCTCTTCTCTACGTAAATATTACGATTAACAATATAAGGTGTCGTGCGCTGACTTTATCTGTCTACGCAATCTTTCTTTAACCCTCCAAAGCGTTTTCTGAATGCCCCCTCACACTTCGCTTCTTATAATCAAATAGAAAAGAGGTTTTCAATCTTTGAAATAACCTAGCAATCAATGAAGAAGTTTTCTGATAAAATTCCGATGATAAAGAATATTTGTTGTATCTAGTATTAGCTGTGCATAAAACTTGGAATATATTATTGAGATATAATTTGTATGATTTATTAATGTAATTGCTCTTTTAGTATGTATACTATATGAAATTTTAGCCACAAGAAATAATTGATATGTTGCTTCGTTTTTTACAAGTTTGATCGACAAATTATATGTACTAGCTTAAATGAAGAAAAGCTTTTATATTTTCTCATATGACAAGAATAGAATTAGTATTTTTTATATCAATTAGTTAATCTGCATAGTTTTTCTTACCAATATCTTGTATTTATTCAATCAAGCAATTAGAAGATGGATGTTGAATGTTTCTCGATCCATGTCGCCCTATATATTTACACAAATTCTGTTATTTTTATAATGGTTTTAAACCATTTTAATTCTAATGATTCAGGCAAAATTGTTATCAACTACATCCCTGCAATTTAAATATGTCTAATGCTAAATGTTTTAGTAAGCAGTTGAACCAATTAAAGAAAACGTTAACTTGGTTTAAAGTCAATAAAGTAAATAGGTTTTTTATTGTAATATTATTCTGAGCTTGTTTTTATGATAAACAGTTTTCGCCAAAAGGTTTTCTCCAAGACCATAGACGTTGGAGGCCATATTATTTAGAGAACAATCGTGATTTCAATTTTTTCTCTAATCTTGCAATTCCAATAATGCCTCTGGGTTACTGATCACAATTTAACTTTTGATATTGACTTTTAGTAATCATCATCGACATTTTTATAGATACAAACGTTTTCCATCAAAATGTAAATTTTTGAAAGGCTATTGGCTAACCTTTCCGTGCAAAATCGTGAGCAAGAATTTCTCACATTTTACAATTACCATAACACCAATGTGTTACCAATAAAACTTTGTTGATGAACTTTAAGGATCTTCTTCATAAAAAAGGTAATAAGAAACCTTCAGATTTCATTGGAGTGTCAATTACATCTATTTAAAACGTTCTACATCAATTTTGGTATCCAAATATTATTTGGGAAAAATTTAAATTTTGCTAAGGCTATAGCCTTCCATTTTGCCAAAAAAGGAATCTTTCAAAGTATTTTTTCCGTAAAAAGGCAAAATAAAACTTTCAAATTTCTTTGGAGGGTGCATTACAGCTATTTAAGCCATTTAATATCAATTTTCTTTCCAAAAATTATACAGAAAAAGTGAAGTTTTGGTAAGACTATAGCCTTGCATTTTTGTCCAAAAAATTAAGATATTTTTTAAAAAATTTTATCCGTAATAAGGCAATAAAAAATATCATTGGAATGTGCACTACACTATTTACGCCATTTTATCAATTTTCTCTCCAAAAATTATACGGAAAAAGTGAAGTTTTTGTAAGGCTATAGCCTTGCATTTTTGTCAAAAAATTAAGGCATATTTTAGAAGAATGTTTTTTGTAAAAAGGCAATAAAAACCTTCAGATTCAATTGGAGTGTGCATTACAGCTATTTAAGCCATTTGACATCAATTTTCTTTCCAAAAATTATACGGAAAAAGTGAAGGTTTGGTAAGGCTATAGCCTTGCATTTTTGTCCAAAAAATTAAGATATTTTTTAAAAAAATTTATCCGTAATAAGGCAATAAAAAATATCATTGGAATGTGCACTACACTATTTACGCCATTTTATCAATTTTCTCTCCAAAAATTATACGGAAAAAGTGAAGTTTTTGTAAGGCTATAGCCTTGCATTTTTGTCAAAAAATTAAGGCATATTTTAGAAGAATGTTTTTTGTAAAAAGGCAATAAAAACCTTCAGATTCAATTGGAGTGTGCATTACAGCTATCTAAGCCATTTTGAATCAATTTTCTTTCCAAAAATTATACGGAAAAAGTGAAGGTTTGGTAAGGCTATAGCCTTGCATTTTGGTCCAAAAATTAAGGCATATTTTAGAAAAATATTTTCATAAAAAGGCAATAAAAACCTCCAGGTTCAATTGGAGTGTGCATTACAGCTATCTAAGCTGTATAACATCAATTTTCTTTCAAAAAATTATACGGAAAAAGTGAAGTTTTTGTAAGGCTATAGCCTTGCATTTTTGTCAAAAAATTAAGGCATATTTTAGAAGAATGTTTTTTGTAAAAAGGCAATAAAAACCTTCAGATTCAATTGGAGTGTGCATTACAGCTATCTAAGCCATTTTGAATCAATTTTCTTTCCAAAAATTATACGGAAAAAGTGAAGTTTTTGTAAGGCTATAGCCTTGCATTTTAGTAAAAAAATTAAGGAATATTTTAGAAAATTTTTTTTTCGTAAAAAGGCAATAAAAACCTTTAGATTTTATTGGAGTGTGCATTACAGCTATCTAAGCCATTTTACAACAATATTGGTGTCCAAAAGATCTAGAGAAAAAGTGAAGTTTTTGTAAGGCTTTAGCCTTGCATTTTTGTTAAAAAATTAAGGCATATTATAGAAAAAAAATTTTCGTTAAAAGGCAATAAAAACCTTCAGATTCAATTGGAGTGTGCATTACAGCTATCTAAGCCATTTTACATCAATTTTCTTTTCAAAAATTATACGAAAAAATTGAAGTTTTTGTAAGGCTATAGGCTTGCATTTTTGCCAAAAAATTAAGGCATATTTTAGAAAAATGTTTTTCTGTAAAAAGGCAATAAAAACTTTCAGATTCAATTGGAGTGTGCATTACAGCTATCTAAGCCATTTTAAATCAATTTTCTTTCCAAAAATTATACGGAGAAAGTGAAGTTTTTGTAAGGCTATAGCCTTGCATTTTAGTAAAAAAATTAAGGAATATTTAAGAAAAATTTTTTTTTCGTAAAAAGGCAATAAAAACCTTCAGATTTTATTGGAGTGTGCATTACAGCTATCTAAGCCATTTTACAACAATATTGGTGTCCAAAAGATCTAGAGAAAAAGTGAAGTTTTTGTAAGGCTTTAGCCTTGCATTTTTGTTAAAAAATTAAGGCATATTATAGAAAAAATTTTTTCGTTAAAAGGCAAAAAAAAAACCTACAGATTCAATTGGAGTGTGCATTACAGCTATCTAAGCCATTTTACAACAATATTGGTGTCCAAAAGATCTAGAGAAAAAGTGAAGTTTTTGTAAGGCTTTAGCCTTGCATTTTTGTTAAAAAATTAAGGCATATTATAGAAAAAATTTTTTCGTTAAAAGGCAAAAAAAAAACCTACAGATTCAATTGGAGTGTGCATTACAGCTATCTAAGCCATTTTACAACAATATTGGTGTCCAAAAGATCTAGAGAAAAAGTGAAGTTTTTGTAAGGCTTTAGCCTTGCATTTTTGTTAAAAAATTAAGGCATATTATAGAAAAATTTTTTTTGTTAAAAGGCAATAAAAACCTACAGATTCAATTGGAGTGTGCATTACAGCTATTTAAGCCACTTTACATCAATTTTCTTTCCAAAAATTATATGGAAAAATTGGAGCTTTGGTAAGGCTATAGCCTTGCATTTTTGTCAAAAAATAAAGGCATATTTTAGAAACTTTTTTTCGTAAAAAGGCAATAAAAACCTTCAGGTTCAATTGGAGTGTGCATTACAGCTATCTAAGCCATTTTGAATCATTTTTCTTTCCAAAAATTATACGGAAAAAGTGAAGTTTCTGTAAGGCTATAGCCTTGCATTTTTGTCAAAAAATTAAGGCATATTTTAGGAAAATGTTTTTTGTAAAAAGGCAATAAAAACCTTCAGATTCAATTGGAGTGTGCATTACAGCTATTTAAGCCATTTGACATCAATTTTCTTTCCAAAAATTATACGGAAAAAGTGAAGGTTTGGTAAGGCTATAGCCTTGCATTTTGGTCCAAAAATTAAGGCATATTTTAGAAAAATATTTTCATAAAAAGGCAATAAAAACCTCCTGGTTCAATTGGAGTGTGCATTACAGCTATCTAAGCCTTTTAACATCAATTATTTTTCCAAAAATTATATGGAAAAATTGAAGGTTTGGTAAGGCTATAGCCTTGTATTTTGGTCCAAAAATTAAGGAATGTTTTAGAAAATTTTGATTTTGTAAGAAAGCAATAAAAACTTTTCGATATCCTTTTTTGATGTCTACAAATTTTAGGTAAAAATTAAAATATTGGCGAAGCTATAGGCTTGCATTTTGGTCAGAACCTTTAAGGATTTTTTGAAAACATTTCCTTCAAATATGCCACAATATAAATCTAAAATTGATCGGAATGTATTTTAGAGCTATTACAAGCATTGTATATCAGTTTTAATCTGAAATGACTTTGGAAAAACACTTGCATTCTTTTTAGCCAAAAGGCCTTGGTGGAAATTAATAAGATGCACTTTTTTTAATTATAATTGAGCTCCATTGCTATTAGGCTTGATATATCCTTATATAGAGCCCTCTAACAATATTCCGAGCTGTTTTTATGATTATAAAAACTTTCTTTAAAAATCATATCTTCCATACAAGTAGTCTTGAAAACATGAATTGACTTTTAAGTTCCGTTTGAAAATGCTCTTACATTCTAGCAAAAACCTTCGTTAACTAGCAGAAACCTCGTTAACTAGCAAAAACCTCGTTAACTAGCAAAAACCTCGTTAACTAACTAGTTATCTAGATAATGGTATACACGCAACTCGTTAACTATCTCGTTATCTAGGAAATTGATACAAACTACCTAGTTAGATTGTAGCCATTATCTAGATTACTTACTGTATCATTCTAAAACTTGTAGTAAGGGTAGTCTTAGACTTTTTCGATGAAAGGTAGAGCTTTGCGATCATAGTTACGACAACCACTGCTAATTAAATAACACAAAAAGAGACTACAATGTCAGAATTACGTGATCTGGTCGACAATATCACACATAAGTTTTAGATTCCTTTTCTGAGTGTCATTGTCTGCAGATTCTCTTTCAACATTATAATCTACCTGTTGGCAAAATTAAGGATTTACAGAAGGAAGTAAGCAGACGAGCATTATCACTGCTACAAGTAGGGGAACCAACAGCGGTGAATAAGTGTTGTATGAAACATGAAGGGAGCTCGATCTTAAGTATAAATATGGCGCACTTATCTTATACAAGAAACTGCCTGTAAGGAACGAAACCCTGAGATGACCAAAACATTAAAAGGGGGTTAGAAACCAGTAGCCGTTGTGGGAGTGAATTAGAGATGGCCTTTTCCTGGCCCGTGAAAATGAAAGTACCGATCATCCTCGACATTAACAAACAGCTCAAAAATCTATTTTCAAGATGGGGTGCAAAAGATTCTTTTAGACAAAAAGAGCCCCTTTATAATTTTTGATTGAAACTTTTTCAAAAGAACGAAGAACTCGTTGCAACCAAATTGATTTTCTATTTCATGTTACGTTTTTGCGTTTTTAAAAAAACAGCACTTTGTTGTTAAGAAAACCTTTACGAAACATTTAGGACTAAAAGTGATTAAAGAATTGAGGGAATAATTGCTACTTCGATGTTTAGCTTTTGATGAAAAATTGCGTGTATATCAACAGCCAACTCAAACAGATATTTGTGATATCGAACTTATTGATTGTGTGTGTTTAGTAAGGATCGTTGAGCATATTACAAATTGAGGGGTTTAAAATTTTTTTTGGGGGGGGGGATCATGCTAAAAGGTGAAAAAGGTGTTTTTGTATGGTTTTAAGCACATTTTGAAATTATTGGGGAAATTTTTGTTATAGGCTTTAGCCTCCCCTCCCCCCCTCCAACCTCTCCCAAATAATAAGGGCTTATCAGATTACAATTCTAGTAATGCTACCACTTACCTTTTCTTCTTGATGATTAGAAATGCTATAATGTAGTTGTTGCTGTTTTTGCTGTTGTTGCTGCATTGAGTGGGCAGGCAGTTTACTGAGGACTGCTGACTGGCAGCTCCGGAAACTCACTTTCGCCTTTTCAACATGCCTGAATCAACAGAAATGTTTTTCAGATATATATCTGATGAAGGTTACTTATAAGATTGAGATTTCTCGATAATAGGGAAAAGAGGGTGTTATGTTGTTAAAAAGGGCCTAGTCATGTGCTCACAAATTATACGTTCTCTTCCTTGGCCTCGTGCTCTACAACTAACTAAGTCCTGTTACGTCATAATATGTTAATTTATTTAAAACATTGCAGAGGGGGTGAAACTTTAAAGTGGAGAAAAAGAAGTAAAAATGAATTAAAGAAAGGGAATTGATAAATAAAAAACGGGAGGAATGAACAAATGAATAAAGACAATTTCTTAGTGAGTTCTGAATACCACCTGTACGTAAATTGCCTGTTAAGATCACGGTAAACGTTTCTGACACGATAATTGGTTTTCTCTCCCTAAAAGCAAAACTATTAACGGAATCAGATTAGTCTATGCATCATTCGATGCACAAGATTGTGGCGATTCCGCCCATATGAAAATAATTGGCAAATATTTTAAAATGATACTTTCCAGGCAATTTTATTGCTGAAATGAGTGTAACATCTTCAAAATCTGACTAATATCAGCAGAAAGCGCAGATCCTTAGCTACCAAAGTGTTTCTCAGATTCCTCTTTCCCTTGAAACTATACCCTGTCAAAAATTGGCAAACAATTTTGCTTCCCTCTCATAGCTTTTTTGGCTATAAAAGACGGACCAGAGCAAATACAAAAATTTTGAGATACACTTTGCTTATCCGACATCTGTCCTGGCCGTGTGCAAAGTTTTGAGCCATTCGATTGGTTAATTGGGTTCAAAATAGCTTTTTCGAACCTGTATATAGACGAATTGTAAGTCCGGAGAAAACAGGATTTTACTGATCGCACTTGCAAGGTACACTCGTAAACCACAGTGTAATCCGGTTCAAGTCACTTGAAGCTTTAAGATCAATAAGCCTGTTTAAATAAGCACGGCCGTACATTGGATATATGGATGTGTACGGTGCGATATTGTAAATGAGTCATGCGACCACAACCGCAAAGCAACGATAATCGGCTTAACAGGTCAAGAGATTTTCAGACCTCGACTAAAAGTTTTGATAAAGAAATTATGGAAACCTTCGTTTACATGTAATTTTTTCCATTTTCAAAATTTCTGTTAGTTTCGTATTTGGTATCATTGTGTGCCTTAAAAGTTCGACTACTTAAATGTGAAAAATCGAAAAATGGATGTTTTCATCCAGAAAACGTTTACCGTGACCTTAAATTGGGCATTTTCAACGGTTGCACAACTTTGTAGTAGGACTAGATATTATTATAATTTATGCACTGAGCCCTAACCTCGATTCCGTTGCATTAAAATAATCTCACGTTCATTGAGCTGATGATAATCAATGGGGTTGTGCGTGTTGTACGTCGAGTAATGAACAAAAATTGATAAAATAAAATAACAACTTTGTACAGGAAAATTAATATTGATTACAAATTTTAAAAAAGACTTTTCAAGCATAACTCTTCATCAGGTTAAAAGAATAGAAGGAGAAACGGTTAAGAAGAGAATAGAACAGTAGAATTGAAAGATTAACTATATGGAACGTAGTAGGAATACGACGTAGAACGTAAGACGAGATGGTGACATTAATAATAGCTGGATTAGGAAAGAAAGGAAAATTGCTTATTGAGACCATTAGGAATAAGAGTTCCAAGTTTAAAAATAATACGTTTTTCGAGGGCATTGCGTTGATTTTTGTTATGAGGTGCGTAGAAAAGTCCAGTGAGTGATGTTGGCTGGTGTATGGTCATCTTTGATAAAGTGAATGGAGACTGTGGCATCTAGGTCTTCTTTTCTTGATTCTTGAAGATGTAACAAAGTGTAATCAATATTTTTTTCTTGTACAAAGTCGTTATTTTATTGTATCAATTTTTGTTCATTGAGCTGATAAGCCTGTTTACGATCTCAAAGTAGGACTCTCATAACATTGTGTCAGTCCCAGTGCTCTGATGCAGAGGCTTTGCGCAACGTCGCATACTATGAAAGGTGTCGGAAGAATTTAGTGTGCTATATTCTAATTTTATCGTGCTATATTCCAAGTCTACAGTACCGGGGGGGAGTACGGAATGATCGGTATCAGTTATCGAAATGTGTGCGGAACTATGGCACCGTTTAAAGAAACATGCAGAATTGTTACTACCATTTTGGGAAATTTTTGCAAAATTGTTAGGAGGGAAATTTAGCATTCAACAAAATGAATTCCCAGTTCGCAATGTAAGTATGAAATTTGGTAATATTGAGATTTTGGGACAAAGGACATTCAAAATTTGTTTGATGATTCTTTTGTGCTTTAAAAATGATCTTTGCTTTGTGGAATTTTGGGTAGAGTTTTCGTCATGTTTGCGAAAGGATGGGTCACATTTTTTCAGACATGTGTGAAATTTCGGGTTCAAAACTTTTAAGCAAAATGGTACGTCCTCGTCCAAAGTTAGGCTCAGTTAACCCCCTCGAGTTACAGCTATAAAAATTCTTCTATATAAGCGATATCATTAGGAAATAATGTAAGAGGTAAAAAAACATAGTTAACCTTTCTGACAAAATGTTTTTTAATTTCAGGCTTATATATGTGAATTAAATGTTAAACTTTATCCTTGTCTGGTCGCGGTCATGTCCAATTCAAAACATATAAAACAATTGGGCATAAAAGAAAAAAATCTTATGCATATTTTCTAGAATATAATTTTGAATACAGTTTCCAGCCATACACTTTCAACATATCTCGTGCCGCTTACCATAGTGGAAACTTTCACTAAACCCATGAAAAATTTTAACCTTTAGGAATAATGATAAAGGAAAGTTAATGAATGATGCCTAGAGTCTTCCTTTGGGCCAGATCGATGTTGGAAAATCATAGTTGCATTTTTTGGCCATCCCTGGAATCATATCTTCAAAATTTGCATGTCCCCAAACTGTAATCATATTTCGCCTGGGCTGATAGAGTTATACCTGAGGTGTAGTTAACTTGGAGATGCCACAAAAAAGACTCCTGTCCCCCCATCAATTGCGAATTATAGAACTTTTACAACGTTCATTTTCTTGCAATTTTACCATTTATCAAGCTGATCAATTTTCGTCTGTTCATAAATACATTGTTCATGTCCATACATCTTTTTGCTACAGCCCTTAAAAACGTAGGTTTTCTGTAAACCATTGCAGAAAAACTAACAGAACGATATTATTTTGTCTGTCTTCATAAATGTTTTAATTGAAAGTGGTTTCAAAACACTCTCGTTTCATTGTATTGAAACATAATAATCACTTGCCTGAGAAATGGCCTAAGTGCAGTCTCTATAGAAATCGATGTTGACGACATATGATACTTTTCTCACCTTCCAAGCTTTTCAGCTGTTTCGAGTTTCTGCGTCTTCTGTCTGTGTAGCATTACTCTTAAAGTTTCTCTAGCCTGCAAAAAAATTTCAACATAAAAATACAGTCAAAAACAAAACAGAAAACTAGCTTTATCAAATCAAGAACAGTAACTTACAAAAAGGTTTGAAATGTGTTTAAATACTGTTTTGACAAAAATAGCTCAATTAATCGTGGTGGATTTCCATTAGTTGGTTCAATTTTAACCAAGAAGCTTAAGAAATATGTAAGTTGTTAGATTGCGTAAACTTTCTTTTCAAGTTTGTTTTCAATAACAAGTGAACACCATTAAAAAGGTTCCATATTCAATACACTCAACACGAAGCATGAGACGGCCTCTTTTTTAACAAAACAAAACAAAAAAGAGGTTAATTCTTTAACGGCTCTTGCGCAACTGGCATGCTTTGCGACTATATTTTCAAAACTGGCCTAATTTCGTACTGCATGAAAATGTAAAACACAATCAATTTCTCAAGACAGCTGCCGCTAAGCATGCCGATTGCAAGTATTTAAAAAATAAAATAAGATTAATAAGTGTTTATAATATACTTTTAGTCTCTAACAAATTGAGATGAGAAATTTATTATGATGGTCACCTGATGTGGTCTAAATTCATTTATCAAATGATGAAGGTTGATAAACAACATATTCATGTCATCTAGTTTGAGTTCCCTCTGAAAGAATAAAACAATTCAATTTCGAACAAAAACAAAATTAACAAAAAAACAAACGAAGACAAAATATCACTCTCTTCTCTTGACGTTTTCTTGCAGGGCCTTCTCTCAGAAAAAATACTTCGCTGAAGTAACTCTAAGTGGAGGAAAAAGCCCCTGGCCAGATGGTGAAGGCAAAATCACTTAATAATAGTCAAATGAGCTTATCTTGAAAAAATGATTGCTGTAAAGACATTAAAAACTAAAGGTGGAAAATCTGGTTAAAATATCACATTTCAAAGCCAATTTTGCACTGTATAAGTAACTAGACTACAGTGCAGGTGCAATTTTCCTTTGGTTTGCATGTGTAATAAGTCTTCCATACCACAGAAATTCAAAATTAAAGAAAGAAGTTTGAAAATTCCAAAGAACTTCAGTATATTGTGATATACTTTGTCTTTTCTTTGCAATGCTGATGTTTAAGTTACAATACACAAACTTCTCCAACAGTTCTTTTTATAATAAAATGTAATTGTTTTATGTGAATGATACTAATAGGAAGCATCTTCATAATCATATTTTCTGAGAAAGTATGTAAGGAAGTGAATGACAAGGGCAGGACTCTGTTGTGGCCCTAAATGAGAATAAAGATGTGCTGAATTATATCAAACTTTACTACAAACCTCCTCCTGTGATGGCGCATCTATCAGAGTATCAAGCAATTCTAGAAAGCTCACAAGAATTGAATGATTTATCTTCTTCATCTCTGCTAAAATGTCTATGAAAAGAACTGAATATAGTCAAGAAAATATTGGAGGCCGAGAAAATTATTCAAAAATTCAACAGTTACTGTCCAGTTTCTCATGTATCAAAGAATTATTTTCTAATAATTTCCAACACTTGAAAACAACTTAGTATACATTTAAATATGATATATAGGGACATCTGGAAGACTTTGTAATTTACAAAAGCAAAAAAGAATCTACTGAATTTAGATTCACCCACCTATATTTTCCTCTGATGGGTACAGTCTTGGGATGCCTTGAGCTTCAAGAGGCCTTATAATATCTTCATTTGCCTAAAAGGAAAAATTTTTAACAAATATAATAGTAAAATGCTTTATTCTTATTGGTAAAATTTGTTAAATTGAATAATGATTTACATGGACAAGCTTTAACAGCCTTTCATAACTTTCCAAAAATCAAACAATCTGAAACGCTCACAAACCTTACTGACCTGCCTGTAAGAATTTTGCCAGGCAGGCAGAAGATCACTTTCCTTGTTGGATTCAGGTGGGACATTGTAACAAAATGTAAAACTCATCATTAAACGTTTTTGGACACCTTTATAAAAGTTAGAAAGAAAATGGTTTTACTTTCTGCAAATGACAAAATGAATAACAAGTCCTATCTATTGTGTTTTGTAATTATAAATTCATCTTCACTTAACTTTGATTCTTATTCATTAATCCCCATAGGCTCCACAATTGTTTCCCTCTTAAAATAAATTTTTTGCCATGCTTTACAGCCAAAGACAAGGTAAACATAATACTTCCACTTTCATCATAGATTTTACAAAAAAAACTGTTAACACATTTACCTATGGAAGGGTGAAAAGTGACTTTTGAAAATGGCTTTGGTTTCAATGAAAACACTCCTCTTTGAAAATTAACAACACAGACAGAAGTAAAATTGTGTTGGTTGTTGAGTCACTGACAATGTGTTTTATTATATTCATGTGATTTGAATCACATAATGTTTTGTTCAGTATGCAACGTAGTTTTATTAAAAAGAGGTTGAGGCATGTTATTATCTCTAGTTTCATCAAACAACCAAATTTCATTGCTAATGCTAAGGGTCAAGCCAGAGCAAACATGTGTATAGTGGGACAATTCTGTATATGTTTACAATGTTTAAAAGTAGTTGACAAGTGAATGAGATTTTTTAGAATAAATAAAAATATCTCATAAATTCATAAAATATCTTAGCACAAGTAGTCATGGGCTTGAAAAACCTTTTAAAAAACAAATTAAAGGCATTGCGTCATGGTAAATGGGGCATTTACATAGGGGTCATTTGGGTTTGGGTTTGGTTGTATTGATGGATAACAACTTGCTATTGATGGATACTGTTTTGTTAATCAGTATAAGGTGAGTTCATGTGAGCAGTCCCAGGTCAACCAATAGCATTGCAGCACAAAAATCATGACTCAGGGGATTTGGGTATGTTTGGGTATACCCTCACCTTTTATTGTGACTCAATGCCTTTAATCCTTGGAACATGACACTTGATATTTCTATGTGATTAACATAAAAAGCTGCTATGTCCTCCCAAACAAATAAAGGCACAAGACTGGCTTATTTTGCTAGAAAAACATACCAAAGTGACTCTTCATTTGTAGAAGAATCAAATTTTGGGGGTGCCATTGACATTCAAATTTCGCACAAGCAAACAAAAAGCTGATTTTCAACTTGTTCCCACCAAATGCTGACCAAGGCACCCCATCAGGTTTTTAGCCTTGTTTTTAATCTTATTCAAGAAAAAAATGATTTATTGTCTATCGTTTGGAAATGTCCAAGAATTGAGGAGCATCAGAAAATTACAAAAGTGGCAGTCCTTTTCAGGGTAAAAAATTTTTCCCTGAAACCAGATAAAATTCAGCAAACACCAAATTAATGGCATGAAATTAATAGAGGTTGGTCTTTCTTTTAAAATTATTTGCCATTTTATGCAATAATTCTATGATTTTAAGTTGAACTTTGAAAATCACTCAATTTTCTAAAGTTGCGTGTTGTGGTCTATTAAATTGCAAAATATTAACCGTCCTCATTTCCCTGAGAACAATAAATAGGCATAACAGCCGTGATGTCTGCAAACTCATACAAGTTTTCCAACCTGGTTTGTCATGATAACTTCTGTTGCCCGTAAGCCATTCCTACAACTGGTCCTTGACTAAATCTTTTTCAAAATCAGTACAAAATAATTATAGAAGCAATAGTTGATACATGAAATTCTCGTATCGTACTAGTCACGATAGTAGGATCGCATCGCCCTGATTGAGTATTTTCCTGGAAACGTGACATTTACATTGATTTAACTATTCCAGAAAAATTAGGAGATTGGGGCTAAGCTACGACCAAAAAGCACGAAATCACGGGTATATGCCATTTATCAAAGTTAAGAAAACATTTTGTGTTGAATTACTCAATTGGTGAATGAATAAGTGGACAAGAAAATGATTCACCTGAAATGAAGAAGTATGTGTCTGCCATTTCGCATAGGATGTTTTTGGTTTTGGTACTCAATTTTTCATAATTATTTTTTAAAGGGACAAGCATATTTTAGCTGCTAACTTAGCAATTATAGGCAGATATCATGCATGAGGAGTAAGGATCTTTGCATAAATTGCTCAGTCTCCAATTTTTTTGCCACAGAGAGGAGTGAAATAAAGCTGACTGACTTGGCCTAGGTTTGCCCTGATTGGGTACACTAAAACAGCTGTTTTGGTTCGGTAATTGTTTCACATTGATTCTCAAAAAAACCTGTAAATTTCAAATTGTCAAATATCTTTAAAAAATACTCTAGAGCAAATTTGATACATTTTGAATACAATATTCGGCTAAAATATTGCACTTTGTCAAAGCAGTTTATTTTCCCCTTGTTTTCTTTCTTGCCAAAGCGACAATCTTGCATGCGCCAGATCGACGGATAAAAAAATTCAATGAAACATTGGCATGCAAGAATGTTTAAAAGGTGTTTGCTAGTGTTTGATCATTTATTTTATTTTCGATATTTATTCGTGCATTCTAATATTTACATACAGAAAACATACCCAATCAGGGCGACGCCAGAAATTTAGGCTGTGAGGACAACCCAGTCTGCAGAGTGTGGCGGACGCACGCGCGAGGTCAGGATAGTGCTGCACGCCAAAATTTTCTGATTGAACACCAAATTTACTATAGTAATATTAAAAAAACTTAGATTTGCACGCAAAATGATTAATAAAGAAAGGTTTGCACGCAGAAAACATGACGTGAATGAGTACTGCACGCGCGAGATCTCGTCGAGAACTGCCATACTCTGCAGACAGGAGGACAACTAAGAAGTATCGCAGCTTTTTCATAAACTTTGTCAAACCAATTACCTGATCTTTTGAAATATATATCAGAAGAGTATGAAAGATTTTGTCAATGCAAAGTTTTATGTCTAAGTCTACGCAAAATAGAAAATTTTTAATTTGTATCTAGGTATACTCAATCAGGGCGACGTGACCCTAGAATTGCTCGACCTGCATTTTCTTTTACAAACATCTGAATAACTGACACATTGACAATAATATGTTATCCACTTAATGTTCTTATTTCGCATTATAGAGTGTATCAGAAACAAAAGTATTTCACTTTTTATTACAAAGCTCACTAGCCAGAATGCTAAGATGAGAAAGCGAGAATTAATCTAGCTGATATACTCACGTCGTAAGTGTCTCCAAATGTAGAATACGAACCAGTGATCACTTTTGGTGGGGCTGGTGCTGTTCCGGCATTGACATTTTCATCGGTATATTTACTGAAATACTTAACAGGCGGTAAAGGAAATGATGATTGCAAGGATCCTTCAGCAGCATTCCCTTCAGTTCGTCCACCATCCGCCGCCATTTTGGATATGTTTCAGAATGAGGCTAATTTGCAGTAGAGACTGCGCTAAGAAGAAAGTTTTTTGCCAAGCTCCCAGGCACGAGCCTTGTGGAACTCCATCTTCTATAAGCTGGATTTCAGAGGAACCGCCATTGACTGTGTAGAAATTCTTGTGGTTCAGTGAATAAGGAAAGAACCGATCATGCTCCAGATCATAGATGCCTTAACGATACACTTAAGCTCAACCAAAGTATAGTTTAACAGGTTTTCAGACACCAGAAGATAACAGCGCCGACTTCAGTGGTGGGCCAAGAAGGTAAGATGGGGAATTACCACTAGTTCTTGTCTTTAGTGTATTTGTTCGTTATTGTCTTTCTATTTTATTGGTTCGATAGCAACGGGCATATGGCACTGAAATGAGGCGATTAAAGCAAATATGCTTTTTTCTGAAGTTAGAGGTCGAAAAATTGATGGATTTAAAATAATTATTGAAATGGATTGTAGAGTTGATTATTTACCAGCTTTTCAAGCAGCCTAGGAATAAAAAGTAGAACAAGATTATAATTTGTCTCATCATCCAGTGGCGTAGAGTGAGAACAGAATTTAGGCATGCGGTAACATTTCATATAAGCTAATGGTGAGTAAATAAAATTGTAATCGCAGCTTTTTGTAAATACAAGCGGTAATTAAAGGTAATCGTGATAATAAATTTTGATTATGAAAATAGGCATAGGTTTGAGAGCCCTGCGGTACTTTATGTTCATTTTCCTCTAGAAAATAGCTGGCATGGCCAGCAACATAATTTATATTAAGTGTCACACCCTGTAAGCCATCAGAATCGTGAAGCAAAATGCTAAGATTTGAAATAATATATCACGCAAACAATATTTGTAAAAAAGAGCTTATGGGCGAAAAAATGTTGAGGATTATCAAATGCTTACGCTCAGGCCGACCACAAGCCCCAGCCAGGAAAATTCTTACTTCTCTCGGCAGCTGCACTGGAGCATCGCATGTTTCTTTTTATCGTAGATGGCGAAAATTTACAGGCAGAAAGAGTGATGTGGAGAGGCTTCAGTATTTCAGAATTTTCGAATGTCATAATTTTGTAGCGATCTGCTTACTTGGAAAAATAACCAATGGGCCTGTTTACTTATGCTGATTCATGACTAGAAAAAGAGGCCATTTATTGCAGAAAATATTTCACATTTACTTTAACACTACAGCGCATTTATTACCGATAAAAATGTTGCAAGAATTTTATAATTTGTCTAGAATATTTTACGCTTGCGCCGAAAGCTTGGCATACATGGACGGTACGCCAATGTGACCATCATGTCCTCTACTCTAAAGAATGACTGCATAGCTTTCCAACAATAAGGTTAAGTCCCAGAAATAATTAAAAAACTGATATTTTTGCAAAGTGAATACTGAAGGGGGGGAAATTCCTCAAACCCTAAATAAAGTTCTTTTCATTACGTCTTCTTAAACATCAGTGAGCAACTTTTTCATACAAGTACAAACCATTGGAAAAGTAAACACAGAAAATGCAAAAATTCTTTAGAGAATGGCGCAATCAAAATAGGAAAATGGCGCTTGTTGTGGCCCTAGAAATTGTCTTACCTGAAATCATCCCCAGTATTGCAAAGCAATACGGTGGCGGAGAAGGAGTGGGTGCGGTAGACGGGATAGAAAGTGGTCTGATCTGACTGGATTCAAGAATTTACATGTTGTCTCTAACTTGACAACTGATGGGGCTGCAGTTAGAGGGACAGCTGATGCAAAGGTTGAGCTTGAACACCACATTACTCTGAAGTCTGTTAAAAATTGTTATATGGATGAAGATTCATATCGCGTAATATTTTGTCGAATAAATATTTCTGAGACTAGATTTGAACTATGTTAATAAGAATAAATGGAGACACTGGCACTCAAAGGGTAGAAGAGAGGAATGCCCAAACCCTGCCTTGGTATTTTCTGGAGGAGGGGTTAGCTCTTTCTGGACCCTGCACAAATGGATAGACATGTCGCTCTCAATTAAAATATCAAATGTGACATGGTATTTGCTTGACGATAGAAGTCAGTGAATAAAGAGATGTTCGAACATTCCAAAATGAAGATTTGTACGGCATCGTGAAAGAAGATTATGAGAAATTTTTTCCTAAAAACGATCTTTCTGGACAACAGCTATCCAAAAAGGAGATGTTATTTCTTCTTACACTAGGGAAAGTTTACAATATTTTTGGCCATCCAAGAGTTTGGTCCGCAAAGATTTGAAAGTCAGATTAAACAGGCCATCACAAAATGTTTCTTTGTTGTCAATCCTCTTATTGTATACAGTACTAGAAGAGTCCTTCAAACCGTTCAAAAAGACTGCGTTCCCTTCAGTATCACCCAAAAAAGTTCAGTTGTTTATGAATTTACGTGCCAGTATGATTTTGGCTACGTAGGATACACAACCAAAAGATCAGGGATAAAAAACATCTTCCTTCCAAACAAACAAAACTGCCCCACAAAGAGAACACCTTCCTCGATCTTGTAGGTCTAAAAAACCACAGTAAAAACTAGTGACTCTGCCATCGGACAACAAATTTTAGACAACCCAGATTTTGCAAAACTCGAAAATGACGACATGCTTCAGATAATTGGCAGAGCCCAGTCGTCTTTTCACCTAACAGATTTGGAATCGATCTACATGCAAACGAAAAAGTCACCATTGTGTAGACAGAAGGAGTTTGTTTTCTCTCTTGGACTCCAGTCGACTCCAGTGGTAATTTTACTTGAGGCACGTAGCACTGATTGGTCAACTATACCGGTCTTGTGCTTGCGTTTTTCTGATTGGCCTATTTCGATCAACAGCTGGGTATATATTTACCATCGTGTTACTTTCAACCCTTATTCTGATGTTTTATACTCCAGATTTTCCGACAAAATAGCTTTGTAGTATGTTGTGACGTTAGCTTTTTCCAAAGCCATTTTCAAGTTCTGTACCGCCCAAAAATTGTTCACATATTTTCTAAGTCCTCATTCTATAAGAATTAATGTTCATTTCAATTATTTCACGGCAAAAATTTCTGTGATAAATCCTGCCCCAGATTGTTGATTGAAAAAATGGTATGCTAAGAAGATTGTCGACTTGAATTTCAAGAAATGAAATACATGCAAGTGATAACATAGATGAGCCCCTCCCACCATCAAGGTGAACACAATGGGATCCTTGCTGGTGTGATGCCCGAGCCATAGCAAGTCGTTCCCAATGAACAGTAAATCAAAATATGATGGTTTTAGTTCGGAGATCACAAATTACTGAAATTTACAAACATAACAACTTTCACAGGCCAGAAAAAAGAAGAGGTAATAGCTATTGACGTTGCACATATCAAAAATTTTATAGCTGAAAACTCGCCTCACTCCAATACATCATACTATTCATGCTCTTTGAAAACAAAGACTGCACAAAAGCTATACTAACCTGATACGGAATATGATTGGTCATATAACGACAGTTGATTGACAGAACGATATTGACCAATCAGGCTTAAAAGGCATGCTAAATAAAAGACGAAATTTATGACCGCTAACAGCCGATGCCAAGCAGTCTTCTGTAGGAAAACTTAAAAAATAAATCTCCATGTCAACGGAACCGTGGAGGGGGCTTAGCGATTAATTTCAGAGATTTTAGGGGCTCGGTCCCCCCTAAACAACGCACTCTGTTTGGCTGGGCGAATTCTTTACTTTGCAGTGTGAACTAATGCTTGATTTAGTTATGGATTTTCCATAAATGACCAGTTTCTATCATCCTTTGAGAGCCGGTGAATAGTTTAAATGATTTCATAAAAACATCAGAGAATCAAAAACACAGCTGCAAGTATGTTGGGTGTGACCATGGATGTGGTCTTGGTTGTGGCTACAGCACAGCTTCCTGTCTAACTTGTTAAGAATAAATGAAAAATACATTTTAGTTGGAGATGATTTTGAAGAAGTCCAGTACTTTACTTTCCTCTGTTATTAGAATAACTAAAGCTGTACACGATATGTCAACGAACAGTAGTGGCAGGCGAAAGGAATAACGGCTTGGGCTTCAAAACTTACAAAACCTGGTACTAGATAGCTTTGCGTAGTAACTTGTTCAAGTTGTTTTCAGCAATATCCTTACATATCAGGAACAGATGTCAAGAACAGATGACAGCATGAAACAATCGCTATAGAGAGACACTGCTTCGCTGAAAAGCATTTGCTTGTCACTAGCAAATATTGCATTTGATATGCAAACGTTTCAATACTAAATGGAACATCATTTTCAATATTTCGTTAGGCAATATGTTCTGATTTAACATGTACTTCACTAATGTAAACTTAAAGAAACATATGACACTTGCATTAGCGGAGAGGAGCAGGGGGGGGGGGCGAAGGCCCATTTTTCACGGAAAATGTTTGTCTTTGGCTCATACTTTAAAAATTCGACAGAAGGGTAGATACACCATAAAATTTTCCTGTAATGGGATCCAAATCTAACGAGAAAATCTGGTCATTTGGTAAAGTACTTTTTTATCCTTGATTGTGTATGATACCGTTTTCGCGGGGGGGGGGGGGGGGGGGCAGGGGGGGGCAGGGAGGCTACCGCCCCAATACTTCAGACGACAATGGTCTTGTGTTCTAAAACAATGGGAAATGTGACGTCATCTTATTAAAACATTAGGCCCCCCCCCCCAATATTTGACCAAGTGTCCGCCCCTGGTCGTGGCTCAGATTTATCTAGCTTGATAACCGGACCCTCCGATTTCAAAGAAAAATAGCCATTTCCTTTGAAATCGGGGTCTGGTAATCAGGCTAAAATTTTTCATGCCGACAAATTTTTCATGTCGCAAAGGATTCTGCAATAAAGGTTAGGAAATAGACAAAAACTAGTTCTACCGAAAATTATCGAAAGCCCAAAACACTTTTCATTAAAATTGATTATCATACTTTGACGGTGAAGATTTATTCGATATATTAAGCAAGCTATACCAAGACAACAGTTAGAAACCTTTTTACACTTGAAATCTAAAATGATAATAATACAAACATTAGAAAGTCGGCACTTTGGCTAACATAAAATTTTTGTCGTGTAATAGATTTAAAAATATTCACATCACATCAAAAAATATAGGGCACTTTTTTCTTATGACTATTGGACAGCTGATTGATTGAATCAGAACAAGAAGTTTGAATTTACAATAGAGTGCATAACGGCAGGAGTATGAGAGGGTGTCTGATATTATATGCGTAAAGCCGCCATTAACAGTGTTTTCAATATTAGCTGGAAAATAATCAGAACAAAGTATCTGGGAACTAATCATCGTGTGTAAAACAGCTGAATCTTTAATTATTTAAGCGAACGGTGCATGGGTTGCTCATCTGGCCTTCTCTTCCGTTGACATCAACTGGCAACACTGCAAAGTGATATGAATTACCAGAGACAAACTGCGTCAAAGTGCACGCCATTGGCAAAGGTAGTGCTTTCACGACCCCGATCTTCTTCCACTCTGATTTAACTGTAGGAGGATTCGGACTATCTTGCGACGCAAACAAGTGATAACAGTCAATCGCCGGTATATTGGCAGGCGGCTCTGTTTCAAAGTCCCAGGACAAAACAATTCCATTTCCAGACACTGTTATATTAACTTGCAACTTTGGCAGGACCGGTGTTTCAACTTGAACTCTCGTCATTTGATAGGGTGGAGGAGGTAACTGTGAAGGCGCAACTCCAGATGCACCGGGACGAGCTCGAAATTCGCTGTGGATGATGCCGCGCTGTGGGACGCCCAGAGGCACCTGTGGTCTCATGTCAGGTGGAGCTACTTGTGAAGGCATTCGATGGCTGTTTGGTGGCATGGTATGTGAGATAAACCCAGGCATCACATTCTGTGGAATATAATGGACTGTTTGTGTACTAGATCCTTGCATACGGACTAGATTTCCACCAGGGCGTGATAATTGCCCAGGCTGGGAAAGTCTTGATCCCATACCACTAGGTGAAAGTATTTGCCGCTGGTTGGTATGTTGACCTGCCTGCTGGGGTTGTGGTGGTATCGTGGACATCCTTGGACCAGTTACCTGCACTGGTTGAGTGGTATAAATCATTTGACCTGGCGGTCTAGCAATAAACTCGATTCCAGGTGCACGGGGGCGTTGTCCACCAACTTTTTGCATGACCATTCCATTTTGTCCAAGATGGATGAACTGCGAATGAGGCACTGCAGAGGACCCTGCGCTTAGTCTCTGAGGCACATACTTAACTTGGGGGCCTTGCCTCGTTATGGGACTCCCTTGGCTTGCAAAGGAGGCAGCACCTTTACCGTGATCATTCAACACAATATTCATATTTGCAGAAGTTTTAGAAGATGGCCTGGAAATTTCCACAACTTCTGCTCTTGGTCTCGCATCTCTATGCCCGATACCTTCAAAATTGGCTTCCCCAGTGGCTTTTTGTACATGATACGGACTGACCACAGCTGACTGTCGTCGGATTGGTGAAACACCCCCAGTCTCTACTGCCATGGGCTGTGCACTGACATTTTCCAGAACCTCCTTCAGTTTGGATGACGAGACATTATCATCCTGAGGGAAAAAGTGATATATTACGAATTGGTAAGCACTAAAATTGCCAATATGGATACGTGTTTGTGAACTTGTTTAGGCAAAATCATTTGCAGTGAGCAAAGAAAACATATCATGCATATATTATAAATCAAAAAAACATCGACGTAGATTTAAAATATTTTCTTTAAAAATGGAGAATGAGTTAGTTCATAAAACCTAAGCACCCGTCCTTCGTGCCTTGTGGTGTCAGAAGGGCTTAAAACGAATAAAACTCTTATGCATACACTAATAGACATATTGTCTTGTAACGATCTTGCAACACATTGTTCTGTGAAAGTCTAGGTTAAAAGGCTCAAACAAAACCCTTCAGCTTTCAATGTATACCCTAATTGGAACTTTGTTTCTCTAGTTAAAATTTACAATCTAGACAAAAGAGTTAATCACTTTCGCAGAAGAAACTTTTGCGGGAACTTTTTGCAATTTTGCCTCTTAAATTGGCGAAAGTATGTTCCGTAAAACTTCCTGAAATATGAAATTAGCGAAATTTTATTCTTGTCAAATTTTCAGATAACTCTGCATTAACCCTCTTGGAGGCTTTGATGACGAATGGTTGTTCTTAAACGAATTCCAACACTGATTCCGTTGTTTTAGAAACTTTCTTCCAGCGAAACTTTCTTCTCTTAACGCATATTGAATACCATTAGAAACTAAACTCTTTTTAACCGAAAAATAAAAAAATATGAATTGTCAAACATTACATTATCAATTGTCAAACTAGAAACCTCGGGACAGTGATATTACCGTTTTAATTGACTGTATAATTGCATCGAGTTTATCTTGTAATCTTCTTGCGTTTCGTCGCAAATCTCTGTTTTCTTTTTGAAGCTCAATAAGCTTGCCGTTTAATACACTGTCAGTAACTGCATCGCCAATCAACGACTGTTCTAGTTGCTTCATTCTCCTGAATACAAGATTCTTTACAATCTAGTGGTAGGAAGAAAAAATTCAACTGATAGAAGCTCGTTTACAGGCTGGCAAAAAAGAATATTTCATTAGAATAAGCATTTTACAGAATCTGTCAACATTCTTGGTAACAAAACAAAATTTCTCTGGGCGGGTGATGTTGACCAGCAAGATAACAGGGGATCCAGCAGAAATTACAAAAACTTCAACCACAATAAAGATGGGACATTAAGACATGATCTTTCCAATATTGCTTGGCTAAACGGAAATTATAGTTGAAAAGGAAATTGATTGAAAAAATTGAAAAAATTCATTTTGCTGCAACAATTTTGGCATTGGCAGTTAGTTTTACAGCGGCGACGATACTTTGTCTCGCAGCAACAAGTTAATCCAATTCCCAAGGACCTTTTTCAAAAAACTAACGCTAAATGCCACTTGAGGCGCTGCATGTAGGCCATACAATCAAATGTACCGACAATAAGATGGAGCTGCTATGAGTAGCCCTTTGGGTTCGGCATTAGAAAAGAATTATGTTGGTTTCCATGACAATAGATTTTTGACAAGTCCGAAAACCAACGGTATATCGCTACGTTGATGACACCTAAATCCCCAGCGGCAAATCAAGTTTCCATTAAAGCCTCTGATTACCCATATTTCACAAGTTTCTTTGTAATAATTTTGAAATATGTCATAGTTCGGCATAGCTCTTTAAATGGTACCCATAATTCTGACATATTTCAGAAAGTGATGCGAAAATTCTGCACTTTTCAGAAAAGGTTCTCCTACATAATGTCACGCCCCCGTACCTCAAAACCTATTAAGGTACACCCCCCCCCCCAGAAAAAAGCACAATTTCTTACATCCAGCTCTTAAATTTACCACGTAAAGGTGTAAAGCTAATTACTATGTTCTTGCGAGCACCAGGGAAACAACGGTTCCAGAAAGAAACAACCGCAGAATATTTGCAATGATCAAAATGCCCAAATATAATCTTATTCGACAATAGGTTAGCAGCTGTTCAAGGTCAAGATTGCTCCGAAACCGAGTGACTTCGAATCCATCTATATTAGAAGAAAAAACTGACTTGTGTGGACGGAAACAGTTTGTTTTGTAAACTTTTGTAAACATAAACTAATTTTAGCTTAAGAAGATTATTTTTAAAGCGTTTCACAAGAGGCAATGATAGCTGCAACTTGTGACGATTGTGGCCAAGCACCTGTCTTGGAGACTAGAAATAATCTATAAAAAAGGTCCCTGGAATCGTTTCCAGAAATAAAACCGAATGTCTATGTTTCCGATTTCCATGCTATTTTCAACATTTTTTAATCAGGGCTCTAAGAAGTCGAAGACTAAAGACATTTGTGTGTGTCATGGAGGCCATTATTAATGAATGGCTAGGGTAAAGGGGTCCGATGGAGCTCCACTTAGACAACATAGTTGACCAGTGTTTTTAAGACTGTTAAGAACAAGAGCTTGTAGGTAATTTCAGGTAAACACGTGTGCCTTAACACGGGGCATCATGCCAGGTATTGAATTCATCTGATCATACCATCTGTAAAATGTAACTTTAAATAGATTTGCAATCTAAAGAAAAAAAGAAGGAAAGAAGATGCCAGTGTAGAAACCGAAGGGCATGCGTGGCAGCCTTAAGCCTGCTGTGTCCTGGGCATTGCAGTGTAGATTTTTACTACAAGCAAAAAGGGGCAAAGAAGTGTGATATCTCTTGTGTTGTTTTCCATCCACAACCGTATGGTTGTCGGGAATCCATGACCACGATTATTCCTCGACAAAGCTCCAAGATCCAATTAATAGCTCCACCAAACATGAAGATCCAACGAACAAATCAATGTAGATCAAATACCAAATACTTCTCAAGATTAAAATTACAACTTATAACACCAGAATCAATGATGATGCAGGGTAGATGTGAAAGTATACATTTGAATTGGATGAAAAAAGAGTTGTCCAACAAACTGGGTTCAGACGAAGACTCTCTGCAGACAACAAGGAAGGTATTTGTCAGATTTCCCCGAACTTGTTTCAAGATGACTTCATATAGAAGTACTTTGACTTCACCTGGTATTTAACAGGTTCCAATGAAGATCTGAAAACTTTACGCAATCAACGGAAGTTGAATACAATTTGTTATATAGGGTCATCAATATAAGCCATCAATATAATTTCTCCCTTATACATACACGATTGTGAAATTGTTGCTCAAATATAGTTCTTTCATGTAACTAAAGATAGGAAGTGGCTTGCCACAACATTGTTTGTCATTAACCAGAAGACTAATGCTTAGTGTGGAATAAATGACGTCAAAGTGTAGGAGTAAACTATAATTAGGTTGAGTCAGGGTGTTTTTCCATAGGCAACAGCATGGTCAAAATCCCAGATCAATTAAGTTTTCAGGAAAGATCAACTTGCTTTGAAGTTGTAAACAATAAGAAAATGCTATGTTCTGGAGCAGAGCAGATCATATCTGATATGTGCAAAGACACTATAACCCTTTGCTACAGAGTTACCTTCCTACGACTGGAGTGATTTTCATGTAGACTATCAGAGTGTTCTTTACTTGGATTGTGAAGTGTAGTATAACGCCAGTGCCTACTTAATACAAAAGTCATTCTGCTCTGTTCTATAAATTCTCCAATAAGGAGCTTTAATTTGTGGTTGGTCAGCTTTAAGTGACTTGTTTATGGGTGATATTATCCTGTTTATGCTTCTATTTTTCTACAGGGTTGACAATATGTTACTTCTCAAGGGTTGGACAGGTGACATAGTAATTGCTTTATGATTTATTCTTGGCATCAAATTTGATTGTTCTTAGCAAGCATGTGGATAGAACTCATTGTTTGAGTCAGCGTTTTAACAATAGTTCAAATATCAATTACTTTGCCATTTTGCCTCCGAAAAGGACAAACAAAACCGTACAAAACACAAAAGTTGGTGAAGGAAAACCTGCTAGAAATCGTACTAAAACAAGATAGAAATGTACGAGCAACAGCTCATTCACCTCATCAAGGCTTGCTCTTGTCAAAAGTGTTGCTTTGGACAACAGAGCCTGTTACATTAGGGAATTGGGATGCAGAATAGGTGGTAAATCGAGGGGTTTTAGTTAAGCTATCTTAGTTTTCTTATATTATCTTGGTAATATTTTTCAAACCCATGAGAACAAAACTCTTTACAAAAGCATGTTCTTTCATTTATTTACTATTATATTGCATATATAAATAAATACAAAAAGCTGACAGGAAGAAATGTTTTCCTACAAGGGTGTTGCCTGATTGTAATAATTACTCTTGGCCAATACCAACCTTGTGCTTTCTGCATTGAATCATCAGCAAACCATCTAATAAGCTGCAGACTTTAAAACAGAACTGGGAGATATCAATGATGGATTTGCCAAGACAGATATTTTTGGTTTTGACCATAAGCCATCTTTAGAGTTACAAAATTAGAAAAAAATGAGGATATGAAGAGTATCCTTGTATATTTTAAAGAAATATATACAAACCTTGACAAAATCTGGAAATGTCTGGGTTGAAGCATCTACTCTGCATAAAAGTGGTTCTTCTGTGTTATCAGCAATAGATGTGACAGAGCGATCTGAGCATAGGCGGTCTATGATGCTCTCAAGTTTTTGACCTGATCCATTTTGCAATGTGCCTCGAAAATCAGGCTTTGCTGTTGTAGACAGCTTTTTTTCAAGGTTTGTAGCATCAGGTTTTAAAGCACTTTCACTGCTGAAATGGACTGAGGTTGAGTCTGTTTTGGCAGAAGGTGCCAATGAAGTGCTAACAGTGACATTAGAATTAACAGTAGTGGAAGAAGAACTACTGTTCTCAATTTTATTGTTGTTTTCTCTACCCTCTTTAACAGGAAGTGTTTTCTCTTCACATTCCTCAATAGCTGTTGGTACTTTCACACTATCTGGTTTTCTTACATCATCCAGTACAACTAGAAGAAATGACACTGTTAAGAATTGTGACCATTATGTTTTATTTGCTTCACCATTAGAAATATGTTTATTAGAAATACAATAACTTTAATAATGCAATGGAAATTTATACCTGCAATTAAGGTACACCCCTAATACTAGAAGATATTCCTAAAAATAGTGATGTGCAGTAGCCTAGGGTTCCTTTACACACTTCAACTGTTTTGAGTTTAGCATACAATGTTTAAATCTTAAATGAGACAAAAATGAAACATAGGATTTCTTAACAAGGTGTTAAATTTGTAGCCAAACCTGCCAAAAAGTTGTATAAAATTACACATCAAGTACATGATAACGAGAAAATGCTCAAAACATTGTGTTTTTAACAATCAAACTATTATACTTTCATTCTGATACTAAATTTATTTGCTAACTGTATTATCATTATTCTGGATGAAGTACCACACGCAACATACATAGTTAATTGGATTTTTTTAAAGTCTTGTAGACGAATGCATAGAAGCATTTATATTGACATGCAAAAGAGAAGGCAAATTGAAAAAAGATGGGTCTAATGTTTGCCTATATTTAAATTTTGATATGTTTCTACAAACTCAATGACTTATTACATAAAAATGATATACCTTATACAAGTAAAAGTTCTGACCAACCTATAGCATAATTTTTACAAGTTACTTCCACTTCAAGAGACTAAGCCAATGTGCAATCCAGATAGGTTACACCAGATAAATTAAGCATGGATTAACAATTACATATTCTATTTCTACTGTTTATTGTGTATATTCTGTGTTAGCGTTACATGAATTCCACCCTGGTATACATCTACTTCTACTTCTACATCGATACCGAGCAGCACTGAGTAACGGTATAATGCTCAGAGTGCAAGAAATAATAGATTGATGGGTAAAAAATGCTAGAAGATGCCACTGATCAATGATTAGATTGAACATTTACATGTCAAATGACCATCTAAGCATTTACATTTACATCTTTGGCAAAACCCTTTACTTGAGATTCACAGAAAAATTATCTTTTAGTCAAGAAATATTCCATTTTTACTGACAAACAAATGAGAAAAAGATTGAGGATGAAATGAAACTATGAAAGTCTAAAAATTCCAAATATACAGAGAATATGGATCAAAATCATCAACCTACTGCTATGTACCACGAGATGATGGAATAATCAGATACATGTAAGTTTATTTATAATGCATCAGAATATGTATAATTCAGTTAAGGTATGATGTGAAATCTGATTTACAAAGCAGTTGTTTTAAGCGTTGAAAATCATATTTTACCTATATCCTGGTCATCCCCAATTTTCATCCTCTTTGGTTCTGGTCCACTGCTCTCCATGATGCCTGACTAAAATGTGAGAGCAGGAATGTCGTAAGAAACGAACATCGCGAATACAATGAGTCTGAAGAAAGTAGTGAATTTGTAAATAAAAAGGTCAAAGTTATCATCAAGTTCTGTCCTGCATTAGCAGTGTGGATGCACAAGTAGGCTAAGATAACGAAATGTTTACAAAAGGTTCATTGCCATCTCTCTGAACTAATAGTAATACCAGTTCTGCAATCAACGCAAAACTCGTCACTTCACTTCCAAATGGGCCTAGAGACAAATGGGCCTAAACTTCGCCAACGTAAATTTGCATTTGCAATCCAAAACGCGACGATCGGCATTGAGTTTAGCTCCTTGACAGTTCCGCCATCCAAGACAGATTCATCGGAGAAAGCCAATGTTACATAGACTGAGAGAAAGATCTGAGGTAACAGCCTACCTTCTTCGACCAACTTTGCACACCGATGGACACCTACTTCGCTATTACCTCATTCTTCTTTCGGCACTATTTGACGGTGGAAAATCCACGGATTTTCAAAACATCCATATCCACCAGCATCCACAAGATGGCCAAAAGATCCAATGCAAAGAAGTGACAGATCTCAAATCTATTACCCGTATATGGATTTCACAACCAACGTGGGTTTGATGAATTTGACAGAAAGACAATGGAAAATAAAATCCCTTTGTTGCGAAAACGCTAATCTCTGTATTCATGCGAGGTCTTAGTGACTGTCGAAACCGCAAGATTTGATTGGTGCCTGCCACATATCCGGCCTAAGTTGTTAGCCGTCAAGATATTGCCATCGTCAACTCTCCAGTCTGTAACGAAAGTGCAAATTCTCGATATTGCCACAAGAAAATTAGGCCTACACTGCAGTATTGTTCACGAATAATCTGCAGCAATTTTTGCAAAAATTATTAGTCGCCAACACACACCAAGATCAACTATAAATAGACATAAAAACATATAGAGACATGAAACAAGATTGAGAGCAAATTTTTAAGGCCAACGACGAGGGTATTTTTTGTTGAAGAAATGGTATTTCTAACGATGATTTTGAAGGAGCGTGCGTACAGTTTGTGCTTGCTCTAAGTTTCGTCTTCGTACCAGATAAATTGCAGTTTATTTACAATAATTTGTGTCTAGAACCCCGTGCCTACTTTCGTTCACAACATGGTTCAAACCATAGTCTTTAAAGCTCAGACAACATTACCGAAGTAACGTTCGCCTTTCCCGTTTGCCATCAAAAACCAGTGAAGTTTCCAACTTAGAAAACCTCCATAATTTCATACAACCATGTTAAATAAAAGGACCAAAGTATTGCCAACAAAATAAGGAGCATTATCTTCAAAGCCAAAAGTTGCAGCCAAAACTTGCAATCAACTTTTACTGACTAATCAAAAGGAATTAAACCCGCTCATCACGAAACTTAGGACTTAGCTTTAGCTGAAGATTTCGAAATAGCAACGTTTGTAGGGCTTCAAACAAGGAAATCTTTTTTCCGTTATCTAGAAGTTGTTCAGATTTCACAACTGAATTTTTCAAGTGAAGTCACGTGAAGTAATCAAACAAGTGAAGATTGTACTAGTAAACCGGTTCGATATTTTCAACGAAACAGGAAAAAAACCTTACTTTTTCCTTTTTAAAGGTGGATTTCCACTTCATGGTATGGACGGAAAACGGGAAACGGTATATGGTACAAGCAAGCGCAGAAGATACTTTCATACGTACCGCTTTCCGTTTTTGAAAGTTGAAATCAAGGCAAATTTTTTTCCACAGAATTCGTACCGTTTGATCACTCATCCAATCATGCTCGAGGCATTACGTCATAACTTCAGCAAAAAGCTGTGCTTCTTAACCACAGTCATTCTGAAATACTTGAAAGAGTATTACCTATCATCGGTTGAAGCAGGCAGAGTTGTAGGGCCCCCTTGTAAATTTCAATAATGAACCCTTTTCTACTTTTTGCCATCCTTTTCGAGAAGGCTTCTCTTGTATTTTTCATTGCAACACTTGTAATTAAATAGTTCCCTGGGTGGAACTTTCTTTTTTGCTTTTTTCTTGAAACATGTTTCACCCATACGCTCTACTCGTACTTTCTCTTTTAACTTTTCAATCTTCTTGCAAAATAAAAAAAATCATAAAGATGTTAAACATAAACATGCCGTCTTTCCCCTCTCTCGGGCATGTTTCATTGCACGAAATGGAAATGGGAAGAAAACCTAGTCCTCGGGTAATGGAAATGAAAATTCCTCGGGCTGAAACTTTCCGAACCTCTTGCCGTTTTCCGTTGTCCGCTTTCTGTCCATACCGTGAAGACGAAATCCACCTTAACAGTCGAAACTTCGCTTTGCTAACAAGCAACACAAATGAGATACCCGGGCTATCATTATTTGACTGAATGGCTATCAACTTTATTACGCTGAAAAGTTAAATAACGTGTGCTATACAGTATTTCCAATTGCTGAGCCATTTGGAGATGCCAAACTATGTTTTCTTTAGGGCGTACACAGGATCAGGGGCGGATGCACACATTTGTCTCACCTTCGCACAAAAAGACCGGTATCGCAAATACTATTTTGAACCACACCAATAAACTTGATTCCGAAAATTTCATAAGTAATGTAGAAACGCTCATCAAATGGACTTTTTGTTTGTGACTAGTTCAAATTTGGAGTTGCCAAAAGATGCCCCGAAAGACCCTACACAAAATAAACTGCAAATTAAAAACTTTAAGGTTGATAATTTGCCAATAGAGCACCTTTAACATATGAAAAACGTCGTGAATGTAAAGGAGCAATTTTATTCAACCAGCAAGCAAAAACTGACATATATTCTTAGGTTGATTTTTGCTGTACTGTCTTCGTTGTTTTTTGAAATTTTTTATTTCATCTAAACGGAATTTTCCAAGCCACAAAAGCGGCTGATAGTAAGCATTTTATAAATGATAAAAAAGGACCACGTGAAAACCTCGTGACCAATTCTTATTGGTTGTCTTTTTTAGCCTATTATTTAGACAAAAGTCGCTTTTATATCCTTCTGCAAGGTTTTAGGAGTTGTATTCTTCGGTTATTCTTACTACTATGTTTAGCTAGATATTTTATTCATTCTGTTGCGTGTTTATGTCATAGGTATGCTTGTTTATCGTACAGTTGTGTTTGTAACTTCCTTTCAGAAAATGTGTGTCACTGTCATGGTATCATGTTGCGTCTCGCAGTGTTCCTTTGTGCGGTGAATGAAAATCAGCCTTGTTTATTGTGTGATCTCTGTTAAAATAAGTTTTATTGTTTGATTAAAATATATACAAACATCGACAGAAGAAGTCTAGGCTTGTCTAGGCAATCGGGTAATCCACTCTCCTAAGAAAAACCAGTTTCTGAACGATAAAACCTCAATCGTTGGGCTTACAAAATTGTACGAATCATCATGACAACATATCTTTAACTTAATTTTCCAACAGAAACAGCGACAATAACAAAACCAAATCAGTATGATCCAAGAAAACCCCTTCAAAATCAGAGGAATACCCAGGTGGAGATTCCCTGGTTAACATGGTTAACTGAAAGTGACTGAAACTTGAAAGAAACTGGAAATCCACAAAGAAAAAAATTTACTTTGCTATTTTCAAGCAAAACAACTGTGCCAACGTTCATTTAATACCATCTTCGCGATGGCCAAAGTGAAGGAATCGTCCAAGTACACTGTAGTAGGCCCTTCTATCTATTCTACATTTCTAAGGAACACTATGAATCCTCTGTGTTGCGGAGGAAATTGACATTCATATTGACATAGGTGGAAACTAGTAATCTTCAATTTCTAGATCTTAGATCAAATTGATTTTCCAAAGATATAGTTTACTTTTTGATACACACGATCAGAAGAAACAACTCGATACTAAAGAGCCCTCCACCTTCGAAGCTGTGAAACATTTTAAGCTTTTTTCAAATATCTAAGAACATTTTGAGCCTATATACCATATTTCAATGTTCTTTGCCCAATGGCGCAAACCGCACTTGAAAAAGTACTGATCACAGAAGCTAGAATTATCTAACAGTATTATTGGATAAAAATAATGGGAACAAGAGCTGTGCTATTTGGTGTGAACGTGTTTCTGATGATACTGTGCATTGAATATCCTGAATCTAACCATGTTATCTGACTTGAGACAGGCTGCGTTTACACGGGGCCGGCCGAATATTTGGTCGGTCAAATATTTGGTCACTTAGGCCTTGCGTTTACACGGGGCCGGCTAAACGACCTCAAGTTAGGTCACTTAGGCTGCGTTTACACGGGGCCGGCCGAATATTTGGTCGGTCAAATATTTGGTCACTTAGGCCTTGCGTTTACACGGGGCCGGCTAAACGACCTCAAATTAGGTCACTTAGGCTGCGTTTACACGGGGCCGGCCGAATATTTGGTCGGTCAAATATTTGGTCACTTAGGCCTTGCGTTTACACGGGGCCAGCTAAACGACCTCAAATTAGGTCACTTAGGCTGCGTTTACACGGGGCCGGCCGAATATTTGGTCGGTCAAATATTTGGTCACTTAGGCCTTGCGTTTACACGGGGCCGGCTAAACGACCTCAAGTTAGGTCACTTAGGCGTGCAAATATTCGGCCACCTAGGAAAGCGTCCTTCTTGAAACTTGGCCGGCCGAATTCGCGAGCGGCCTCGTGTAAATATTTGCACGGTACCAAAAAGAGGGTGTCGATGCGTGCTACGGAGGCAAACACAAAATGGGAAATTGAAATTTTGGGGCCGAAATTAATGTATTGTTGTTGGTTAGAGTCACTGGCTAGATTTTGCGTTTGTAGCTTGTGCTTTGCTGAAAATATGAATGACTTTCGTCGAAAGACTCATATTGAAATTAAAAAAAAAAGCATCGCAAATTTCCAATCATTGATAGAAGTTATGTCAGCCACCCTCTTTAAACAGAATTTTGCGAAGAGAGTACACGAGAACAGAGAATGAGAGAAGTTGTTTTGTTAGCTCTTTGTTCACAATGATTTTTGCCTTCAAGTTTTTGACACATTGCGCAAGTCATAACAATCAGGTCACTTGAGCGACCCCGTGTAAACGCAACGCCTAAGTGACCTCATTTGTGGCTGGCTTCAAAAGCAGGCTAAATTTTTGGCCGACCAAATATTCGGCCGGCCCCGTGTAAACGCAGCCACAGAAACCGAGTTGGCATATTGATCTTCTTGTCCCAAATTGTGCACAGTTGATATTACTAAGCGACAGTTCCGTTTGTGATCAATAATTAATCATGACGAGGTTAATCAGTTCATTAATCTCGTTTCTATCAAGCAGAGTCTATGAACTCTGTCCCAAGCACCCATTTTGAGTGTGCGCAAATTATACGATTAATCCTTGCCTAGATCGGCCGCTTCGGAATTTTGTTTCGGACCGACGGTAATCAGGGCAACCGCATCGGCTTTTTGAACTTTTACCCTGGAGCAATTAGAACTAGAATAGAAATGGGAGATTTTTTACCAAGAACTCAACTTGGGAGGAAAATGACGAGATGCAAAAGCTCTTTTGAGAAGCACTGCAACTTTGTTTTTGAAAGGCGACTTTCACACGTGCGAATGGTGCGACAGTCATATCCGTGTTTATAAAAGGAAGAAATATCTGAAATCACTGCCAAAATTACTTGGAACACCCAACATTTTGCGCCGTGTTTCTTTCGTTTGTTTTCTCAAATACTACTTCCTCCGTTCCCCTTTCCCTCCAGAACAATGTTGAAAGTATATAGAAATATCATACAAGCCACAAGAGAAAACGTACTCCATAACTTTTCTTCTTCAATTGTAAATCAACATTGCGCCCAGGCCGAAAGGGGGGGACCGAATTTGCCTATGAAAACAGACGGTTAGTGACCAAGCCCTCCCGGCCCACAAAAATTTCGACTGTCCCCCATTCTTACTCAAGAAAATTTGAAAACTTCTTCCCCTTGGCTCCTTGCTAGCAACAGTTTTCATTTCATGACTGTGGCAGCCTGGCCACATTCGAGTTCAACCACGAGTTCAACTCGTCGTTTTCTAAGTTATGATCAGCCGTCCACTAGCATACACAGCTTACACTAGCATACACAAAAAGGCCTATATAAACTTTTATTTTGTAAAACATGGCTGTTGTTACAATGATTTATCAGAGCTGCCTCCAAGATTGTAAGCCACAAATCTCTTTAGAAAGGGTTACTAGATGTGCATTACAAAAAGCCAGTGAAACTTTTTCACTCATCAAAGAGAAATTAATTCAAAGGAGAAAAACACTCATATAGCTCAATGCATCTGCCCCTAAAATCAAGTATTCCCTTTCCTGGCAGAGAAAATCCTAAGCTTACACTCACCCTCTTTCGATATAACAAAACTTTTCTTGATTTGGAACTAAAGGAACTATCGTTTAATTCATAGGCAGAAGCTCAGTTGGAATGTTGGTCACGTTTTAAGTGACCGTTCTTCCTCCGGACGATTTCACTCAAGTATTGAAAGCTTTAATCGGTAAAAATATAAGACAGGGTTTGGACATATAATTCTAATTTATCTTGACTTATTTATCTTTCTTGTTTTCGTTTAATTAATGTCTTTGACATTACAGCGACACTGACATCTTTTAGGTGCTCCCCCAGCCCAAGCAAAGATTGGGTCCCTTTGCAAAAATAACTTTTCAGGATATGGTTAAAAATTGCGTCAAAGCTGAATATCCGCCTTACAAGCACTTAGAAAGTCAGTCAATAAGTCGAGAAAATTATTTTATTGCTGCAAAGAATAAAGTTATTTCCTTGAGTTTGTATACAAAATATCTGTTCTTGAACATAAAAAAGCCTCTTTCTCTAACAAAAATTATCATCATCATCATCATCATCATCATCATCATCATCATCATCATCATCATCATCATCATCATCATCATCATCATCATCATCATCATCATCATCATCATCAACTACATCTCTTTACATCAAGCTAGAGCTTTTTACACAAACAGTGGAAAAAAGAAAAATTAATTTATGAACAGCAACAACGAGTAACAAGGTGCCAATATCATTCACTTTTCATTTGTTTCTGGAATTGCAGTTAGTATTAGCTTTTGTTTGAATCTTTGAGAAAAGGAAGCGAACTCATATTATTTGGTGCCAAAATATAATGAACAGTTTTCATCGCCTTTGAAATATATTGACATTTAAATGACAGTTAGAATTGCAATTATTTATAATATCTGTGAATTTCTATTTGGCAAAAGTCTCAGGAATGAATAACAGACCACATTGAAGAACAGTGAACATAAATCAGGTTAAAAATGCATTACAATAAATGAAGATTAGGCACGGTAAAGATATGGTTGTAAGAGAGTAGAAAATATGTTTCAATTCAATTGGAAAAGAGATTAGAAGGGATTAGGAAAAAAGTGGGGAAAGATCGAGCTTGTTTATTCTGTTTGGAATAAAGACAGGTTTTGAGAGTTTGGGAAGCAGGAAGAGGGTTGAGCGTTCCAAAGTTTGCAAGACCTAGGTAGAAAGGAAGAATTATGGAGTTGAGTTCGTGCATTTGGCAAAGAGACTTGGAAAGGTCGAGTACTGTTCGTTGTCTAGTATTGCGTAAATTTCCCTAGGGACCCGGGATCATGTCTCTGATCTCCAGAGAACAACAATCGTGGTATAATCTATAAAAATTGCAAGATCAGCGTCGATCGGAAAAAGGCTGAAGAGACTTGGTGAGGTTTTTGATGAGGCAAATGGCCCCGGATGTAATATTTTAAATATATATTAGACGCATTAAATTGTCTTATGCCAAATGTTTTTATATCCTTTAAACCACATCTGCATGTATGCAGCTGATTTTTACTGGCATTTATGAAAACGATGTTTAAGCATACAGGTTCCAAAACCTTCAGAATTCCTCCGTGAGAGAATTGATTAATTTACAACCTTTTGTCCCAACTTTGATAAAAGCGAGGTTATAACATAGAATAGAGGCTTCCTGGTACCATATTTTTCTATAAAACATCGTTTTTGAAATCAGCATATCGAAATGGATAAGAATCAATTAATTTACAAAACTATTATTCATTGTCTTAATAATGATAAGAACGAGGTTTGAACATGAAATAGAGGCCTCCTGGTACCGAATCTCCGTACAACATCGATTTTCGTAATCAAAGTGTCAAAATTGACCAAATAAAGTTGTTCTTGCAAATTCCCTCGATAGGTGACGATAATCCCCCTTGCTCGTTTGGTCTATTTGGGCAAAAACTGCCTGTCCAATTCATAAGGGTTTGATGGAGATCATACATGGGGAGTTTGGAAAGAAGACCTTTGTGCCAGACACCATCAAAGACTTTTGAGATGTCGAGAGAGATCACTCTACTCTCACCAAACAAATATTAGGCAGAGGAGCAAACATGGATAGATTTAGAAGATCACCGGTGGATCTTGCTTGACGAAAACAATGCTGGTGATCAGAAAGGAGTTGGTTGGTTTCGAGGAAGGTAAGCAGTTGTTTGGTGGTGATTGTCTCCATTGTTTTAGAAATGAGGGAAGTTATTGCATTTGGACGATAGTCAGGGCCATCGAGAGACGGGCCTGGCCCCAGGGCTGGGACTGTCATGGGGCCCCACCGTCGAAGGCTGCAAAAACCTTTTTTGGGTTACGCCCTTAGCAATGCAGTTAGATGGACTGTAAAAGGCATGAATTTTGAAATCAACGCCACTGAAACACTTGAATTTGTATTTTAAGGTCTTTAACAGAACATGTAATTAGTGACTATATAAAACAAATCATTAAAACAAATCAGAGTTAATTCAATTTTTAAAAAACTGCTTTTCTTGCTTTCCTCAGGGCGAAATCCTTAATCTTTTCCCACAATCTTTTCCAGCTGTCGTTCGCTCCCCAACCATCAGGAGAAGCCAATTTTGATTTTGAACCATTATTAATAGTGTGCATGGCAAACAATAGAGTGCAGCGTTTTTAGGACTAAAAACAAGCCAACTTCTTCTTACTACCTCCCAATTTTTCTGCTTCACATTTAGGACCGTTGTTGGAAATTTGTGGCCGTCGCAATCTTTGGGAAACTCTGGAGGATGAGGCAAATGACCAGTTCTAACAACCTTTTCTAACTCCTTTATCGTTGGAAATCCGGTTAATGTGCCGACATCAAAACTAGATGATCCACTATGAACAGTATCTTGATTTAATGATGAATCATGATCTACCGAAGCACGTTTGTGTCTTCTTCTTCTTCAGCAGTGCTTTGAACAGAGCTTTCACCAGGTTTATTTAAAGTTGAATCACCTTCCTTGTCTCTTTTGTAAGCACCTACCTCAAACAATGTGCGAGAGGCTTTCTTTGCTTCTTTTTCTCGGATCTTTTTTCCTGCCTTTTCTGAGCACCAGACTTGTGCCTGTAAGATGACATCGCCGGGGTTGGTTGGATCGTGATCCCGCTTAATTATTTTGATAAAGACTTCTATAGCGTTCAGATTTGTCTTGGTTCTTCGCATGTGCTTTTTCTCTGGTGTACGCCGTGAATGGAAGATTTAGGCCCGAGTTACACGACGTTGGATTGGGTTCACTTCGGATTGCTTTTCACTTCGGATTATGGTTTCAGTTACACGACGCTGAGGCAATCCGAAGTACTTCGGCGGGCGTAACCGGAGTGAAAGTCACTCCGCTCTGGTGGTGAAGTAAAAATCAACCCGAAGTACTTCGCTTCGCATTCCTTCTTGTGTAAACACTGAATCCGAAGTGATTTTCACTCCGAAACCTCGTTGCAGATCACGTTGCCTCTGTTATGTGCAAAATGTGCGCGCTATTTGAAGAAGGAAATACGCTGACATCAAATTGTCAATCAAAATGTTTCTTGGCATGTTTACGGGTTTTTCCACTTTATTGCAGCAGAACAGCATGTTATTTGAGTTCATTACTCACAACTATCTGGCACGAAGAAAATTGTTAATGAAATAAATAGCTGCTTGTAGCTATTGCATTAGGAAAAGCAGAAAAATCAAGGCCCAGCGTCGCTTCTGGCTAAAGCCCAGTCGCTGCAGCGGCTGGTGGTCAAACCTAAAGAAAGGGCTTATAAAAGATGATGAAGAGTGGCGACTAAACTTTCGTATATCCAGAAATAGTTTCAATTTGTTGTGTTGTGAACTGCGTCCATACATTGAAACAAAGCAATCCGACATCGTGTAACAGCGAAGCAAAGCGCAGCAAAAGCCAATCCGAAGTCGTGTAATCGCTTGGAAAAGCGAAGTGCGACTGCTTCGGATTGGGGTGGGCAATCCGAACCGAAAACCAATCCGACATCGTGTAACTCGGGCCTTAGTTTTACGTTTATAGGAAGTCCACACAAGGAATAACTAAAACATCTGACCTAAAAGTAGATATATGTAAGTGCAATCGAATTTTTCGGCTTCCGGAGAAGTATATTATGATCTTATCGTCAATATTCTAATTATAAACCATAACAGGAAAAGGCCCTCATCATAGACCAGCTTGTTGATTCCGTGTTGAAAGATTAAATTTCGAATATCAATCGGGTCATGGGCCCGCCCTGCCAATGCTGCTTATTGAAAACTCATAGCCAAAAATACATATCTTATTTTCAAGGCCCCGGGCCCCCTGGTAACTACCCTGGTTACCTCCCCCTCTCGACGGTCCTGACGATAGTCAATTTAGTCAGACTTGTCGCCCTTTTAGGCATGGATTGCTATGGAACATTGTGAGTTGAGCCACTTAGAAGTGGACTTCTCAAATTTTGAAGGAAGATGGAGTGAAAAGTTCCATACCAAAGAGAAATCCATTGGCGATAAATGAAACAGAAGTAGATGGGTCTTCGAAAGAGCCTAAAGACCAAGTGTATGAGGAATATAAAGTTTGGAGATAGTCCCAATCAGCTTTACTGTAATAGAAAAATTTAGGGAAAATGAAAGCACTATCCTGGTAAGAAGGAAGTGAGTGTTGTAAGGCTAGTAGACAGTTGTCAGAGTTGCCAACAGGTGCATTCATTAGTGGCGTTTTGTAAATATTGGGGGAGAAGGAAAAAAGAAAAAACCCTCATAACCAGGGCATTTGAGATAAGGGGGGGGGGGGAGAGTGTCATTGTTCTCTTGGTCGAGAAGCTTGATCTTGGTCACTGTTAGGAAAAGTGCAAGGGGAGTTTTGGTTTGCAGATGGTGGTGCACAGAATTAGGATTGGAGAAAAGTCCAGGGATGTTTGAGAAGGAGATTGCAAATGGTTTAGAAGTTGCCACATTAGTAGCTGCAGCTGATTGGTTGATTGCGCTTGAGTCAGAAAACATTTTTAAAAGAAAGATTGGAGAAGATTGGCTTATTCACTATGGTAGAACCAGCAGCTAGTTGAATGCATGGGAGAGACCCTTCAACCGTCCTGTGGCCTCAGATTGGCCTCAGATTGGCCTCAGATTGGCCTCCCGGAGCAGCGAGCTAGGAATGGCTCTAGTCGCGAACTGGCATAACAAGCAGGCCAGGATTATTAACCAGTAGTTAGAGCTTCTCTAGGACACACGCTTCGTTTGGTTTCAAGCGCCCATCAAGTTTCAAAATCTAAAAAAATCGGAAAAGTTTGGCAAAAATACATTGGCGTGGCATGAATGTGCTAGTTTTTTATTCGAAAATTTGCGGACGTGGCGAAAACCATGCGAGATTTTACTTTCAACTGATTTGCACTGACTAAAATTTCAAAATAATGAATTAGTTTGAATGTCTTCCATTGTAAACTGAACAATAAGAAGAGGCGACATAAAACTGGAAGACTTAGATGCATTTCAAGCTTTATGCTTGGTTAAAAGTAGTAGAAGAAAGACAAATGCTGGAAGAACAACAAAAACAACTAACGTTTTTAAAAAGCGCTGCCAAGATTCTCTTCTCGAATAAGCATCAGAAAAGGCTACAGTTTTTTCTTCTCTGCATCCTTATTTGTGGCCCTAATGTGGGAACCATAGAAAGCAACGGGATTAAAATCAGAATCTGTATATACAATTTTGACTCAATTTGTTATCATGAGAATGAGACCTAATTCTCATCATACGTCAAGATGCACCTCCTATCTATATCGCGTTGCTTTAATATGACGTCATATCGAAAGAAATGAAGAATATAATGTGCAGATATTTAGTCTCACATTAGTCTTCGCATCGAGAGTAGCACAGGCACACGACTATTTACTTATTCGACTAGAAAATATTTTGAAAACATCTACGAAAGAAGTTGCAGAATTAACGCAAACATCTATTAAGAAAGAATCATTTGTACCAAAGACGTTGGCTATTTGCAAAACCTACAAATGAACACGTTCTGGAAAGTTGTCCAAACAACAGTCACGTTCGGAGTGGTTGGTTACGCCGCCTACCTTTGGTATGACATCTGGCGGGAAGAGCAACGAGAGGTGAGCATTCTCAACACAAAGGCACGTAAATAATAGGGGGGCGTGGGGGGCGTAACGCCCCCCCAAAGTTTGGAAAATCCAGTTACAGTTGGAAAACATAACGGTTGACTTGGAATTTTTTCTTAGGACCAAATTTGTGAATTTTACATTTTAAGAAGTTTTTTTATTTCAAATGTAAAAATTCTAAACATCAAAATTCACAGGCTGAAGCTGACCCATCCAGTATTCGTTTTCTATTGTGAATCCCGTCTCCACTGGATCCAAATTGCGCAATTGCCCCGTTTGCTTTCTTTCTGACGGGAGTTGAATCAAATTACGAACAGGCAAGGTGAATTTCTGGATAAGAAACTTTAAACTTTACAGTTTGGAATAATAATTCCCGTATTGATCAGAAAATATTAGAGTGGAAGTTTTTTAAGAAACTACGAGTAGTTAATTCAATAAAAGATTAATAATCTTTCAGTACTAAAAATTCTCAACGCTTCTTATAAAAACGAGTTTATGCTAAACTCCCCCTGTTATTTGTTAATGTCCTTGAGTCCTTATCATAAATTCCTATGACAAAACTGCTGTGAAGCAAGAACACATTGCAAAAATTGCAGTAGAAGTATTTGATCAAGAAGAGTGTTTCATCTTTCGAATCAGGCATATGCACAAGTTTGTTCTCAAATCATCATTTCAATTGTAAAGAATGAAAAGGCATTTGGCCCTCTGAAAATTGTTAGTAGTTTTCTTCGATCAAGAACAAAAATTAAAGGCTCAAATTCTTGGTGCTTCTATATCGTGAAAAAATGTATTTTAGATAAGATTGATCTGCGCCAATTGATTAATTGATCAATTTAAATGAAATTGATCAATTGATCTAAAAGAATACTACTTAAATGTTGCTTTACTTCTTACTGTAAGTTTAAATGTCTGTTTCATGTTAATCAAAATTTAGAGATTCAGGCTTTTATGCTTTAAGCTAATTATTGAGTAAAGATTTGGTAATTATAAAGAAAATAGAAATATGGTGTTCGGGCTATTTACAAATATCAATTTGGTAGGTACAGTAGATTTACTGGTCAAATGAAAAGTTTCTTACTTGATTATTTTTGATTGGAATTTTCATCCTTCCACGCCCCCCCAAAGTAAGCAACTTGTTTTCGTCCCTGTCAACACAAAAGCTGTCTTCAATATTTAAAGATAATAACTCGCTAGCCATGCAGAATTGGGTGAAATTCTAATTGTCTACTGAACAAACAAAATATAACAATTTAAGTGTAATTCACATTAAAAGCTAGCTGGAAAGTTCGGAGCCTGAGAGAGGAGCAATGTTCAAAAAAGCAGGGCAATTGTTACCGATTCAAAATTTCTTAGCAAATGTTCTTGATCCAATATAATCTAAATTCAAGTATGCATCCAGTTGTTTTCCCCCTCAACAAATTGCATAAATTATGTGTAAAAATAGCCTCTTCTGATGGCTAACATATGCTTTTGATTTTTCATGGAAGTTTGAAGAAGACTGTGAAAAAAATGTTATGATTCGTTTTTCTTTATTTGTTAAATAACACAATGGAACTCAGATTTTTTCCAAAAACTTTCCTTAATGTCACCCTATGTGCTAAAAGAGACATATTCAGACATTTTGAAAAGATTTACCAAATCTTAGAATTCTAGAAACAAATATCGATTCATAACATATAAAATACACACCAATGTCAACTTTAGGCTCAACTTCAAGAGGAAGAAGAGGACGAAGCAGCAGCAGCACAGGCCGCTGAGAAGGAGAAAGCACAGGCTTCTTCTAGCCAACTTGCAGATGGCAATCAAAGCAAGAAGAGCAGCGAAAACACAACCAAAGGTTCAACAAAGAATACAGGGAAGCAAAACTCGCGGGGCTTTTGTGGGTTTAAAAAAGGCTTTCTTCTTAAATGAAAGGTAGGTAATATTTATTACTAAGTTTTGCACTGCCTTCACAATGCATTAATACTCTTTTGGCAGAAAAGACTGCAATGACTTCATGTAAAAACAGTCTTTTCCATTTCAGATTTCAAGAAAAAGAGAATGCTATAGCGGTAAAAGATTGTGGAGCTGTGGCATTTCGTACATTTA